TATACTTAGCTTCTTTGCTTTTTAACCAGAAGAAGCAGAAAAGAATATTTTCAAAGAAATTTTGATTTTTCACTATATAATCAATAGAGCCCCCCCCCCCCCCCCCCACACCTTTTGACCAGAACCCTTGACCCTGGGGCCATGAATTTCACAATTTTGGAAGAGGTGTCCTTGCTTATCATAACAATGTACTTAGTTTGTTTAAATAATACCCAGAAGCAGAGAAGAAGATTTTTAAAGCATTAATGCATTTTCACTATATAATAAATAGAGCCCTGCCCTAACATCAGAACCCCTGACCCAGGGGCCATGAAATTCACAATTTTGGTAGAGTCACTCTTGCTTATCATAACTATGTATTTAATTTGTTTCAATAATACCAAGGAGTAGAGAAGAAGATTTCTAAAGAAATAATGCACTTTCACTATATGATCTATATACCCCCCCCCCCCAGCACCAGAACCCCTGACCCTGGGGCCATGAATTTCACAATTTTGGTAGAGTCACCCTTGCTGATCATAACTCTGTATCTAATTTGTTTAAATAATACCCAGGAGTAGAAAACAAGATTTTCAAAGAAATAATGCACTTTCACTATATGATCTATATAGCCCCACCCTAGCACCAGAACCCCTGACCCTGGGGCCATGAATTTCACAATTTTGGTAGAGTCACCCTTGCTTATCATAACTATATATTCAATTTGTTTCAATAATACCCAGGAGTAGAGAAGAAGATTTTCAAAGAAATAATGCACTTTCACTATATGATCTATATAGCCCCGCCCTAGCACCAGAACCCCTGACCCTGGGGCCATGAATTTCACAATTTTGGTAAAGGGCTCAATGCTTACTACAATCATGTCAACAGTTTGACTGCTTGATGTCCAGGAGTAAAGAAGAAGATTTTTAAAGATTGCATTAATATTGATGGTTTTAGCCCCACCCCTCAGGCCCCAGGGGGGCAGGGACCATGAAATTCACAAATTTTGTTCCCCTTCAGACATAGATGCTATATGCAAAAATTGGCTGAAATTGGTTCAGCGGTTTCAGAGAAGAAGCTGAAAATGTTCAAATGTTAACACACGACGCACGACGGACGACGACGGATATCAATAGGTCACCTGAGTGACTCAGGTGACCTAAAAATGCAATAAAAATTTTTATTTTTAATTAAGGTTGGAATTTTTTTGTCTGCCCTTAATTTGTTAGGAAAACAGTGTTATTTGAAAAACTTATGTATACAAAACACAGAATTGGTACTGTTAATGTATCAATGAACTATTTTAAATTTAACTTTCCCTTAGATATTTGGGGCAGGGGGTGCATTTCTAGTATACATGCAGCTTGCAGTTTCTAACATTAATGCAAATTAAACATACAAATCTATAGTCTTCTCTCAGTTGTCAAATATCATATTGTCACCACAGTAAACCTATAGGACTTATGTCACACCCCTCATAAACTTTTCAGAATCTTTTATTTAGTTCTAGTTCTGGCAAAGTTATGGAGAAAATACAGTGAGACATTCAATGATCAGCTAAAATAAATTAATTCACAGAAGTGCACATGAGACATGATAAGAAGAAAAGTTGTATAATATTTTTTTCAACGCAATTCCAATTAATATATATGTAGGTGGAAAAAACGTATTACAATATCTCTATTGAAAACATATTCAAACTTCCTCAATCTGTAGTATATTTGATATCTTTTTATCCTTATATTTTTCTTTCTGCATGAGCATGCTAACTTTCAACATAATTGCAGAAAATACACATCTTTCTCATGTATACACATGTAAAATACACATGACAATATTCTGTTTACTGCAGAATTTAAAAATTTAATTGTTGAAACTGGTTCTAATCCACAACTTTTGAATGAAAAAAAGAAACCAGGTCTTGAAATAATATTTGTAAGGGTGTATCATTTACAACAATACTTTTCCCTAGCGGTAAAAAGAAAAGTTGTTTTACTTAACAAGAGCTATACATTACACAACATCAGCTGATATGAATACGCTGATCAATCAATGTACATTAATTTGTTACATAGCATGCAAAATTCCATAAAGCGATAAAAAAGGAAATAATGTCTTGTATCAATCAAGCATATATACTAATATATTTTCCTTGAATTCCAATATTTGTCATAAAACGAGTGAAAGTTGTGACTCGAATTTCCTCAGTCACACCACTTTCTACCAGTTCTACAGTGTTCTAGTGTTCTGTCGTTACTTGTAAAAGAAAACATTTCCGTTTTAAAATGTAGTTTAAAAAAATCTTCAAGACGTATTTCAATGTATTGAAGCAATTGTCAAAGATAATACATGTACGTACTCAAAACCTTTCAAAACAAGCGGTTGACAGAACCTCGATTTCCACGTGGCCCTCTGCATGACATTTGATCAAGATTACTGTTCCGTCTATTTCATTCAATCTTTCATTAAAATTTATACTTTTTCTACAATATAACATTGACACTTCACTTTTTAAACTGACTATTTAAAAACACGAGAAACCCTCCGACTCTGACATTTTGGCGCTATGCTGTGCAGTGACTATTCACGCTTCGAATACTGTGATTGGATTTACCTCGGCCAATGACAAATCGCATTTTGAAAGGCTTGTGAAAAGGTTATTTTATTCAGTGACTATAAATAAACTATCGGCGGGAGAAATAAAAATAAAACTTGAACTGGGGACTTTTATTTTTATTTCATTTTAGCCCAAATTAGGGTCGGCGCTCCCGTAAAACAGAATATAAAAAAATGTTGGCCTTACTACATACATAATCACAAATGGGCTGATTGCTTCAATCGGTTGCAAGGACCCATTTTGTTTGGTCGCACTAAACGACGAAACATTAGAAAATGGATAGAGATGCACATCACATTTCTGCGATATTTTGCCTTTTTAATTTACATCTATTATCAGTTTTTATTAATAAAATTAAAACAAGATTAATGTGAATGTGTTATAATATTTTTTAAATATACGTATTAATTTACCTTGAATATTGGCAGTTGAAAGCAAGTATGGTACTAAGAAACCATTTTTTAGCTCACCTGAGCCGAAGGCTCAAGTGAGCTTTTCTGATCACATTTTGTCCGTCGTCCGTCCGTCCGTCTGTCTGTCCGTCCGTCTGTCTGTCCGTCCGTCTGTAAACTTTTCACATTTTTGACTTCTTCTCAAGAACCACTGGGCCAATTTTGACCAAACTTGGTACAAAGCATCCTTGGGTGAAGGGGAATTTAAATTGTTAAAATGAAGGGCCAAGTCCCCTCACAAGGGGAGATAATCAAGAGAAGACAAAAATAGGGTGGGGTCATTAAAAAATCTTCTTCTCAAGAACCACAGGGCCAGTAAAGCTGAAACTTATATGGAAGCATCCTGGGGTAGTGTAGATTCTAAATTGTTCAAATCGTGACCCCCGGGTGTAGGGCGGGGCCACAATAGGGAATCCAAGTTTTACATTGAAATATATAGGAAAAATCTTTAAAAATCTTCTTCTCAAGAACCACTGGGCCAGAAAAGCTGAAACTTATGTGGAAGCATCCTGGGGTAGTGTAGATTCTAAACTGTAAAAATCATGACCCCCGGGGGTAGGGCAGGGCCACAATAGGGAATCCAAGTTTTACATTGAAATATATAGGAAAAATCTTTAAAAATCTTCTTCTCAAGGACCACTGGACCAGAAAAGCTGAAACTTATGTGGAAGCATCCTGGGATAGTGTAGATTCTAAATTGTAAAAATCATGACCCCCGGGTGTAGGGCGGGGCCACAATAGGGAATCCAAGTTTTACATTGAAATATATAGGAAAAATCTTTAAAAATCTTCTTCTCAAGGACCACTGGACCAGAAAAGCTGAAACTTATGTGGAAGCATCCTGGGGTAGTGTAGATTCTAAATTGTTCAAATCATGACCCCCGGGGGTAGGGCGGGGCCACAATAGGGAATCCAAGTTTCACATTGAAACATATAGGAAAAATCTTTAAAAATCTTCTTCTCAAGAACCACTGGGCCAGAAAAGCTGAAACTTATGTGGAAGCATCCTGGGGTAGTGTAGATTCTAAATTGTAAAAATCATGACCCCCCGGGGGTAGGGCGGGGCCACAATAGGGAATCCAAGTTTTACATTGAAATATATAGGAAAAATCTTTAAAAATCTTCTTCTCAAGAACCACTGGGCCAGAAAAGCTGAAACTTATGTGGAAGCATCCTGGGGTAGTGTAGATTCTAAATTGTTTAAATCATGACCCCCGGGGGTAGGGCGGGGCCACAATAGGGAATCCAAGTTTTACATTGAAATATATATAGGAAAAATCTTTTAAAATCTTCTTCTCAAGAACCACTGGGCCAGAAAAGCTGAAACTTATGTGGAAGCATCCACGGGTAGTGTAGATTCTAAATTGTTCAAATCATGACCCCCGGGGGTAGGGCGGGGCCACAATAGGAAATACAAGTTTTTCATTGAAATATATAGGAAAAATCTTTAAAAATCTTCTTCTCAAGAACCACTGGGCCAGAAAAGCTGAAACTTATGTGGAAGCATCCTCAAGTAGTGTAAACTCTAAATTGTTCAAATCATGACCCAGGGGATAGGGCGGGGCCACAATAGGGGGAATCCCAAGTTTTACATTGAAATATATAGGAAAAATCTTTAAAAATCTTCTCAAGAACCACTGGACCAGAAAAACTGAAACTTATGTGGAAGCATCCTGGGGTAGTGTAGATTCTAAATTGTTCAAATCATGGCCCCTGGGGGGAGGGTGGGGCCACAATAGGTATTACAAGGGGGGAGTCTGGTAATGAACAGCATGGCCAAAGTTACTCAGGTGAGCGATGTGGCCCATGGGCCTCTTGTTTATGTAACTATTCGGTATGGTGTTGGTCCCCAGTACCGGTATCCAACTCTATCCATATACAGTGTATATCTAAAACTGTATGCCTCTAATCCCCCCTTTTAGGTGACTAGCTGAGCTAACAACTCTTACCTTCTCCCCTGGAGGTGGTGGCGGTGCTGCTGTAGTAACAGCAGCAGCTTTTGTAGTTGGAGATACTGTAGATTTGCTTGGCTGCAAGAATGAGACTCAAATATTAGGCACTAAAAAGACATAGGACATTTCTGTGAATATTAATGGTCATCAGAAAACTCTTCCCCGTTATTATTTATTAACTGTGTGAGTGATGTGCCTTTTTAGTTGCATGCTATCAATCATTTAATGCTCCCAATGACTGAGCACGCAATGAATACAAAGAGATAGAATTATTAACTCAATCTAGGGAAAAAACAAAAACAAAACCCAAATATGATCATTTCAAAAATTGCAAGATGGTGGCAATATTTAACTCTTGATTTATTATATTATGGGATTATTTTAATTTTGGGGAGGCGAGGGGGGCGAGAAGACAAAATTCAACATGGTGGCAATATGTAGCTCTTGATTTATTTTATAGGGGTTATTTTAATTTGGGGGGGGGGGGGTGAGAAACTATACATTAAGGGCTTGTGTCCCTGTGGCAACATGATTTTTAACTAATAAATTTTTAAAGCTGTCCAAAGTTAATTCTATGTTTAATATCACCCATGCACATCTACTTCATAGAGATTGGCACTTTAAAAACAAATTGTTTGGGCCCTGTAGAAGTATATTTGAGAAGTATATTTGATATGAGTCTATCATTAATACTGACAGATTTACAAAAATGATCATTAAACAATAAACCTACATGATGCACAAATATTTACAGTATTTTGATTCATGTAAATAAGTAAATGCTCATTTTTTTGACATTTTTATTTTTTTTTTATTCTCCCTCCCTTGTAGGTTTTGAAGTTTTTAGGTGATGTACGTTAAACAAATAATTAATTTCAGCCAGCCAGTTTGGTTGTCAATGTCCTTAAAACTTATCTATTAAAAACATTTCTTCAAACATCAGGCCATGCAGTCCTAATACAAGTACTTAAAAAATCTTTCCTTTTCATTTTTGTTACTCACGTGTACCTGTGCTTTTACTGCATTACTTATTGCACCTCTTTTGGATTTTTTCTCACTTTTTGCCTTCTCTGTTTTTGTAGCATTTTGAGGCTGAAAAGAGTGAACACATACCTTACATTTTTAGCAGCTCTCAAGTAAAAAAAAACATAATACAATTGCTTTTTAGGCCTTGAAAAAGTTTTCGCTTTCCTGATCAACCCTAATTTATAGCACTGACCCAATTATTTAGGGATGGCAATCGAATACAGAATTGCCAATAGATTAACGGCAAGACATTCCCCAATTATCTGGTTAATCGTATCAAAATACACACTTTTAAATAAAATCTTCAAGGAAGCTCTATCCTTGTACACAAAAGACCAAAAAGGACATTAGAAATATTTTGATTATACTTTATCAGAACACTATATATATTTTACTTCAATAGGCAAAGAAAACGAAAGAAAACCATGAATATACCTGAGATAATAGAGACATTAATTATAATTATTTTTCCGACCATATGTTACACAGTTCATGCTGCATTGTCACCATAATCAGAGCTAAGTCTGGACTTACAGTTGATTTGCAGTTTGTTTAAAGGATACACAGGGTAAGATACACATTATAGTCAGTTCACAGTACTCAGTCGTGATCTAAATAATATTATTAAAGAAATACAGGACTGGCTCTCTAAGACAGGGTGTTTAAACAGTATTTAACGCTTCACAAACTGACTAATTAACCCAAGGATCTGAAGTCAGACAGCACTAACTATTGCTGCATTTCATTTCCGGAATTTTGCATTGCATTTCCGACAATTTTTATTTTCATTTCCAACAATTTTTCATTTCATTTCCGACATTTATTTTTGTACATTTCCGGAATTTTTAGAGGTACCTTTCTGGACAATTTCATGTTTAGTAAGTACATGGATATAAAATTTTAACAAGATATAAATGCTACACTTATTTAATACCACATTTTTCAAATAAAAATATTACAATACACTGTTTATACACGCAGCCCAAAGTCGAATTAAAAGTTTTGTATGAATTAAATGAGCATGCAATTTTTGTTCAGTAAATTCAATAATGTTGGTGACTGTGCCGAATTTATGTGCAATAAATTATGGTCAATGATATATTCTTGAGTTATTCTTTAAAATAAAGTCTTCAATTCTGTTTTCATTGCTGGAAAAGTACTTTATGCTAAATGTCAGAGATGAAAATTGTAAAATATCAGAAATGAAAACTATAGAATGTCGGAAATGAAAAGTTACAGATTTTAAAAAATTCTGGAGATGAAATGCAGTCCTATACATGTATATACTTAAAATTGATATGTAAATTCACTTAACAATATTCCACCTTTTTTTTAAATTGAATTTTCAGGAAATTTTGTTCAAATTTAAACATATTTTTTCCCGACTTACTGATTATAAATTGTCTAACTGATTACCATCGTTCTGACTGATTAACCAGTTAACCGATTACAATTACCATCCCTACTTTTTTTTCAATGCTTTTTCAGTGAAGATCAGGATTTTCAATTTTTGGTCCAAATGGACCATCTATAAAAATTTCACCTATAAATTTAAGTGACAAAAATATTTAAAGCACTATTTCTTTTGTCATCAGTGTTACTTTAGTTGAATGTTTTGTTTTAAGCAGTGCAGAAAACAAAAATTAAAAAAAAAAGTTAACACCTATTTTCTTAATATAAAAAAAATTTCAATCAGGAATATTTATTTCATGTTGCTGGAATTTCTGTTGATACAAACCTGTACATATGCATCCACTGTCTCTTGTTTACTGGGTTGAAACTACAAATAAAATTAAAAATTACCCAAATTTTTTAGTAAGACAATATGCTATTAATTTAACTGAGTTTGGAATTTAAGACACAATAAAAGAAGTGCAGTTTCAATAGGTTATTAACCAAGTACAAAAATTATTTAAAAAATAATAAAATTTTAAAAAAAAAACCAACAAGAAGGGACTATGGATGAACTTCTAAAATATCCAGGGGTTTAACATAGCAAGGTTTGTAACTTGAATTTTTCAAATGAACTTTGCGTATAGTGACTGAACAATAATTATAAGTGAAATGTATCCCTGTCACAAAACAATTAAAGTGTCCACATTAAGGTCTGACAACACATTCCTCAAATATCTGTTTTGTTTCTCCTTGTAAAATTTAAGAAATTTTCATAATATTAACATTATCTTGTGATTTCTAAACTTTTTTCAACATGTCATAGAAAGCAAATACAACAAAAATTGTGATGTTGAAAATTCAAGTGATTTCAAATAGGATTATATAGGAAACGCAACCCGCTGGCATATTGCACAAATGAGGTACCTCAATTTTTTGCGAGGAAAGTTGTCAGAGTAACAGTACTTCAGTGACAATTTCATGGGAAAAATTATATAATATTGAGGAACATGTCATCTGACCTTAATTAATGCTCCACACATATGCATTAGATAAATACACATGACACTCAGCTTGCATAATCAAAATCAAGGTTCCCCATTATACTAGCAGCTTTTACAATTACTAAACAATTATCTATTGATCCCAAGAACAAAGGGAACCTGTGCATGACAGAATGTGGATGTTATAAATACAGTAAACAGTTACCTAACAGATTTCATCATCAGAGTAAAAAACTATCCTGACTTTGCCATAACACGATTTTAATGAATGGGTTTACAATTCACTTCAAGAGAACTGGGGTTTTCAACTTTCCCAGTTTCAACATAAAAGGGTTTATTTTAATCATTTTTATAGCAAATTTTGTCTGGACCTCAGACTTACTTCAATATATCAGGGGTATTTGAGATTTTGAAGTTACCCTGTAATAAGTAACTACTGTGTACAGGGAAATTTTCGTCCCCGTTTTATTTTTGCCCCTTTCACCCTACACAGGTGGGCGAATTTAAAATGGGGAGAATTTAAAGAACAGAGTATAATTTCTTGAACAGAACTGTGACTGGGTGAATTTAAAACTGGGCAAAATCGCTTACAGGTGTGAAAGAGTGAAAACAACATAGGGCGAATATAACCCTATTCACAGTATCACTTATAGCATTTACGATATATTCACATGTAAATTCATTAATCATATATGAAATGTATAAACATACTTACTGGTAACCAAAAGAAAGTACTCTCACAGTCATGTGTGGTTCTGTTTTTCATGTACTCTACTTTTGTATATGGGTTGCTTTGGATCTGCTGTGCTTCTGGTGAGTTTAAGTACACCATTTGTCTACTCTGAAAAATATATAAGACAAGATGCCCATAAGCCTAGGTTATCCCATGCGAGCCATGAGTTTCTCAATATTTGACCAACTCATCCCCACTTGGTACTTTCACTCTGGAGTCCACAGCTCCAGGGGTCATGACTTAACCCTGGGCTCTAATTAGTGACTAATGTAGTCACCATAGTGCATAAAATTTCCAATTGGTTCCTAAAATCTCTCCATACTTTGCCAATACTGACCATTTTAAATTGATTTGGCAACAATTAACAACTATAAACATTTTCACCAATAATGCTTTTGTTTTTCCCTAAAGTGGCAAAAAATAAAAATAGAAAGTGGGAAAAATTTTTGCAAGAAATATTTCTTGTGCTTTAATCCTTTGTCACCTAGGCCTCTTTGTTTTTTGTTTTTTTTTTACTTAGACTTTTATTTCAGTCAGCACATGTGTGACCATATATTTTGAATCACTTCAGTACACATTGGACTCAGGTAGACCAGATAAGATAACTGCCCCAGGTAAATCTGGCTTTAGAAAAATCCATTAAATTGGATGGGTGCTGTGATCAATAGTCTCACTCACTTAGTGTGGTTGTTTTCACATTATTGTCGTACCTTAACATTAACTGTACATGCACTGATAAAATCATGAAAACAAACCATGATATAAAATAAGAATAGAAATATTTCAGTTTGTTTGAGTTTAAATAAATATTAAAATAGATCCAAGGTTATTGAAAAAAAAATTATTTAAAAAAATCTTTCAAACCGAATATGTATTAATTAAGAGTTTTACATTCAAATGTAAATTAAAATTCTTTTGTATTTAATTGTCTTTTCTTTCCTGTTGACACTTATTTACGAAAAATACTTTTTCGAATACATTGCATGCAAAAAATTGCTAAAAATTTATCAAAGTAAAAATTTGCTAGACTTACAGTAGTAAGTATAAGTTGCTATACTGTCTAATATAAGCTTATAAAGTTGATGCCTTAACAAAAAAATGGCTTTGCTCCTTAAAATTGAATTGATTCCTAATTTGTTTTTGCTAAGAAACCAGCTGGCACCTAAATTTTAGAGGTAACTTTGAGGCCTCAAGTCAAACCAAAACTTCAAGCCACACAACATGGGATGCTTTGATATCAATATGACTAACATGCCCATGCAGTTCTAAGGTTTTCCCCCAGAAAATTTCTGCCATGTTGACAGGTATGCATAAGCCTTTGGCTTAGGTGTGCCAAGAGTGTGTACTATAGTGCAGAAAGTTTGATTGCAATATGTGTACAGCTTTAATTTGTAAATCAAAAGATAAGCTAAAACCCTATTTTGGCCCTTATTTTGGAATGTCACTCAGAAATTTAAGAATCGAAAATCTATTGTCATTCTTGTTTGAAAATAAGTGTTCATATAAAGTCACAGGATACACAGAGGTCATGAGAAGGTCAAAGAATTTGTCATTAAGCCCATTTTGTTTCTGAAAACACAAAGGGAAAGCTTGCCTATCTTCAGAACTTACATTTCATGTCAGATATCAGAATCAGATAAATCTATTGTGTGAAGATTTCGGATAAACACCTTCGAGCTCTATGTTTTGCAAAAATAATGAAATTCCAACAGAATTGAGGAACTTCCGTAAAATGTCTTTAATTGTTGCCCTCTTGTTGCCTCTGAGATTGCTTTGAAATAAAATCAATGCTGCTTTTAAAACAAGCATCATTTAAAGATCTATCAAACCATCATAATTTTAACTGCGTTTTGATTTTCATATCAAATAAGGGGCAAAGTTGGGCCCTTACCATACCTTTTTCCTTTGAAAACTAAAGATCAAAAAGTATATGAGAACAGTGTATAGTATACAGCAATGAAGTTAAATATAATTGGAATATTACCACATCATCTTCCACTCCAGTAAACTCCTCAGCACATGGGGAGTATCGTAACACCCATTCAATGGTCAGCATTGTCTTTCCTTTACTCTTTGCAGCTTGTTGACAGTCAACTTTTGAGGAAAATGAAGAAACAGATTATTACCAACAACTAAATATCAAACATCAGTATACAAGACAAGAGACCAATTGGCCCAAAACACTACATCATGTAAATTTATTCCCTGATATAGCCCAGTCCTAAGCCTAGAGTACACAATAATATTAACAAAAACACACACACACAAACAAATTCCCCCCCCCCCCCAAAAAAAATAGAGACCCATGGGCCAAAATGCTCATCTGACTCAGGCCAACATTTTTTTCATTTTCTGTTTTACGGGAATTTTTTTCACAAATTTGAGTCGGGGGGTCGAAATAAAAATAAAAATAAAAGCTCGAAATTTAAGCAGTCGGTCAGAAAAATAAAAATAAAATGAAAAAATGCAATAAAAATTTTTATTTTTAATTAAGGTTGGAATTTTTTGTATGACCTTAATTTGTTAGAAAAACAGTGTTATTTGAAAAACTTATGTACACAAAACACAGAATTGGTACAGTTAATGGATCAATGAACTATTTTAAATTTAACTTTCTCATAGATATTTGGGGCAGGGGTGCATTTCTAGTATAAAGCTTGCAGTTTCTAACATTAATGCAAATCAAACATGCAAATCTATAGTCTTCTCTCAGTTGTCAAATATCATATTGTCACCACAGTAAACCTACAGGACTTATGTCACACCCCTCATAAACTTTTCAGAATCTTTTATTTTTCGGTATTCATCAGCAAATTACAAGATCTGAGGATTTTGGACTAGTTCTGGCAAAGTTATGGAGAAAGTACAGTGAGACATTCAATGGATCAGCTAAAATAAATTAATTCACAGAAGTGCACGAGACATGATAAAAAGAAAAGTTGTATAATATTTTTTTTTCAATGCACTTCCAATTAACATATAAGTAGGTGGAAAAAACGTACCACAATATCTCTATTGAAAACATATTCAAACTTCCTCAATCTGTAGTATATATGATATCTTTTTATCCTTATATTTTTCTTTCTGAGCATGCTAACTTTCAACATAATTGTAGAAAAAACACAGCTTTCCCATAGTATACACATGTAAAATACACATGACAATATTCTGTTTACTGCAGAATTTAAAAATTTAATTGTTGAAAATGGTTCTAATCCACAACTTTTGAATGAAAAAAGAAACCAGGTCTTGAATTGAAGTAATATTTGTTAGGGTGTATCATTTACAACAATACTTTTCCCTAGTGGTAAAAAAAATTTGTTTTACTAAACAAGAGCTACACTACATCAGCTGATATGAATACGCTGATCAATCAATAAATATTAATTTGTTACATAGCATGCAAAATTCCATAAAGCGATAAAAAAGGAAATAATGTCTTGTATCAATCAAGCATATATACTGATATATTTTTGTAGGTAATTCTGAATTCCAATATTTGTCATAAAACGAGTGAAAGTTGTGACTCGAATTTCCTCAGTCACGCCACTTTCTACCAGTTCTACAGTGTTCTAATGTTCTGTCGTAACTTGTAAAAGAAAACATTTCTGGCTTAAAATTAAGTTAAAAAAAAAATCTTCAAGACGTATTTCAATGTATTGAAGCAATTGTCAAAGATAATACGTACTCAAAACCTTTCAAAACAAGCGGTTGACAGAACATCGATTCCCACGTGGCCCTCTGCATGACATTTGATTAAGATTACTGTTTCGTCTATTTCATTCAATCTTTCATTAAAATTTATACTTTTTCTAATATATAACATTGACACGTCACTTTTTAAACTGACTATTTAAAAACACGTGAAACCCTCCGATTCTGACATTTTGGCGCTATGCTGTGCAGTGACTATTCACGCTTCGAATACTGTGATTGGATGAATATATTTACCTCAGCCAATGACAAATCGCATTTTGAAAGGCTTGTAAAAAGGTTATTTATATTTCTTTTATTTTTTCAGTGACTATAAATAAACTATCGGCGGGAGAAATAAAAATAAAACTTGAATTGGGGACTTTTATTTTTATTTCATTTTAGCCCAAATTAGGATCGGCGCTCCCGTAAAACAGAATATAAAAAAATGTTGGCCTCACCTTGGTTCTGCTGACTTTCAGAACATTAACCACAACCTAGCCCTGGGAGCCATGAATTGAACAAACTTGAATCTACACTCAGTATCTGCCACAATTATCCAATCAAGGTGAAAATACCAAGTGCACATCTTTAAATGGTGAATAATGAGTGCATAAATTTTCAGACAAATCCATGCAGTAGTCTCCAAGAAAAATCCAGACAAAATCATGTCTACAGACAGACAGATGGACATGCTGATTCCAATATACCCCATAAACTTTGTTTGTGGGGGGTATAAAAATGTGAAACGTTTACACAAGGATGCCAGACAAAATGTGACTTGAGCTTTCTATTGGCTTTGTTGGTAGGACTGACTCTGGATATTTCAAAGTGATTTTGCAGTTCCAACCACTTCTTATTTATGTTTTTAACCTCATTCAAATCCTGAGATACCTCAAAATTTAATATTGGTCCAGTTGAGTTTGAGATAACAAAGTTTGGCAATATATGTAAGGAAACATGCTCATATGCACATAATTTTTATCTAGTTTTCCATCTTTCTTACCTTTCACAGCTATGTTGGTTCCCTTGTACATGCTTTTATGAAAAGCATAAATGATCTTCTCCTTTAAAAGAAAAAAAGAAGAAATGTTAGATTGAAAACTGTATTTACTTTTAAACTTTTTTTTTTAAACTAAAATGTTTTGGTCTATTAGGATTGAGAGTGTTAAACATAAAATTTTCAATTCCATTACAGGTACTAGTACATGTATTACCATTAATGGCATTATCGATATTTGAACTTATTTTAGAAGTAAACAGAAATCACAAGGATTTACAAATAATGTCCTCATAAATGCACTGTTGAAACGTATAAAATTTGAAAACAGGTGAGAATTAAATACATGGACTGTGGAAAGCTGAAAAAGGTGCAAGACAATGCAAAAAATGTAAATGACAGTTGTCTGTTTTTCTGATTGTAGTGGGGGGGGAGGGGGGGGGGGGAGCCGAAGAGTGGCTTTTTAATTAAATGGTACTAGCAAACATTGTTTAATGATAAAAATTATTATCATTGGGGTGCTTTGAGCAACAGTTTGGGCTTATTATATATTAACATATGAAGAATTTGTGTTGTTGGATAAATGTGCTTTCTGTAATTCTTTTGGGGTGCTTTTACCAAAAGTACGGGGTGCATAGAGCAAACTTGGAAGTGTATTTCAAGGTCTGATTATTTTTCCAGTGTGCTGGAATGCCTTTTCTGTGCAGTCTTTAGGTGCACTTTGACCAGAACTAGGAGGGTGTCTTAAAACGTTTTAGGACTATTCAGATTATTTTCCTATAAAATATTTCAGGGGATGCTTTGACCAAAACCTCGAGGCACTTTGACCAAAATTAGGCGCAAAAAATTAGGGACACTTTGACCAATACTTAAGGATGATTTTAAAACAAATTTTTTCTATAAAAATATGTTTATATAATGGATATTTATAAGGGGTGTTTTGACCAATATTATGAGGCTCTTTGACTAATATTTGGGGGAAATTTTGTACAACTTTCTTTTAAATCATATTAGGGGGCTTTTTGACCAAATCTATTGGGCTTTTTGACCAAACTTCAGGGGGCTCTTTGACCTAGATGATTTAGTTTTGGGGTGCACATACGGGTATTCCATCCTGAATCTGACTTTTAAACACCTCTTTTTAACTTCCCTAAAAACTAATTTCCTTGCTTTGCATTTTTCGATACTTAATATAGAGTAATGTTTTACAAAGTCTGAAAGAAATGATAGCGAGCAGTGCAAATTGCCACTCGCACTGTGAGCTCTTAAAGCAATGCCTTGGCCAAGAAATAATTTGGACTATACACATTGATCCGAATGAATTTTTTCCGCAGTAACTTCTGGACCCACAATCCTTTGCAAATTGCATCTTCCTGCCAAATTGCCAAAAACTGTGTTCTCAAGAGAACCAATGAGAAGTTCACAAATGAAAAAGCAACTCTCCTTGCTATAATCAAAATCACAGATAAATAGCAGGTTAAACACTGTTAAAAATTTTCACTTTTCAGACTCGGTTATATGTGTAAATGCAATTAAAATATATTGACATATGACGTCACAGTCTAGACTGAGTCTCATGCAGTTTGACTGAAGAGGCTGAACTAATTAAGTTAAAAGTGTGTGCTGTGTATCCACAGTGTGCGAAACTAACTTTTTAAAGCTATAGACAATTGATCTACAATAATTTGAAATTCTATAGACCTGAGAAATTTCCTATAGACCAAAAAAATTATATATCTGTATTTTTATTTAATTGTATATTTTTCAATTGCTTATTCCTTTTTCCCTACACTGCATTATTTTATGAATTGGCATAAGATACATAGAGGTTTATAACCATGATTATTAAGAAATGATTGGGGGGGGGGGGGGGGGGTGTTACACTTTGAACAGTAAATTTATTATGTTGAATTTTACAGATGCAGGGAGCATTAAAATTTCTAAGAAGATTTCAATTTTTGTTAATGAAAACTTGTGTGAATAGGCAAAAAAATGTGTTTACTGTAACATGTTGAAGAAAAAAATTCTAGGCTCTTAGGATTTTTTTTCATTTGCCATATTGGTTTTAAAAAAAAATTAATTAAGCATATTGCTGAAAATGAAGATGATTTTTTTTTATCATTTTTATGTACTAGTTAATCAATAGTCATGCATAAATATCACTGAATTTAATTATCTTTCTATCCCCTTTTGCAAAGGTGCATATATATCTATAGATTATAGAGCAGGGCTCGACATTAACTTGTTTTCCTACTTGTCCATTCAGACAAGCAACCAAGACATTTACTTGTCCGAACTTCAACTTCACTTGTCCGAAAAATTTTCAATAAAGATCTAATACTGTTAACTGAAAAACTAAAAATAAAGTACATTACATGTGCATGATGTTATTTTCAAATACAACGAACACATAAAACAATATTTTATCTAGACTTTCTGTCCTGACAACATAAATGCTGTCAACATAAAACAGAATCCGAACTCAGTTCCATGCCTTTGCAGTAGTATGCAATTAGTGAACTTCAATCCAGATCGAGTGTACTCAATTAGGGCGCGTCGATTTACCCAAAAGGACCTAAAAGAACCCAAAAGGACCCAAAAGGAACCCAAAAGGACTCAAAATCAATATATTGTGATATACTGAAAATTAATAATTTGAATGAAATAATGAATATTACATTATAAATTTACATAAAAGTTGGCAAAAACATAAATTGATACTGTTGCAACTTTTCTTTGAGAAATAACATAATGCCTTATATAACACATCAAACACTAAATCTGGTTAGATATGCTTTGTTTTATTTGAGCTGAAAATAACAAAATATTATTATATTTCCCCTTCTATTGTACCATATCTTACTATATGTTGTACCATAGGACTGGCGGTAAATTTAGATTTTGCTTTGATGTTGCTGTGGTGTATTTGCCAGAAGAATCACAGTTTTTTAAGTTACGCCCACCTTTTTGGCATCAAGCCATACTGTGACAAGACCTTGACTGATGAATGAATGATGTTAATTTCCAGACGTTGGCAATGGCTGATGAATGAATTAAGTCAACTATACTAACATTAGCTTGTCGATGTTCGCTTCATAAATATTTCTATATGTTTTCTCCGCGTATCCTTAATCAGTAAATGATACGTCCTATCTCGAATTCTCGTTATTCTCTTTCCCGTCTCCAAATACATATAGCAATTTCACATCAGAAGTCCCCGCGTTTTTTTTTTACTTTCAATACCATTTCAAACTTTCATTAAAATGTCAGAAATCATTTCATTTTTTTCTGTTCGCCGATTGCCATAAAGAAAATTTTCAATGGCGAAATTTCCCATACACCCCCCCCCCTTTTTTTCAAAAAAAGAGAAAAAAAATGATATAGAAAGATTAATTTTCTTTCAGAGTTGACGGCCTGAATATAAAAGCCTACAATCGCTACCCCTGTACCTGACAAAAATCATGTTTTCTGCATCTTCAACATTCCAAACGTACAATATCTTCACACGTACCAATTCCGAATTTTTTATCAACGATTTGCAGTAGCAATGCTGCAGCTAAAAATGATCCTTGCAGATGGAGATAGCTATTTATACAGACTCCGGACCTTGACTTGACACCTCGTTGTAGGCGGTGCTAATTATCAACTTGCTTTTCTCTCATTGGTCCTCTGGTACAAGTAACTTACACAATAGATATTAATTGGTTCCGCCCCTCGTGAATGAAAAACTGTGAGTGTATTTACCGCGAACCAATTAATATTTATAGTGTAACTATAACATATATAATGAAGCAGTAAGTTTTATTTTATGACTTGTTCTAGGCATATGGTATCGGGGGTGGGGGTGGGGGAAGGGGGACCCCCCACCCTAAACACACACTCCCCCCCCCCCCCCCCAAACTACTGTTTTATTTTCAATAAAGTATGAAAGTGTTCATTGAATATCCAGATATCCCCTTTACTTCATGTCCTTTTGGGTTGCTTATAATTTACTTCTGGATCCTTTTGGGTAAATCGACGCACCGCTCAATTACAAAGCGATCTATGTCGGGATCAAAGTTCGGTTTTTATGTACTGTTTCCGTCTTAAAGTACCGGTAAACTTTTAACAGTCGTTCTTTTAAATATTTAGTCTTCTTTACATAAAAATGCATTTATCCTATCGGACAAGTACCCAGCAATATTCACTTGTCCGTATTTTTTTTTCACTGGTGCCGGACAAGCAGACAAGCGTTAATGTCGAGCCCTGTTAAGAGTGAACAATGGTTTTTTTTTTCATGTGAAAAATTAAAATGTATTTTAATTATATTTTTTATGTGATATAAATCAAACCAATACCCATTCTTTGGTTTACTGAGTCAGGAAACAATTTTATGGGATATTTAGACGTATCTACAATAAACAGAGGAATTGAGGAAATTCGGACTACAAAAAAATTACAATTGTTTTAGGAATAAATAAAACATGTAGTACTGCAAAATGGATTAGATGAAGGAAATTTATGAACAATAGAGCATTGAAGCATAAGTTTTTCCTTGGATGAAAAGTTGTATTGTTTAAAACGGCCAATTTTACTCTATAGACAAATCGGTCTTGAGATATTCACCTTGCTATAGACCGGGCGCATTTTCTATAGATTTTGTCTATCGGTCTACCGTTAATTTCGCACACTGATCCAGTTACAAACACACAACAGTTACTGTGCTTGTCCCAACTGTTGTACCATCATACATATTATCCTTTTAAATTTCATGAAAAAAGGATGATTTATTGATTATTTATCAAAAATTGATTGGTTTTCTACTACCGACTGCAAAACTGTTATGGATTATGATTTCAAACTTAATCCCCGTCACTATTAAATACCTAAATCAAGTTTTACTTTTGCAGACAGCAACAATGTATACAAAGCTATATACTGATAGTGAGTGCAGCAAGCTCAATAGTCTAAGGTGTAAGAACAGAGAAAACTCAAATTAAAATCTGTATATTCATCAAGGAAATTTTTCTGTGAAATCTTCCAGAATTCCTTCCCTCAAAGGATTCCATGTGATAATGGAGAATAGTTATTGCATAGAGTTTCAACAAAACAGAAAAATAATTGATCTACTATGCCTTTCGTTACAAAATTGCAAAAGGCCTATTTAGAATCAGTTACGGAAATGCAACTTACATATGAAATACGACATCATGTGATGTCACAGTCTAGACTTTCTTGTGCTGTTTGAAGTTAAAAAGGCGGATCAAATTTTAAACTGTAAGCTATGTATAGATATTTTTTTTATGGTATTACAACTGCGCTCGCTCCTCCAACAGTAGCACTGTAAAACATTAATTTAATTATATACTTGTGCTTTCTTCACCAGATTGTGCTGCATCTTCATGTAATTTTTACAATTCTATCCTATTTGTGAAGTGAATAATATACTTTCAAGATATAAATATTTTACTTAACAAAAAAGGTGAATAATATAAAGAACAAGGAACATGTATTCATGGAAACAGTAAAACACACGTAGATGACACCCCCCTTTTTTCAACCGAAAACTGTCACAAGCTAAATGTTTGCCATCTGCAACGAATTGGTAAAGGAAGGTTGCAAAGATATAAATTTTCTTACTTTATCATATTTAACTCTCCAAATCCCTGGCTCAGATATGGAAATTACGCCAGAGACGCAGAGAGCGACAGTCAACAAGTTCAGCATCACTTCCGGTTCTCATATGAGTAAGTAAGTGAGACGTACTAAAACTAGTCGAAACAACCGCCGTTTATTTTTTAATAACTGTCATAATTAAACACCAATAATGTGCAATAATATGAGATATGAAGTACAATTAAGAACACATAATATACAAATTTGTTATAACAGAAAGATAATGATTGTTCTCTAATGAGCAGAAAACCTTTTAGCTTACCTGGCACCTGGTTTTCATGACATCAAGGGTTTTTTCCCTTTATTTGTTTGTATTTGTTTTGAGCAATGTGAAAAAGTCTAAATGCTAGAAATTATTATTCATCGAATACAGAGAACAGATATAATGTCCTTCAAATTAAGACTTACAGACATCTTAAATTCTATTTACATACTTTTGTTTACAGGGAAGAGAAAGATATCAGTCATATCTATTTCCTTGTTTTTGTTCGATAAATGGAGTAAACTTCGTGTTTTAGATGTTATGATATGGAATTGAAATTTTCATTATAGTTATATGTATGAGTATCATTACAAGTAAATAAAGAAGTTTTAACATGGGGATTTTTTTTCCAAAAGAAAAGGGGGTCTATATCAAAATGGGGTTGATAGCAGTTGGGCAGTCGGGCACTCAACATAAAACAAAATGGGAAATTGTGTAACCGTTTCTTGATTAATAACAAGACGGTGTTCAGTGGCAGATTCAGGGGGGTTGGGGGAGGTTCGGGACCCCCCACCCTCCACCCCCACCCGCCCAATCAAAAATTTTTTTTTTTTTTTACAAGTGTCATTTTAACAATATATTGCATAAATGAGACTCTATCCAAGCCCATTGTTTTACACAAAGAGGTGAAATATACATGCAGCCACCATGCAAAATCCCTTTCCACTTGAGAGCACACAATACACGTAATCAACAGTACAGAGATCATGATAGTCCGTGCAACTATAGTGATGACACAAGGTCATACACTAACAACCAAAATTGCACATAGTTATTACAGTATTGTTTTGGTATTACTAAAGTATTAATATTCTTTCGATAATGTTCTTCTTCTTCGATAATTCAATGTTACTTTATTGAACTACGTGAATAAACTGTGATTATTATTTAGAAAAAAAATTAATACATCAGGGACAGATACTTACGGAAGCGTATTAGTGCCATTTTGACACTTTTTATTTTTAATTTCTAGTACACTTTAATGTGTAAAATTTACACTTTAATGTGTAAAATTTACACCTTAATCTGTAAAATTTACACTTTAATCTGTAAAATTTACACTTTAATGTGTGCATTTTAAACTTTAATGTGTAAATTTTACACTTTAATTTTTAAAATTTACACATTTTTATCTGTAAAATTTACACTTTAATGTGTAAATTTTACACTTTAATCTGCAAATTTTACACTTTAATCTGTAAATTTTACACTTGAATCTGAAAAACTTATTCTGTAATCTGTAATAATCGAACGGTCGTTGCATGATGTTAAATCTATGACATTTGAAAAATTAGTATCATGTAACATGTTAGCTAATGAGGCCATAGGTGTTCTAATGATTATAGGAACGAATTAATGCAACAAATTTCACACCGGGCAAAATAAATGACGTGTAAAATGCTACTTTATGTAAATGTTTTGCAAATAATGTAGATTTATTTGTATAAAAAAGTGTAATAAACCAAAATTTTTTAACCCTGATTTTTTATATAAATCTAATTTTTTTTAACCAATGAAAATCATATACGTTTACAATATTTTTGTACGGAACTGGTGTATGGCGTCCTCCTTCATGTAAACGTCAAATCGGACTGTAAATTGATTATTTTTTTCGTTTAGCATGTGTATATGAAGATTTCTGTAGTCTGTACGTGACCAAAAATGAAGAATTCCTTCGTTTATCACTTGTGGTACAGTGCTTTTTGGACACTGGTAACAAACGCATTTAATCCATTTATGGATCATGATCTCCATGCAATCGACTGGGTTGGACCGAATGATCTAGAAAAAATTGCGGTAAATATGGTGATTTCTTTTAAGAAAACCAGTCAACGCATCACATAACCAAACGGCCCAGGTCAAAGATTCCCTTAATTTAAAGCCAAAGCACCCCGTAATAAAATTAAATAAAAAATTGTCTTTACAAAAGGGAGCCGGACAAAACCACCCCGGGTAATCAAAGATCCACTAATTATAGTCAGTGCGCCCCCATTTGGTCAAAGCACGGCATGAGAAAATTTTATGCAAAATTTTCAGTACAAAACCATCCGTAAGTATTGGTCAAAGAGCCCCAAAATATTCGCTAGCCCCAAAATATTCGTCAATGTGCCCAAAGTTTGGTGAATGGCCCCCAACTTTTGTTCTTTGCGCTTCTTGACATTTTTATGGAAAATTGTCTCTACGAAACTGTTCTCCCAATTATTGGTAAAGAGCCCCCCTTAATTTTTTTTCCCTGAATATAGATAATTTTTTATACACTTGTTGTTTTGAAACCTTCTCCAAGTAATTAGTTAGAGCAACCTAGTGCTCCCTAGCTTTTTTTTTGCAGCTCATGACCACATCGTAATGAAACATGATAGCCATAAGGTACAAATCCAGGAACACTGTGAATGCAGAACTTAATTACAGAATAATTCTTTGTAAAATAATTTGGTATTAAAGGTATTGAAAATGAAAGCATTCACAAATGATTATAAGATATCATCTTCGCTAGCCAAGGGTTTCTAATACGCTACTCTCCTCATAAGCCCTTGGCATGCGGTGTTAAAAAAAGTTAGGATTTTTTTCTCAAGTTGTGATTGGAGTTGATCGACATCGTTCGACCATCAGCAATTGTTTTCATTTCCAGTTTCCCATTTATACAGTATGTGTCATATATTACAGTACAATGGCTGTGAATATTGATATCACCAAAGTAACCAGATAAAGTAAAATACTGCAATTCTGTTTGAAATCATTGTAAAGAAAATCATCAAAACAGGAAAATGTGAAAAATTGTGAAGTAATTGGAAGATGAGATATGTTGACTTGTTCAAAAGAAATTAAAAAAATAAGCTGAACTTCAGATATCTGGAATACCCTGATATATTGAATTTTTTCATAAGTCCCGTTAACTTCAACATATCCAGAATTAACTGTATTTAAGTATTGTCCAGGATTGTCCCTAGGAATTAAAATAGGAGGGGACATTAAAAAATTAGAAGGAGGTCTAGGGTTCCTCCCTTATGATGAAAGAGAAAACCAGAGTAACTGGGGGATTACGCCATTATAGGTGGGGACATTTCCCAGGCCTGGATCTTAGGGACAACCCTGATTATCCCTCTTAGTACTGTATATTGAATTTATAATTATGAAATTATTCTGGTGATGCCTTTGCAAAGAATTTTGTTTTTTTTGAGTTGCAAAGCTTGCTCAAACTATTACATAGCCATTGTTTACTTAGTCATCATTCAAATGCTTTTGTGTGATCTCACTTATGAGGATCCTTAAGGGGTCGCTTGGTAACAGTATCTGGAATTAATATCTGATCAGTATGTCACCTGGAGAGGGATATGGATTTAATTCCAGGTCACATATGGAGGGGGGATGTGAACTACTGGTGTATTGTGCCAGTCGGCAACATCATATGGTTTTATACAGTATACAAGTTATCCTTTCAATTGATAAAATTTCAAGATATGTATCAGAGACAGAATAAATATATAATACAGATATGAAGTTTACACGTATGCAAGATGATATGTATTGTATGTAAATATATATATGCAAAATGAAATATTTACATATTAATTTATGTAAAAAGATTTTATAAGTAGACTAAAGCACCCTATTCTATATTTCAGCCAGGAGAAAATGTAATTGTGATGAAAACGAAAGCCAATGAAAAGTATAGCTGTGTTTTACCTGAGAGTGCTGATGCAATAGAAGAGGTACTATGTTTGAACAAAAAATGTGATAAATTTTGATGGAGGAGGGTGCGAGTCTTGTAGATCCTATATTGTTGTACTAGAATCATGATGTATTTCAAATGGTAATATGATTTATTAAAATAATTAGGGATATTTATGCTCTCTGATTGATTTTCCTCTGACTGTAAAGATTTTGCTTTTTATTGTGTAATTAAATTGAAATTAAAGCATGCATGATGGTAAACATAAAAATCCAATCCAACATACTCACCTGGAATTTATCATTGACACAAAGGTCTTGAAATGTGTAATATATACAGATGTACATGTATTTATGTTAACTTAATTTTTTTTGTTACAAACAGGAACTAAGGAAACATTATGATGGACCAAGTCCAGATGCACTGATTAGCAGTTTGTTTCAGCAGAATTCTTGCTCATATAGGGTAAACAATTTTCAATTTGCTTGCAAGTAATCTATCATTTTGTTGATGGGAATCTACATGTATTAACAGTATACAGTGTTCGAGATAATTGCTCAACCTACGGTATGAAAAATTAACAATATGTAATTTTTATTGCATAATACACCCATATGGGTCAAGCAATGCCATTCAATACTTGTAATAATAAAACAGTGAACAATTAATATATATATGCAATAGGCACAAGTAATTTACTCCTTATTTTACACTGATGTGGGCCTTTTATTTCTTAATTCTAGCAATTTATTAAAATGCAAAAGCCAATAAAACTTCAAGTGTTGGACTAGGTATATATATTCAAGTTTCTGTATGGGTAATTTTAAGATACTAGACTGTTCCAAGGGATGCATGTATGTATCGCCTGCTTTGTAGCTTCATTAAAAATGTAAATAATTCTAAGGGTTTCAGCTATTTATTTACTACTAGCATGATAATGCCTGCATTTGTCTGTAAAGAAAAAAAAAAGAAGCTTCCACAAATAGTATAAGACTGAGAGAATCTGACAATCAAGTCGAGATGAGCTTATGCTATACCCCCGGTGTCGGCGTTGATGTTAAAGTTTTAGGAGCAAGCCCATTCCAAAGTAACTATAAGCCTACCTGGACCAAACTTGCATGGATGATTCATCTAGGGATGGACACTACCACACATGCTTCAGATGCTGGATCTGACCTAGATTTTCCAGATGAGTGACCAGGTTTCCCAACTACCTATAAGCCCTACCTGGACCAAACTTGCATGGATGATTCATCTAGGAATGGACACTACCACACTTGCTTCGGATGCTGGATCTGACCTAGATTTTCCAGATGAGTGACCAGGTTAAAGTGTTTGGAGTAGGTCCATTCCCAAGTACCTGTAAGCCCTACCTGGACCAAACTTGCATGTATGATGCATCTAGGGATGGACACTACCACACTTACTTCAGATTCTGGATCTGACATAGATTTTCCATGAGTAAATTTTAGCCATATTTTAACCAAATTAGTATGGATGATGTATCTGGGGATGAACACTTCCAGACTCACTATGGTTCTGAATCTGACCTACATTTTCCAGATGAGTGACCAGGGTAATGTTTTTGGAGTAGCTGTATATTAATATTTTGGCCTGTTATGATTAAACTTGCATAGATGGTGCATCTAAGGATGAAAACTTTCAGACTTGCTTTGGATGTTGGAACTGACCAAAATTTTCTTGATTAGTAAGCAGGTTAAAAGTTTTTTTGAGCAGATCTATTACCAAGTAACCATAAGTCATACTTAAACCAAACTTACATGAATATTGATCTTGGGATGTACACTAATCAAAAAAAAAAATATGATGTGAGATTTGCCTTACTTATAGATAACATTCGTCGAGGTGAGCTTCGTAATCTTTGATTACCCATGTTTTTTCTTTCCAGGCAAATGCTAGTCATACTAGTGATAAGTCAATAGCTGACCACTCTAATATGATCATATTTATTTACATCTTTAATGAAGGTACAGATCAGGCAACACATGGGTTCCTTGGAACACTCTTGTTTAATATAATATTGCATAATGTCTCTGTAAAGGTTCCTAAATATTGGATGATACCTTTATTGTTTGTACACTTAGATTGAAAGTTACTGGACATATGAATTATGTCATGGTAGATATCTAAGGCAGTATCATGAAGATAAGGAGCTAAGTGCAGTAAGTTTATAAGTACATGTATATTTTCCTCATGTGATATTTATAAATGTGTAAACTATACTTATGGGAACATTTGATCCATTTATGATGAATACTAATTAGTAGAAATAAATTGTAAATGTTCTCTTTTTCTTAATTTCATGATGAATCTATAGATGTGTGCATAAATAACAGAATATAGAGCTGTATATCCATTTAATGATCAGGAAACAAAATACTTAAATTTTGTTTGAGAAGGAAAGAAATCATGAAATGGTCTTTTTTTTTCAACTTTCAGAAAAAACCAAAAGTACAGGAGTATTATCTTGGATATTTTGGACAATATAGACCTTCAAAAGGCCAGGGTAGGATTTTTCTGTTGTTAATTATGACCTACTTACTAAGTCCTCTTCACGCTAAGAACAGATAGGGCCTTGTTGTTGATTTATTATTCTGCAGTTCTATACCTTTATTTTATATATACAATAGAAAGTGTTGAGTTAGAATTGGACATACAGGTGTATCAGTATATATACAGAAGTGTACAATGACTCAGAATCCTTTTAAAAAATATATGGTAAACAGATCTTCATGTAGTATATTTATGTGAGTTTTTTTTTTTAGATTTAGCAAAAGAGTTAGAAGAGAAACTGAAACCACAAGAAGTAAGAAACTTATACTTTATGTATATAGTATTCTATCTATTAAAGAGAGAGAGAGAGAGCATGCATGTGTGAGGGGGGATTCAAGTATATATATGCACAAGTACCGGTAATTCTGAACTACCCAGTAGTGTTAAAGTACCTGCAGATCTGTATCTCTATGGTCTGAACAAATTGGAATGGACAACCAGAAAGTTACAGTGCCACACATAGAAAAAAATGTATATTTATTGTGCACAAAATATTGTGCTAGGTTCTAGATTTATTTCTCCATATTTTTAAACTGCAATCTCAAATTATTAGTAACCCTGTGTTTATAATATATCTTTCACTTCATTTCCTATAACCTTGTTAATAGCCCTCCTGGGCCTAAAGTTGAGACCATCCAAAATTTTGCCTGTTTATACTGCCATTTTGGATGGCAAGACAATTTGGCCCAAACACTTTATAAAGATGTCAACTACAAAAGTTGATAGAGGTCTAAGATTTTTTTAAAGTGTGCTTTTTGTGCAGTTGAGGTAAGAATTTGGAGAAATAAAGAACCCAGGGCAACTTTTCGTGTGCAATAAATATACAGTTTATTCTATGGGTGGCACTGTAACTCTCCGATCTGTCTTTTTTTTTTTCCAGAGAGCTACAGTTCTGCAGCTACTGTTAAAAATGTATAACTTTATATATTTGTCTGAAACACTCTGGTAGCATATAAGTCATGAAATTCTGCTGAAAATTTTTAACTTCAACATCTTGTCATTGCCCCATAAACTGGACAAAGTATTCCTTTGCAACATTTCATTCAAAGGACATAGTTTCTCACAGCATGAACTGATATTTATGTTCACAACATAATTACTTATTACTGTCCTTGACCTTTGATCTTTTGGCCCTGAAAGCAGTAGGTATCTTTCCATGGAAACTTTACATCTCTGTAAGCAAGTAGAAGACTAAAAGTTCAGTTGTTTTTTTCTTTTCCACAACTTGGTTTACAAATCTTTGTCTTTGATTTTAGCTTTTAACATTTGACCCTGGAATCAATGGGCTTCTTAGTCTTGGTACCCTTTATCTCTGATAGACTACCCTATTGTTATACCCCCCGCAAACGAAGTTTAGGGGGGGTATATTGGAATCAGCATGTCCGTCTGTCTGTCCGTCTGTCTGTCCGTCTGTCCGTCTGTCTGTAGACGAGAGTTTGTCCGGACCATTTCTTGGAAACTGTTGGAAGGATTTGTCTGAAAATTTGTACACTTATTATTCACCATATGAAGGTGTGCACCTGGTATTTTCATTATGATTGGATAATTATTTTGCATTTTACAGGTGTTTTTTTCATTTTTATTATGTGGTTTTGTCTGGATCTGTTCCCAGAGACTATTGCATAGATTTGTATGAAAATTTGTACACTTATTATTTACCATATGAAGATGTGCACCTGGTATTTTCAACATTATTTGATAATTTTTCTGCATTTTACAGGTGTTTTTTTTAAATTTAATTTATTGACTTAGTCATTTCGGGTTCATCTCTAAGGTTTGAGACATAGAATTTAGAACATCTGTACAAAAATGTGAACTACAGCTTAAAACTACTCATTAGAACTAAAAAAAAACCCACAAAGTATTAAAAACAGTTTTTACATTACACAGCAGATAGTGTAAATCCATTTGTCCTTTGGGAGTAATGAGTGGACATGCATCCAGTTAAAGATTAATTAATGAGTTCAGTGTGGGAAGCTGTTAGGGCATCTCTGATCAAGCAGGTCTTATCTATATCTCAGGGGAATTGGGCAGAAAGAAATAAAGATCTCTGTTGTCTAAGTCTCTTACTTGTAATTTATGTCTGTCAAATACATAGTTACTAAAACCAGCCTTTTATTTTTAAAATGAGTTTGATATAAAGGTATTAAAATCAATTTGATTTTCTATAATTAATTATGATATTCTTTTTTTCAACAATCAATTTGCAGAGTGTCATGTCTCACAAAGATGGCAGATAGTTGCAAACTATTTTTTCAATGTAATAAAAAACACTGTAATTATTAATGTTGATGTTTTATTAGGCTGCACCTTAGTTTCATTCATTAAATAAAGTGCCCCACCACAGCATGATATGCCCATCAAATATTGTTAAATTATCATAAACAGTTTAGATTCAATTGTTTGAATGACATCTTAGCGAGACAAGGCAGTCTGCAATTTGTTGTAAAGATATAAAAATTCAAATAAAAAATGTACAATAAATAATTAGTTTAAATTATATTATACAATATCATATAACTTTTAATTATTATATACAATATCAAATTGGTTTTAATTACATCAAATTTATCTTGAAAGTAAGACTAGCCAACAAGAACAATTCAATACAACACAAGCAATTAATTAAGAGACTGATTCCTTTTGCCCAATTCCCAAGAGATGTAGATAACACCTGCTTGATCAGAGATGCTCTACCAGTTATCTCCTCACACAAAACTCATTAATTTCTCTCTAATTTGACATGCAATTTTCTGCTATCAAAATTTTCCTTGACCAGTGCCTGATCATTACACCCATGGGAGAAGTGGAATTTTTGTTGTTACAGATTGCTGTAAAGAACATAATGAAAAAAAATTAGACTAGTATTTTCTTGATTTAACACTTTTTTAATAAAGATACTGCAATACTCTGACATCTTTTGGGACTGTGTAATTTAAAAGTTAAAAGACATAGTTTTTTGATTCTAAGTCTAATGGTTTTCTAGTTATGATTTTTCCATATCTGGCCATAGCGTCTTTATTAAAGGTCAGAGCGACCTGGTTTTAATGTGCAACACACCTTCTACCCTAGATGTATCAGCTGACAAAGTTTGATAATTCTAGGCCTAATAGTATTAAAGTTATGAGCCGGACATGAAAAAGCTAACGGATGGACAAACATGAACGCTATAACATAATACGTCCCGTCGTAAGACGGACGTATAAAAATATATAATGAGTAATTAAATTTTCACTGTAAATGTTTAAGGAAATTGTGAACACCTCTCACATCTAGAAAACATTAGTGATTTGGTACTTTCTCTGAAAAACCCAGCGGGGGGTATTTGTCCCTTTTGGACAGTTCTAGTTAAGACTTAAAAAGTCTTGTGTATCAAACCGATTTGAGTTTTCTTGAAGTGGATTGTGTGGTAGAAGATAATTGTAAGAAAAAAATCTGACAAATGCACTTGCTTGTGAGTCGGTTTTATGTAACAAGGGCATGTTTGACCAAATTGAAACTTTCCCAATGAGGCAGCAAGTTCAAGGTCACTGGCAGAGAAGTGTATTGTGCAGTTTGGTCCAAAACTGTCTAATAGATGCTAATTGGAAGTTGATGCTTTTATGACCCAAGGCTGTTTCATGGTGTTTACTTGTGGCAATTTTGGCCAGGTCAAGCTTACTGAGAGAGAAAGTGTTAAATTCGTGTCTGGTCTATAACTTTCTAATGAGAAAACATTGGAAGTTCACTCTTCACAAAATTGTAACTAATGTCCTGGAAGTGTGTCAGGAACTTGACCCAATGATAAATGTCATTCTGGCAAGTTCAAGGTCATTGGCAGAAAATGTATAAAATTTGTGTCCATATTCTTTCATGGATAAGTATTGAAAGTTGATGCATTTAAACTTCAAACAAAGATTACTTTTTGAAACACCATTTTGGCAAGTTCAAGATTACATTTATTGTGTATGGGCACTTTTGAAAAAAATTGCACGGGGGGGGGGGGGGGGGGGGTATAACTTTGTAAGCTTGCTCGGAGTACCTCTAGTTGATTTTGACCTTTTCACTCTCAAATGCTTACATTTGTATCCTTGGTGACCTGCTTCATATGTACATGTATTGGTGAATCTAAGACTAAGGAGTGATACAATATGCCACATATTGTGTTTACAAGACTATTTAAAATACAAATGCATGCATGCACAAATTAACTTTTGGACCTTGCGGCTGTGTTGCAAAGGGATAAAATTATTCAGACTGCTGAAAATACTTGTTTTTGTGTTATTTATGTGTGGTAACTTAGTATATATGTATTTGTATTTTCTATAATAATACTACTTTTAGATCAAGAGTAAAAGAGTAGATGACATAGAACTACCTTATTATGAAGTGAACATGACAGAGGGTACAGAGTGCGATCTAAACAAGAAACCACGACAAGTAAGAATTCTCTACATCTGTCAGCCTGATGGACGAGGAGAAATATACGAGATGAAGGAAACTTCAACTTGTGAATATGAAGTATTGGTGCTAACATCTGTTCTTTGTGCAAATCCAAAGTTCAAGTAAGTTTTTCTTTTGAAATCTTCATGTCATTCTCCTATGAACTTTACACGTTTTGTGTCATGTACATGATATATGGAAAGTATGATTACTGGAAGGACAGAATGTGTATTTCAAATTTCTTTGATAATCTGTGGGTATAAACATATTTACTATGGAGCTTTCATACATTGTAGACCAAAAAACCCACCTGTCAGTAAAATAGCCTGTCATGCAATGGACGGCTCACCTGTACGACCCACTGGTCTGGACCACGAGTTTCAGATACATCCCAATGCTAAAGCCTACACTGTATGTAATTTTAATTTTATTTCATAAACTATGCAGGTATGTTAAGGCAGTACCCAGATCATATTTCGGCGAATTTAGACTTTTTTCGTAAAATGTAACATTGAAAAATCGGAAAAACCATAGATAAAACATTTACTATTATTATCCATTGTACCGACGTCATTGAGTCTTAGGCTAAAAGAAGCACTCCACTACGACGTCATCACGTGACGTCTATAAATAGAAAAATTGCCTTAATGAAAAAGTGAAAAGTTCAACACTATCCCGGAGATAATTCATTTCTTTTAGTGAAAATAATTATGTAAAAACATCACTGGGCCATGAAAAGTGCTGCTAGAATCCTACTCTCCTGACACAGAAAATAATATTCCAAAGTTTCGCATGAAACCTTACCAAATTTTTTACATTTTATACATACGATCAAGGAATTTTTATCAATTCATGTTAACCACACGATTCTAGCAGCACTTTCCAAGTACTATAGAATACAAGTTTTCGATACAAACAAAAATTATATTTCAAAGTATGCGGCGTAGTGTTGAACTTTTGCATCTTTGTTGTTCTAGAACGACAGAGGAACGGCTGATCGGGATTTCAAAGCACTGACTATGTTTATTATAAGAAAACATGATAAGAATATATCAGCGTACCTGATTCTTAATCTTTAATTCCTTATGAATCACACATAACATTCATGGTATATGCCTTAAAACTCCCATTTCATATATTTGTTTACATGAATTCTCATTTCACTCGGCAAATATTTGATCAATGGTTATGACGTCATGGGTTTGGTATTTAACCCCCGTGCTAAATAATTAGCTATTTATACCACCCAAAAATGACAAGATTTAGTTTATATTATGTTTTGAATGATTCCATTCTTTTCTTGGACCTGAAATTAAACTTTAAAGATAGATATTAAGAAATCATTATTTCTATAGTTCACGTCATACAGCTTACTATGACGTCATATTGTGAAGGCAAGTAGGAGATCTCTGGGAGTAGCCTTAACATACCTGCGTATAGGCCATTTTTCATTGTAATCACAAACATCTGTTTTCAGATTATTTAATCTAACTTATTTGTGACCATGGTTACTGATGACAACTCCGTGAAAATCTGATTGCAAATGTCATTATTTTTTCTGAAGTTTGTCTAAGTAATAAATGGTTTTGGTGACAGTTTTCACTGTGACAAACTTTCTAGACTTTCCAACAATCAGGAAGTTAGTGGCTCTCTCTTGGATGTGAAAGAAAACTTGCTTGTAAAGCATTAGTTTTATCATTAAAAAAAATCAATCTTGCACAAGATGAAAATGGCTTTAATCTCACTTTTATCAGAGGTTGTGAGTTTGATTGACAGGTTCAAAGTTTGAATGACAGATTGTGAGTTGGATTGCCAGGTTGAACCTTTGATTGACAGGTTGAAACTTTGATTGACAGCTTGATACTTTGATTGACAGCTTGATACTTTGATTGACAGGTTCAGATTCATCCTGAGGAGGAAGAGGAGGAGCAGGAGGAGGAAGAAGAGGAGACAACTCCGACGAGTCAACCTCCCAAAAAAGAGCCACCCCCTCCCAAACCAGTGGACAACACTTTAACATCAACCACAGACAACCAGGTTCTGCGGGACTTCCTGTCCGGAGATCACTGTCTTCAAGGAGTGAGTAAAAAATGGAGACATCTCTCCAGAGGGAAAAAGTATTGTTGTAATGCAAGATGGTTACCTGGATACAGGAAAGCTCGGTTGTAGTGAAGTCCTCGCTACCTGTGAATTTACTTTGCTTTATCTGTAATTTGTTTAGCCGTATGGATACACTATTTTTGTTCAGTTGGCCTTCAGTGTTATTCTGATTTTCAGGGAACTGGTTGGTGGAAACATGAGTTTTGTTTCGGAAAGTATGCAAGGCAGTTTCATGATGTGAGTACCTACTGCAATGAATTAAAATGTTTAAAGTATTATGGTCTAGCACTTCTGAAAAATGTCCATAATTTGAAAATGCAAATTAATTTTAAATAAGCCAAAAGTTCAATGTAGGTTCTAATTTACATGTATATTTTATAGATGCTATGGTGTTTTATTTACGTGTAATGTGCTAAATTCTTGAAATTAGGATTTTGGAGTAAAAAATTTTAAGGCCATTTTTATTTATATTTGACAGGATCCAGAAGGAAGAACAGTTATCTACCTTGGACAGTGGCATGAACTGAAACATTTAGAATGGGTTTCTAAAAATCCATCAAAAATGCCAAAAGATAAAGGCAAAAGAAAGTAAGAATAAGTAAATATGATAATTCAAATCAAAATCTTGTGCCTCATGGGCAGATACATATAGATATAGAATATTTCTGTTTCTATGATTTGATTCAATACAACCAATGTTAATTATTATAAACTGATGACTGACATTCATAGTATGATTACCATTTTATATTCTGAGAAAAATTACAAAATTTCAACCTCAGTAAATGTGCATTATAAAAATTTGCTTAGCTTATGTTGAGTGTGATGAATTCAGTACTATTTTGGGATTTTTAGTTTATAGCATTGTTTTCTTGAATTACAGGTCATTATCCTTGCTATACACTGGAGGGGATGAATGTGATATTACAGGGAAAAGAAGATTAGCAGAAGTTAGATTAAAGTGAGTATATCTCTATTTTTCAAAAAAGCACTGTCTGAATTAGAAATTTTTAAAAATAAACTGTATAATGGGTAATTTCTGCTACTGTCCAATTTTTGTTGAGTGTCTGTTTTGTGGTCAAATTTGCAGAATAAAGATTTACAAAATAATCAGGTCATAAACCTATGGTATTGCTTAATAGGACAGAATTACATGTGCACTTGGAACTCTGGTGTCTCGAACACTGATATCTCGAATACCATGGATATGTCGAAGTAATTGGGAAGTCCCAACCCCTTATTTTTTAAGTATTTTACCCTGGATATCTTGAATCCTCGGATATCTTGAAGTTTTTTCTTGGTCCCATTGAGTTCGAGATAACAAGGTTTAACTGTACTTAATTTGCCAAAGGGAAATTAGAAAGCTACTTTTGATGGATCAAATCACAATTTACAGTTGCAGAAATTACCTGTTATACTGTAAAATACAGGACTATATGGTATTTAAATTGCTTGCATGTTAGTATAATGACAGTTACACCTATTTTCACTTTCATTTCATTTGAATACATGTACACAGTATGTGCATCCTGCTTACCTTCTTATGAGCATGTGCAGTAAATTTTGTGTGCCAATATTCAGTCTGATATGTAGCTGCATCATTTACTTTTACCTTACAGATGTGTAGAAAATGCCCAAGCACCACATTCTGTCTCCATTTATCTAATAGAACCAAAGACATGTGAATACATAATGGGAGTAAGTATAGAGTATATCTGTAATCAGACTGAACTTGTTTCCACTCCATCAATTGTTATTACTTGTACATGTATGTCTCTTTTTTTCACAGATTGAATCTCCATTATTTTGTTCCATATTAGACCGAGCTGATGAATATGGCATTATTAAAGACACAAAAGTGTAATAATAACTTACAGCAGAAATGAAATCCCGAGTCTTTCATGTGATATGCATGTTTGTGTGAAATAAGTGAGTTTTCTAAATTAAAGTGAATTATTTTAACATATACCCATTTTATTTTTAAAATCACAAATACATGTAATCTTGGTAATACATGTAGTACATTAATGGTAAAAGTCCTAGAAGTACATGTGATTTATGTTTGGAGAATGGTGCTTTTTAAAATGCATGTAAATGTAGTTATTATAAATGTACCATTCCTGTTTCCAAATTTAAAATTATAATTTTTTCTTGATAAAATTGTATAGAAGTTTGATGTATTGAATTCATTTATTGAAAATTTAAATAGCATTTTTTGTCAGTTTTATTCAGTTCATGAATGATTGTAAATACTACAATACTGTAAACTTGGATATTTTTACGAGATAAAAATGTAACAAAGCATTGGTGTAGGGGTTATTTTTGTGGAAGATAAAAAACATTTATTTCAGTTTGTTATTAAGTATTTCATCTATTTTGAAACTTTTCGAGTGGTTATTAATTTTGCAAAACTTTATTCATCACAAAATTTTTCATGCAAACATTTCCACATTTACAGTGCTATGTGTTCCATTCAAAGTTGTTCACAGTCTTCTACCACATGTTCAGGTTCAAATTTCTTTTTCAGTCTCTTGTTTTGTTCACATGTAAAGTGTAGGTGTAAAACTATGGTAGAAATTACGTGTTTATTAATGTGCAAAGATTAATGCTTCCTTAAATTAAAAATGAGTAATGGCAGAATATTTTCATATCTGTCAAGAGTTAATGCTTTAAGAACTTGGTTTTAAAAGATAATGTGCATAATAAAACATAAAACAAATACTTTGTAGGGGTTGAAATTCAAGGGGGGGGGGGGGGGGGTGTAATTCGTTGTTTGACATATGAATTACAGTAAATCACACTTATAGTGAACACACTTACATTGAAGTGATTTTCATTCCCCATCTCTTTAAAATATATTGTGAACTAAATGGATTTAATGAATTACATTTATAAAGAAGCAAAATAGTCTGTCCCTGGCACTTCATTATCAACATGCTTTACTGTAGTACAAATGTGAAGCATGTCTTTAATGTGTGTAAAATAATATTTTTCACACATATATTGTTCATGAATTCACAGTTTTATGGAGTGTGCAAATGTGGTAAAAATTTCCACTGCAAAATTCCCCCCCCCCCCCCATCAGTGAATATTTGAGTATAGCAAGTCATTTTCAACAGAGAATGAAATGAAGTCTACTGTAGTTGGATAATCATAATGTACAGAAATGAGGAAGCAATTTTTTTTTTTAAGGTTTGATATTGTATTTAATTCTAAATATCTTTTAAGTGGATTAAGTATTGGATGTTGATTACTATAGAAGCACAAAGTTTCATGGAGATAAAATTTTGTTGATTTGTTATCTAAAAAGGATTCGTGGGTATTGAATTTCGTTGATTAGAAAGTAACCCTATTCAATATCTAGTCAATTTTTAAATTTTCATGTTAGATATAATTTCGGGTTTTTTTTATAATTGTTAAACACAAAATAAATGAAATTTAATCCCCAACGAATATTTCTGCTTTTACAGTAAATGTTCATTTCATTGCAACTGTTTGCTGTTTTCAAATGATATTCTTGTTACATTGCATAACGTATCCTGGCTTTGTAATACATGTTCTTCCAGGTGCATTTAAGTTTGAAATTCAATGAATTAAAACTTTACAATCACAAATCAAACAATCTGAGTTTTTCTCTGTGTTTGAAATTGTAATTAGAGTTCAGTACTGACATAATGGATTAACTGAAAGGTTGTCCTAATAGACTTTGCCTGTCGTGAATTTCATGTGAAAAGCACAAATGGGTATCAACCGATTTCTTCCAATCAAATTTCACAGAAAACAAAAAAATCTTACATGAACTCTTCTCACACGTAACTCATGTGGCAGATTTGGCTATGTAAACAGTGAGGCATTCTCATATTGTCTCTAACATTGTGCATGTTTGACAGTTATATTATATTGCTCACAAAAGGTTTTTTAAGTGGAAACGTAGTGCTCTTAAAACATGACTGACTCTTTCACAGCTCTTTTTAGCTCACCAGATCTGAAAGCTCAACTGAACTTTGTCTGTGTTTGTTATTGTTAACTTTTAAAATTTTCAGTTTCATCTCGAGAACCATTGGGTCATTTTCCACCATGCAACCTTTGGTAAAAGGGATTCAAATTTCTTCAAATGAAGGGTGTGTTCCTTCTCAAGGGGAGATAATTAGAACTAGTGAAAGAAGGGTGTGATCATTCAAAATTAATTTTTTCAAGAACCACTGAGCCAGAAGAGACTAGACTTGTGAAAGCTTTCTGAATAAGTTATGATTCAGGCTGATCAAATCATAGCCCCTTTGAGTAGGATAAGGTTGCAAAAGGGGGTCAAGTTTTTCACAGAAAAAAAAATGTCTTTAAAAAGATTTTTCCTGAACAACATGGGCACAATTAGTCATATTAGTAAACAAAACAGGAAATATAACATAGTTAAAATTCAAGATATTGACTCCCTGGGCTAGAGTGGGGTCTCAACAGGAGACCAAAGCTTGACATAAGAATACATACAGTAAGAATTCTTAAGAAAAACTGCAGGGCCTTTGTTAGTCACATTGACATGCCAGCATCCCCATGTAGAGTAAATTTAATAGTTTGCCCCAAGGATTAGAATCGTGTCATATTGGAGGTCAGTTTTACACAACGATAGTATATAGAAGGACTCTTTCAAATAAAAAAAACTATGTTTTAAGATATACCTTCCACATTAACTGAAAAATCAAGTTTGGTGTAGCCGCAATACTGGATCAAAGTTTTGCATGGGAATAAACAGGAAATATTTCTTCCAAATAGCAACTGGGTCAAGTTTAAACAGGTGAGCACTGTGGCCTATGGGCCTCTCATTTTAATATAATCAGCTTTAATGAGCACTCTGTAATTTACTTTGTCGGTATCCATCCATCTGCATAATTAAAAAAAGTATAAAAATTACCCTGGACCAGATGTGAATGAATGAAATATCAGGATACATGTACAGTCAACCCTTGTTATCTCGAAATCCATGGGACCAAGGAAAAACTTCGAGATATCTCAGGATTAGAGATATCAAGGGTAAAATACTAAAGGAATATGTGGTTGGGATTTCCAAATCACTTTGACATATCCATGGTATTTGAGAAAACAGTGTTTGAAATACCAAATATCAACTGTTACAGCATTATCTATTTTATTTTCATTAAGGAGGTAGCAACAACATTGCTTCATGAAAAATATTATTGAATATTGACCTTTTGTGTTTCAAACAAAACAGTGAAAACTGCAATGGCAATATAAGAAATATTCATTTTTAATTTTATTTCAACAAACTTGTCCAACTTCAAAAAAAAATTTTATAGTATAAACAGGATAATTCTTACTATTGATTCCTAATTTCTGATTAAATATACTGTAAATGAAAAAAAAACCCATTAAAAATTAGTAATTTTCAGCTAAGATCATTTCATTTGATTCTTCTGACATACATTACATGTACATGTATGTACATTTACAAATCACACTTCATGGGAACTGGTTTGGAAGTAGGGGTATAATACATGTATTAATTTATATAGCAATGCATATTAACTTATGCTGATCAAGGTCCATCTGTCACTTCTTTATCAATTATGATTGTCATTTCATTAACTGTTAGGGTTTTATGGATCAGCTACATGGACTAGTTGTTTACCAATGTTTCCTCCATTCATCATAGACACAAAGGCTTTTCCTGTATTTTCTAAGCCTTCCATGGTTGTCTCCCTTACCTAAAGAAACGTATACTGTAGATGCAGAATGTAAAACGGTCAGTGACAAGATCTCAGTTTGAGGACATGGCAAATCAATTAGGGATTTAAAAAGTCAAATGATCTTGACTAATACCTTTAGTTTGCCAGATAAAACTAATTCAGCAAGTTCCTTCATGGATTCTTCAAATTTCTCCACATAATTCAACACCAAGAATCTAGTTCTACAACAGCCATAAAGAAATTATTAAGATTATGAAAAAAATATTAAATCTATCTTTTCTGACTGAAATGTTACAGATAAAGTAAGTAAAGATAAGAAAACCTGCTAATGTTTTGCTCCTTTAGTCTGGATTCAATGCTTTCTGGTATGGGAGGGGGATAAGGTACATCTTTGTTATATACTGCTATCTGTCCACACAATATAACATTAGAATCCTTGTTCATCTGAAAATAATAAAAAACGTATGTGAATCCATTATTAAAACTTTCATCAGATACAGAAGGAATTAATAATTATGAAGAGGGCCAAAATGGAGCAAGGAGGGGGAAAAATGATAGCTTAGTAGGAAGGCATCTTTACAATGTCAAGGTTTTGAGATATTCATTCCTCTACACAAACCCTTGACAAAAGTTGCTATTTAAAAGTTGAGCTGGAATGCTACTATTTGATTTGTTCCTGTCAAGGATGGGGAATCAATCAAAAAACAGCCATTATAGCAGGCGAGTTTTGTTAACAAATATGACTTGTCTTTAAAATGGAAAGTTCCAGTATTGTAGGATTTGTGACTAGTTATCTCAAATAAAATATCAGAGATTTATTTTTGGTAGATCCCTCTCCTTACAATCACAAAAGATGTGCTATGGCTTTAAGCACTTGAAAACAACGAATTTGAATGAGATACTCTTATTGGTTGGTTTATAATTAACCATTACGTCATATGTAACCACAAGCCTAACTTTCAAATAGCCACTTTTGTCGAAGATTTGTGAAGAGGAACAATATCATAAAACCTTCAAACTGTGAAGATGGTTGGACGGAAATACCGGTATGTCTGATTCAATTCCTAGACCTGTGGATTGACCTTGCAAAATTTACTACATACCTCCCTTCTGTCACTTCTTTTGTTTGATTTTGTTAATGCTTAGCTACAAAGTCTGACATAAAATTTGAGGTGAGGGGAGAATTTCATATGGAAAGTCAACTACCGGTACATTCATTAATTTACCTGGCTGGTCATTTACCTGGTTGATCACAGTGCTATTCATTTATCTTGTTGATCACAGTGTTATTCATTTACCTGGTTGATCACAGTGTTATTCTGGTTGATCATAATTTTATTCATTTACCTGGTTGATCACATTGTTATTTATTTACCTGGTTGACCACAGTGTTATTTATTTACCTGGTTGACCACAGTGTTATTCATTTACCTGGTTGATCACAGTGTTATTCTGGTTGATAATAATTTTATTCATTTACCTGGTTTATCACTGTGTTACTGATTTCTCCACCCACATTATCAAAGTAAACATCGACTCCATCTGGACAGAGTGCCGACAGCCTCTCTTTGACATTCTCTGTCTTATAGTTAATGGCAGCATCAAATCCTAGTTCTTCTGTCAGGAACTTACATTTTGTGTCTGAGCCACATATTCCCACCACTCTTGTGCACCCCTCCAGTCTCCCTAGCTATGAAAAGAAAATGATGCATATTTTAAAAGAACATTCAGAGAAAGATTACTTTTTAATCTTGGAAGTAATGGCCCCGGGATCATGAAACATCTTAAGCTTAAGTCAAAATCTTTATGTTCTTTTTAGTTTTTGTAAAAGTCAATCAGAACAAAATTAAAATATTTTTCAATATTGCTCTACAAAAGTGGTGTTGTCTGCAAATTTAGAGATAAATTCAATAATTAGTAAACATTTTACAGGTGATCGAAATTTTGACTTAAGTCTAAGTTTGTTTCATGATCCTGGGGCCTGATGTAAACCCTATATCATTATAAAGTGTACAGTCATAAGTCTTTTTTTTATTTGGTGCACTTTGAAGTTAATTAAAAAGTACCGTATGTGTACTTTAAAAAGCGGGCTTCATATTTTAGTGGCTTTGGCGCAGACAACGATTTATAAACTAATTTATAAATACCACTAAGAAATCATTCATATATACAATACATGGCCCAGACTTGTGTAGCGCTAATTCATGATTATGTCAACAACTCTTTACCCAGTGACTGTGCTAAAATTTGAATACGCCAATTTATGTACACATACAGTGTCTGAGAATTTACCTGCCCAGCTATAGAACCACACGCCCCAGCAGCACCGCTTACTACCATAGTCTGGTTACAATCTGGTTTTATCCCACCTTTTTCTTTTACTCCAAGGTATGAAGTCAAACCAATCATACCCAAAACTGTGAGTGGTAGGGTTAGGTTTCCTCCCAGTAAAGATTTATCTACCTGAAATATTGTGGAAAGTAATAGGCCAATATATTTCTTCTAAATATTTGGCTTGCAGTTTGAAGATATACATACATGTAGTTAGATCTAAAATAATTGGAAAATTCTAAAAATGACATGATTTCAATTATTACATCTTAATATACTTTACACCAATGTATTCCTTTTCAGTCCTTAGCTACTACAATATTTTTTTTGCATATTACAAAGTAGGAATGGCATGTACCATAAGTTCCTCTCAATACAAACCTTCCTGAGTGGATTTTGCTCATTCTGTCTTCTTTTGAAGTAACCAACCCAAGGCCATCCATACTGACTCTCCACAATATCCCCTTGGGTAAACTCAGGGTCAGCACTCTTAATGACTTGTCCTACTCCCCCAAATCCACCTAATTCTTTACCAATCTCCCAAGGGGACAAATAATGTACTCCTGTGTCCTCATTCATTCTGCACCTCTGAAAAAAAAATCATACTTCATATCCTTACAAATTAAGTCATTCATTGATATACAAATGGAGAACTACAACATGTAATTTTGTCCACTACTAATCCAAGAAAAACAGTGTCATTCAACAAAAACTACAAATATATTTGCAATATTACACAACAACTCATTCAGACAATTCCATGGTATTCTGCATGTGAAACTTACCAGGGCAGGGTCTACTGATAAGTAAAGGGTTTTAATAAGGATTTCTCCAGGATCCGGGTCTGGGGGATAAGGACATTCTTCAAACCCAAAATTGTCCTCTGTAGGGACACCATTCACACCTGTAAAATAAAATGTAGGGTAAATAAAAAGGGTGAAACAATTATCAAGTACTTAAATAGTTTCTGAAGTACTTAAACTTAAAGACTTTATTTTGAAAATGAATTATTAAAAATGCATCAATATCCTTGAGTTGCAACCAGGACTATATAATTTATTATAAATTCTTTGAGCAAAGTCAAAAAATTTTGGGATCTAGCTTTGTCGAAGTTCGGGCTATATGGACCGTGGATATCGATCGGCCTGGGTACATAGCTCAGTAGTAGAGCACCTGACTAGTTATACAGCGGTCCTGGGTTCAATTCCAGGTCAAGCCATATATTTTCTTCATGCATTCCTCCTTTCCTACTACATTTGGTGGCCAGTGTGGGGGCCGGGTTTTGTTCAGGTTATGTGAGTCCTGACAGGGCGCCCATGAACTTTGAGGTCGAAGACTGTTTAAAAAGGGAGGAATGTAGATCGAAGTTTGGGCTATACAGACTGTGGATATTGTCCTGGGTAGTTCAGTGGTAGAGCAACTGACTAGTACCACACGGGTCCCAGGTTCGATTCCTGGTCCAGCCATATATTATTTTTCTTTATGCATTCCTCCTTTCATATTACGTACAGCTTACTGTGGACAAGGAAAACCAGATAAATCTTACTATTTCCAATGCATATTTTTTTAATTGATTAAATCGTTTTAAAAAAACAGAAAAAATAAAATTTGCATGTGCATAGATCTCTAGATTTCTCCCAAAACAGCTTATAATGCAAAGTCCAACTTCACTGAAGTCTTCAGTTAAAATTAAGATGTTCATGGTGTTTTTTCAGAAAGAAGAAAACTCAACAAATTATAATTTATATATTTTTGTTGAGCTTTTTGTATCAAGCCAAAATTTCCAACGTGTATGAATTGAAAGTACACTTACCGGGTCTTTTAACTAAAATCACATGTGCATTTGTTGACATTTTGTTCATTAGAACTCTCCTGTTAAGAGAGGTAAAAATACTAAAGATGGAAGCCAACGTGCCTCGAAAGAAATCGCGAATTGCTAAGAACAAGAAAAGGGCCTGGAGAAAGGTAGACATAACCGATGTAGAAGAATTTTTAGAGGATGAACGACTTCAAGAAAGGACTGGGTATGACTTTTTAATTTTCTTTATCATAATTATTGATCGTTTCATAACATCTTGTCACACGGTCATACTAAAATACGCCTGCCGACGCCTGCCAGGGGAAAATACGCCTGCCGAAAAAAATCTATACGCCTGCCGTGTTATTTATTGACGAAATTTATATTTTATTAGATATATTACTTTAATAGACCATTTATTTGATGTTTTACCAAACAAAAATAATTTTAAAAGAATAATTTGGAGTTTTTATTCGTATTCTAGTATGCATACACCGTACAGCACGCCTGCCGAGAAAATCTACACGCCCGCGGTGTTGTTTCACTAATTACGTATTATTTTATATAATGTATTACTTTAATAAAGTATTAGGTTGACATTTAACTGAAAACAAAACAAAGAAAGAAATATTTGATTTAATAAAATCTACACAAGAGTTTGCAGTCATATTAAAGGAGATAACTCTTACTTCACAATACTTATATATAAATAATATTTTCCGTTCGTCTTAGAAGACTAAGAATTACTTTTATATACGATGTAGTTGATGTATGTAACAAATGATTTTTTAAAATTTAAATATATGATTTTATATAATTTTGAAATTTACGTATATGTCCAAGAGCACACCTGCCGAGAAAAACTATATGCCTGCAATGTTCACGGTGTTTATTTTTATAGATTATATCATTACGCATAAAGTTAACATTTGATAAATTATGAAAATGGAAAAATAAGATATATGTTTGATTCATTTATTAATCTACATCAAAGTATATAGTAATATCAAATTTAAAAGAGATAACCTTTAATTGGCCATAAGATGGGAAGAACTGAAATATTTTATTTCAGTAGCCTGAACGTATATTATCAGTAATTCAGCATGCTCAGTGCTCTAATAATAAAATACACAAATCTTGCGAGATCAGAATTATTTTATTCATACAAGTATATGTGAAAAAAATAGTAAACTATATTGTATCACACACACACAATGAATATCTTCGATTTTTATAGAATATGCATTAATTAGACTTAAAGTTTTCACATCACAGTCCTACAATATGGTTTTCTGTTAAAGTTTGGTTGATTCAAATTAGTCTGAACATCTAGTTATGAGATCGTGATGTGACATTGTAAATACATGTTGAATTTCTTTTCACGTTTCTGGTTCTCGTTTCTGCCCCCCCCCCCCAAAAGAAACGAATCATAAACAAGGAAAGTTTCGGAAACCATTTATGAAGATATAATGTAAATTGATTCACGATACAGATTGTGTAACCAATACAACATTCTCTACAAAACTAATCTGAAGAAGAAAAAAACCACAATTAATTATTTACAGAGGCGTTTTATCGTTAAAGATATTTCAAATACATGTACATGCATGTTGATTTTCTTATTCATTTCGTCTATTTCCTTCTGTGCTAGACATATAGATGATTGTATAGGGATAGCCTAAATTATTACATTTCTCTTACCTGTAACATTTTGTATTTATTTAAATATAACTTTGTTGCATATAACCTGAAATAATAATTATACATTGATGTTAAAAAAGGACAACATTGAATATTTCAGATTCTGATTCAAAACGACTACCCGTAAAATAGTTTTTACTGACATGTGTACATGTGCTCTAAAGCCTTCGTAATTCTGTAAACGAATATAAAATCAAATACCTTAAGTTTTTTTATTAAAAAGAGGAAAAAAAGAAAGAAAAACACGAGGCACATAATCTATACACAGCAGTTCCTGTTGTCAAGCAAGAGTTATCTCCTTTAATATTGCAAACTTTCGTATCAAACGCTTATTGAATCAAAATAAATAAAATTATTTTTTGAAATTAATGTTTGGTCAAATGTTAACTTAATACTTTATAAAAGTAATATATCAAATATTGTATAATAAGAAATTATAGAGACAACACCGCGGGCGTTTAGATTTTCTCGGCAGGCGTGCTCTACGGAGTATGCAAACTTTAAAACGAATTAAAACTTCAAACTGTGCTTTTTAAATTATTTTTGTTTGGTAAAACATCAACTACATGGTCTGTAAAAGTAATATATTTAACAAAATACAAATTAATTCGATAAATAACACGGCAGGCGTATAGATTTTCTCGGCAGGCGTATTTTCCCCTGGCAGGCGTCGGCAGGCGTATTTTAGTATTACCCTTGTCACATCACGTTAACCAGAATTTACTCCGCGAAATACCTTTCATGAAAAAATTAATGTATATGACGTACTCCAGCATGATAGGAATAGTAGTATATGACCATATAAATAATAAAGATTTGCAACTGTTTGATATCTTGCGGGCCCTATTGTTTAGTATTTTTAATTCTTGAACTGTTTAATTAAGACACTATTAGCAGGTCCAGCACAATCTCTTGATTTAGCTATATAGCTTGATTTTGCTATATAGCTTTATTAAGCTATTCGGAATAGCTTGATTTAGCTATTTTATCACACTTTTTTCTTAGATGTGTTATTTTCTCAGCATGCACAAAAAGTCGCATCTTACTGCAGTGATAATATTCAACCTTGAACTCTTCTGAAAATAATGCATGTAGAAATCACTCATCAAATTGCGTCTCATAAAGAGACTTTGTACTCAAAGTTCTAAAAGTTTTGGGGCTATATAAAGCAATTGTTACAGTTACTTCTGTGATGAAATTATAAAGGAGGCCAATTATGGTCAACAAGATAATTGATTGGTAATAATTCAGTACAATGAGAAGCAATCATACTTATCCACGCCTCAACGCACACAAGGTAGTGTACAGTTACTCAAACAATGGGAATACATCTTTTGCTTAAAAGTATTCAAATGCTGCAATGTTAGAACTATCTTTGATTTCGGTTGTTGTTTTGATAACCCATAGTACATATATGAAAAGTCAAATACTTGCGACTTTTTGTCTATTTCTTACAAAAAACATTTTTCTGAAAAACTGCATATAAATAGCTTTATCAAGCTATTTTTAATAGCTTCATAAAGCTATATAGGTATTTCAAGCTATATATCTAAATCAAGAGATTGTGCTGGACCTGATTAGAATAGAATAGAATATTTGGGTAGACTTTACTTTACCGGTCCCCAGATCCGCAAGATCCGCGCGCTCATTGCACTATGACATAAGACTTACGTCACTCAACTGATTAGGGTTGGTTCTGCACATTTTTCGACTGGTTAGAGTTAGTCTTGCACCCACCTGAAAGATTAGGGTTAGTCCTTGCATAAGTTTTCGACTGATTAGGGTTAGTCTCGCATCCATCCAAGAGATTAGGGTTAGTCCTCGCACATGGGTTAGTCTAGCATGGTCTAGCATCCGCCTGGGAGATTTGGTTTAGTCCTCGCATACCATCCGAGAGATTAGGGTTAGTGCCTTGTTCTTTTAGATTAATTAAGAAATTCAGTTGCATCTGTATTTTTTGCAAGATCTTAATTCAGCTTCAACGACATCTAATTGGTTTGTTCACATGAAAAAAATGGCTAAGTACAAAAGAAACGGCACTAAGCATGCACCACACGCGCTTCATTCACAATTATTTTTTGTCTCCTTTTCACTGAATAAACAATAGTTATTACTTTTTTTTAGAGAATTAAAAACTTCGTTTAAAAACAAAGTTTTAAACTAAACCTTTAACCGTAGAATTCGATTTTGGGGTCAAAAAGGCTTAAAACCTCATATTTTTAATTTTTTTTTTATCACTCACGCGATCTCATATACTGTATACAGGGAAATTTTCGCCCTTGTTTTATTTTTGCCCCTTTCGCCCTACCCTCATTTGGGCGAATTTAAAAAGGGGCGATTTAAAGGAATACTGTATTATTTCTTAAACAAAACTATGACTGGGTGAATTTAAAACGGGGCAAACCTGTTTGCAAGTGTGAAAGGGCGAAAATAACACGGGGCGAAAATAACCCTGTATACAGTATATTGAAGTCGCCTACGGCAACACTATATTTTAGCGCATTTTTCTGGGGACCAGTAAAGTCGTTCCAAATATTTATTTAACCAATTTGGGCCCACATTGGAGCATTAAGGTGCACAATCTTCGAAATCATAGTAATAAATAACAAAATCAGAGCAAAACAAAACAATTACATCATATAATGAATTATCTTTACGATTATCAAAGATGGGAAAATAAAACTTTTTTAATCATAGTAATAAATTCTGAATTAAAATGTTATATTTTTGCAGAGACATAAGTAATAGAGATTACTTTGCAACTCTGCCATTAACATGTTTATCAACTAAAATATATGATGGTCCCAATGTTATTCCCTTTATAAGTTGTGTATTTCGATCTAAAGTTGGATTAATATTTAATAATATATGAGTGTATGTTTTGTAAGGTACATTTATTACTAAAAGCAAACCAGACAAACTTAAGAGGTCAATGATCGAAAGTTAGCGAAATGTTGCAAATATCTTATTTATGTCTCTGAGTTTAGTAAGTTTCTTTATATTTTACAAAAACAAAGGAGGAGTTTCAAATGGCATCAGGTAGCTATGGTCATTTTGCTTTTAAATATGAATGTAGAGTTTTAAAATTTTACAAATCCAAATTTTAAATAGAAATTTAAATCAATAAAGATCAGAGTTTGAAAGAAATTTGTTTAGCCTCATTGAGTCTGGCACATACTTTAGCAAACATTTTAATGGCAGAGTCGTTGTATCTCTTATATATATTACTGTAACAAGAGAATCGGCTAATGAATATAGTGTTAAAATGTTTATTATCATTTATGAAGAAAAAGTAGATTTTTGTTAATTTCATGCAAGTGTGAAGTACTATAAATAATGTCAAGAATGATAATTTTTAATTATTCATTCCTTAAAAATAATTCATAAAAATATTATTCTATCGTACGTGTCAACATGGCTATAAATGTTGTTATTTCCCTGCATAGTGGGCTGGTAGCTGAAAAGTCTGATGCAGAGCTGTTTACACTGGAAAAGAAAGCTCCATTAATTGATGAGGGTAAAGTACATTTCTTTTTCTCTATAGGGAAGGGTGATTTTATGTACAAAATTTTTATAGTCAGAACTTTGTGCTGAAATTTGTAGCAGATTTCAACTTCTTGTTCTGTATGAACTAGGGCTGGGTATCGGTTTAAAATTTCGTATTGCGATATTTGAAACTGTATTGCAATATTTTTAATAACAGTTAAATTGCTCTTTTCTTATTTTATTAACCTCCATTTATAAGCAGAGTGTATAAAACTTTTATAAATATGTTGTAACAAAAAAGTTATAGTTGATTAGACTACAGTTTGGCAATGAAATGCAACCATCAACAGAAACCTTTACCGTTTGATACTGTTTGGCACGATTGAAAACATTTCTGATATCTTAAATTTCATATTTTACTTCATAAATCTAAAGCCCAATCATTTTGTCGGTATATCAATACTGGAAAAACGTATAGCAATACAGTATTTTTGGTTAACAAATTGCAATATACCTGAATATCGATTTTATTGTGCAGCCCTAGTATAAACTAATTTCTGTACAAATATAACTTTGAAGAAAAGGGTAGGCATGTAAAGGTTAAGTACATGTAATCTCAATGCAGCTTCTTCATTGTGTGACTAGATTTGATCTGAGGATGACATACCTTGATTAAGGGAAAGGAAAACCTTTTAAAACTTTAAATATCTTTTAAAACAGCACAAATAAGATGAAAAACTTATTGTTATAATTGAATCAAGTTGGCAACACCACAATGTGAAAGATTTTAAGCTCCAGACTGAATTAAATCAGTGCATGCTCTGTTTTGTCACTTGGTATTTTAAAATACAGTCAAACCTTATTTTCTTGAACTCAATGGGACTGAAAAAAATACTATGAGATATCCGAGGATTTTAGATATCCAGGGTAAAATATTTAAAAAATAAGTGGTTGGGACGTCTAAATCACCTAGACATATCCATGGTATTTGAGATGTCAGTGTTCGAGATACCGAAATTCAGCTGTATTCCAAAACAAAGAAATTCTTCTAAATGCAGTAACAGATTTATTTTAATTTGTAAACATCTCTGAATAAAAAGGAGGTCTTTGTAATTTTATACCTTGAATGGTTGTAAAATGAATTGAATTTACATTTTTCTGTCTTTCAGAGGAACCAGTTCCGAAGAAGAAAAGGAGAAAGGAACCCAAGGAGTTAAAATGTTATTCCCATCTTCTACCAGATCCCAAAATTAAGTTAGCACGCAAGTAAGTCAGCTATTTCAAGTTTCAAGTTGACACAATATATCATGGTGATAACAAATGTGAAAGTCATGCATACAAGAAAATTAATTTTTTCACATAGTACTAGAAAATGACAATTTTTTTTAGAGTACAGTTTTCCATGAAAAAATTACCTGGTATTTTAAATTTTTCAACTGTCATTCTTCATTTTTCATCTGACAACCTCACAGACCACAACCTGTTAGGAATATCAGAGATAAAAGACCTCCACATGTGAAAGAGAAGTTAAACAGTGGTGTAAAAACCCAGAAAGAGATCAGAGCAGAGGAACAGAGAAAACTAGTCAAAGAGAGGAAACAGAAGAAGGACAGAACTAAGGGCTCCATACAGGTGGCTTCTTATGATCTGTGGGGAGGTGAGTGGTAGCTTCTTATGATTTGTGGGGAGGTAGTGGTGGCTTCTTGTTATCTGAGAGGAGGTGAGTGGTGGCCTCTTATGATCTGTGGGGAGGTGATTAGTGGCTTCTTATGATTTGTGGGGAGGTAGTGGTGGCTTCTTATTATCTGTGGGGAGGTGAGTGGTGGCCTCTTATTATCTGTGGGGAGGTGAGTAGTGGCTTCTTATGATTTGTGGGGAGGTAGTGGTGGCTTCTTATTATCTGTGGGGAGGTGAGTGGTGGCCTCTTATTATCTGTGGGGAGGTGAGTAGTGGCTTCTTATGATTTGTGGGGAGGTAGTGGTGGCTTCTTATTATCTGTGGGGAGGTGAGTAGTGGCTTCTTATGATTTGTGGGGAGGTAAGTGGTGGCTTCTTATTATCTGTGGGGAGTGAGTGGTGGCTTCTTATTTTGTGGGGAGTGAGTGGTGGCTTGTCAGGATCCGTGGGGAGATGAGTGAAGGTCTTTCTAAAATCATTTATTTCCATTCATTGTCAGTGAAATAAATCAGAGTTGAATTTTTGATACATTTTTAATGAAAAATAATAGTTTTGATCCTTGAATGATTGCTCAGATATACATGTGCATATACAGTAAATCTTGGTTATAGCAAAGTCCCGGGGACCTGTGAATTTACTTCCCTTTATCTGTAATTTATAATATTTGTAGAATGAATTTGTTAAAATATATATAGTGAATTCACAACATATATGTTTTCCTTCAAATATGACTACCATATATGTTAGGGAAGCATTAAGTACAAAACATATCTTGTATACCGGTAACTTAAGTTTTTTGATGGTTTGAATTTCATTTATAAATACTTAACAATAAAATAAAGTCAATTCAATATTTAAAATTTTTAGTTCTTTAGTAGTTCGCTATAAAAGATGTGAACATCATTATTTTTAACCTTTACAGGACAAAAATTATTTGCTATATCTGTAAATTCATTATATCAGAGTTGGTGTTTTACAAAGAATTATAAAGAATTTTGCTGGGGATCCCAAAAAAACTCTGCTATATCCATGGATTTCGCTATATCCGTATTTGTACTAAACAAGTTTTACTGTATTGATTTATGTGTTGAAGTATATGACTTTTCTTTTCCTTCTCAGTGTCTTAATAATTTGATAATTTGGAATTCTCAAAAAAAAAAAAAAAAAAAAAAGTTAAGGTATTTCCATCCTCTTATGATGTCATAGGTTTCTGCAAAAAAGTATCATTAATTTAAAGGCATACCCAATAGAACAATATCTTTTGGAAGAATGCTTTTTAACAGGTGTAATGATAAATATTGTTAAGTAAAAGAATTTAAAAAATACATATTTTCAATATTTAATCAATTATTCAATCTTTAAAAAATGTTGACAAGGGCAATAACTCTTTCTCAGGTATCTTCATTCAGGCATTTTCTTTATTGTACTTCTAATGTAAAATAATTTCCCTGATATTCACGATTCAAAAGTATCTTATAAGTAGTAAGTATTTCGGAACTTTCAGCATCAGAATTATGCATTTGAACCAGTTTTTACATAATTTTTTATAATACTGTTTACAAAACAGGTACATTTTTTTTTATTTTGACATATACTTCTGTTTAATTATGTCTCCCATTTTAAATGATATGGCAAACCTATACATTTTTTGCTATAATTGGTAAATTTAAACTATATTAAATGAAAATAGATGCAGTTTTTGTACTTTAAACCATTAAAATTGTGAGGGTGGAAAGACCTTAAATGTTTTCTGTGAAAGGAGAGCATTTGATTATTGATTTCTATGTAAACAGTACATGTGCTTGTGCTTAGAATTTTTTTTTTTTGGTCATTATGCAGATGAACCAGAGAAAAAAGAAGATCCTTTTGCTAAACCACCAGTAAAAGTTAGTATTTTGTATAATTCTTTGCCAATATAATGCAGAAATACAGACACAATATCATAGATCAATGAACTAACATAATGAAAATACGAGTACATGTATCTTTGGGAAATATTTTATTGTTAACAATTAAGATTGTACATGTAATCAGTTGTAAAGTTTGTTCACATGCTATTTATTCATCACAGAGACCTAAAAGAAAAGCCACCTCAGATTTACCAGCAGTCCAAGTTCCCCCTTCAGGTGCCTCCTATAATCCAGATTATGAGGATTATCAGGTAATTTCTGGGGCCTCTTAAAATCAAGACTATGACGAAAATCAGCTGATTTTATGTCCCCCTCCCCCCCTCCCCCCCCCCCATTTTGGGGCCTCTGACAATCCAGGTTATGAGAATTTTTAGCCCCCCATCCCAGGGCCTCTTATAAGCCAAATTGCAAGGACTGTTGGTTAATTCCAAGGAAATAACATGAAATTGCAAGTATTCAACCTAGTTTAAAGTTAAAATAAGTAATAAGTTGTGTTAAAGGTGCAAGTACAGTTAGTGCTACATTCATACAATGTCTTCATGTGCATTTGAAACACATACATACGGTGAGATTTCATTTTAGAAAATTAGCAGAAAAAAATTGGCTCATTTTTTTTCTTTCAATAAGCTGTGTATTTTGCAGCTTTTTATCATTTTAGCTGTATACAGTCCTTAAGAAATTATGTTTTGTTTTCAGGAACTGTTATTAAAAGCTCATGAGATAGAAGAAAAGAAGCTAGAGAAGGAGCTAAAGTTACAGAAATTTGTAAGGGAGATTCAGAACGTGGACACAAAAACTTTGGAGGTATGTCTGATAATCTGGATCTCTGATGAACTTTGACGCATACTCACTTTAATCAGCAGCCCTTTCTATGATGGGATTTCTACTTTTGTTCAGGACTCTGTAGCATGTTTTTACAAAATATTCTTAAAATTAATGCACCTACTGAAAGTTTGACTTGATATAACAATATTATTGAAACTTACTGACATGCTCTTTGATTTCTTGAAATAAAAAGTATTAAATTTGTAATTGCAAAATTGGGTTTTGTTTTGCAAACATGCCCATTTTTATGTCTTATTTTATGTTTCATATGTGAGTCAGGATCAAAACAGTTACGATTCTAGTCTTAGACATAATATGTATTATGAAACTGGAACCAAGTCTTTGAAGGTTTTTAATTGTCTTTGAAGAATCTGAAAACGTACATACCGTAAATAAGCATAATCTTCTTCATCAATTGGTTAGCTAAACAAAAATTAGTGCAATTGAGACCAAGTTTCTGTATGTATTAGTTTAAATCATATATCAGCATTTATTAACTATTTGAATTAGCATCATTGGAAATCCAAAGTAGGACTCGCTTTTCTTACGTCAGAGAAGCGAGACTGACTGCAGGTTTATGGCAATGTTGAATTAGTGGACAAAGTGCAGGGTTAAAGGTGCTAAAATATGATTGTGGCTAAAATAAGTACATTTTAGTAGTACATGTTGATTTCTCACATAGAAAACATGGCTGTCAGAAATGTCAGAGGGGCTGAAAAACCACGAAGTTGAGAATGAGCAGGATGAAGGAGACGCAATAAACACAGAGGACTCAGATAGAATTTCCGTTAATCCTCCCGTCCGTCGTGAATCCAAGAAAACGAAAACTCAGAGGAATAAAGAGAAAAGGAAAAAAAATCTGGTTTGTATTGAATGCAACAAAGTTCATGTATTTTATCTCTCCTCCAATGAAAACTTCTTGTTTTTATACATGCATGTATGTTTCAAAAATGAACTTAGACATCAGTTTCTGGTTTCTGTTGAAGAAACATGTTTAAAAAGAGAAACTCAAATAGATTAATATTTTTTTGCATACTTTACTTTCAGGAGAAGTTAAAAGCTCAGGAAAAATCAGAAAAAACAAAAGCAAATGAAATTTTCAGGTAGCAATTATATTTGGCAAATTCTTTGAACAAAACTGTATAACTTATAAAGCAGTAAATGATCTGAGAAAAATGGTAGATTGTATTGCTTTGCAAATCAGCATATGTATTTTGATTTTTACAGTGAATCTGTAAAAATCTCAATTTTTAAGAAACCATGTAAAAAGATGTATTCCTAGAGGGAGAATTTTTTAATCTTTGGTTTGTTCTTTAGATTAAAGACCATGAAGGCAGAAATAGATGAAAGAGAGGCTGATCTGCAGAGAAGAAAACAAGTAAGGAGGCAGAAATGGCAAGCACAAGGGCTGAAAACCAGGAAGCTTGGCAGACTCAAGTATCCTTCTATCAACAGTTCTTTTGCTCCAGGGGATGGCATTTTAATTAGATTTTTATTTAAAAAAAATTCTGTGAAATAATATTCTGCAGACACGCTTCCGCATCAATATCACAAAAGGACGAATATCACGTGACGTCCTGCCAGCCAATGAAAATTACGAAAATAATCATCTTACATAATATTGTCCCTTATTAATATGGAATCATCCAAAGTTGTTTTATTCTATGTTTTTCCAGATATAAATATGCATTACCATGTGTTCAAATGTAATACATGTATTAACTCTATATGTATCCCAACATTCAAGAAAAAAAATTATGGTTATTTCATAAATATACAATTTTAACTATTCCATATTTTTTTCATTTGAATATATTTGACTTCAAAAGCCCTAGTATGCATGCATATTGTGTATTGAATATTTTGGTGATAGACAAAGGGTGTGAGGTCCTCTCATCACATTGTATTGGCTGATATGTACTGATACACACATTGAGATTATACTGAGATTATATTGGCTGATACATGCTGATATACACATTGAGATTGTATTGGCTGATACATGCTGATACACAAATTGAGATTGTATTGGCTGATACACAGATTGAGATTGTATTGGCTGATACATGCCGATACAGACATTGAGATTGTATTGGCTGATACATGCTGATTCACACATTGAGATTGAATTGGCTGATACATGCTGATTCAGATAAGGGAGATCACTGTGTTGCTCTGCCTTAACATTATAAAGATTTGAGGAGCCATTGTTAGAAATAAAACTGAGTGATGAGTTAGAGGGATCTCTACGAAGACTCAAGGTAAAAGATATTTATAGTACCTAGTACATGTATCATTATTACATGTCATATAAGTACTGTAAGAATTCTTTAGAGTTCTGTTTTAGCTACAAAGGTTAAATATTAAGCTGTATTAAATACATTGTATTTGTTCTCAAGAGAGTATCTTGTCTGCTATTTATACATTTTTATAGATTTTTAAATCTCCTAACTATAGATGAACTTTTTATCAGCGCTATTTTTCATGTAATATTATTTTTGTTCACTGAATCCATGATCAGTGGCCCTTTGAAAAATTGGTGTATTTTGAAAATATGTAGGATTTATATATAAATGGATGTACATGTAAATGAAATGTTTAATTTTGTAAGTGTACCTTGTTTTGATTTGAATTTAACAATCAACTAAAGGATATTATAATGCTTATTTTTGTAGCCAGAGGGAAACTTGTTTGTTGATAGAATGAAGAGCCTTGAAAAGAGAAACATAATGGAGCCTAGACAAGAAGCCAAGTAAGCAAGAATTTGTTGATGTTTGTAGAAACTCAGAGATTTGACTCTGCTAATTATTTCTGGTGGCTGTTTTTCTGATATTTAGAGAAAATATAAAGTTTGTTGTTTTTTTTTAAACAAACTGTAGTTTGAGTATGTATGATTATTTTGTAGGAAATACAGAAAGTATAAAAGGAAGACAGTTATTAAAAGAAGTCACAAAGTGTAAGTATTTTTTAGGATGATAATTTCTCTTTATTTAGTCTGAAAAACTGTAAAATTAGTATTATGGATTATGGCACTAGATACATTAATTTTTTTTCTCTTTTTAGATGATGGAAGATGTCCCAGCTGTTACATTTGTTGATTTATTAAACTCTTTTATTCAATCAAGAATAGTCTTTGTTTTGTTTACTGGTACATAACTAAGTAAAGTCATAAAAGTCACAGAGGCTGTTGTCAACATCTTGAAGTTTATATGTTTATCATGCCTTATCATTATTGATATGACTGAACATCAGACTAAGAATCATTTTTAGATCAGGTGCATCTGTCTGTCCACCTATAAACCATCATCATTTTCAACTTCTTCAAAACCACGGGCCAATTTCAAGCAACTAGCCACAAAGCTTGGGTGACAAGGATTCAGATTTGTTCACATGAAGGGCCATGCTCATGTTTGTTTCTTTAAACTAGTATCTCGTATGATTTTTGTCGTAGTGATTTTGCAGTCCCAACTACTTTAACCCTCGTTATCTTGAATTCTTGATTTATCCCATGTTTACCCTTTTATCCTGTGGATATCACTCATTGGATATATTTTTCATATCCCACTGCTGTGATGTCACAATGGGTTTTGTGTGAGATTGATGAAGTGGATTCCTATATAACCAGAAGTCTCTGATGAGACTGTAGCTCTACTGGTCTGTTTGTATAACAAAAGAAAAGTAGCACTTGGATTTGAAACATTGCAACATGCAACAATAAATAGAATTATGTATCTTAATGTAGTCTACTTCTGTGCCAAGTTATATTGAAATCAAATGAAAACTGTAGGAGGAGTAGCGTTTTGAAAGTATTTCACGGAAATTTCTATTTTTAGTAACCATGATAACACCATTCACCCAAATAAAAAAAAACAGAAATACATATTATGTATCGTAGTGTATTCTAACTGTGTGCCAAATTAGATTGAAATCAGACCAAAATTGTAGGAGGAGTAGCGTTTAATGGGAATTTCACAAAAATTTCTACTTTAAGTAACCATGGCAACACTGTTCATCGAATTCAAAAACCAATCCAATAAATTATGTATCTTAGTATAGTCTCCTTGTATGCCTAATTATATTAAAAGCAGACTAAAACTGTAGCAGGAGTAGTGTTTTAAAGGGATTTCACAGAAATTTCTATTTTTAGTAACCATGGCAACACCGTCCATCGAAATCAAAAACCGATGCACTAAATTATGTATCTTAGTGTAGTCTACCTGTGTGCCAAGTTATATTGAAATTGGACAAAAACTGTAGGAGAAGTAGCGTTTTAAAGGAATTTCACAGAAATTTCTATTTTTAGTAACCATGGCAACACCGTCCATCAAAATCAAAAACCGATGCACTAAATTATGTATCTTAGTGTAGTCTACTTGTGTGCCAAGTTATATTGAAATCGGATCAAAACTGTAGGAGGAGTAGCGTTTTAAAGGAATTTCACAAAAATTTCTATTTTTGGTAACCATGGCAACACCGTCCATCAAAATCAAAAACCGATGCACTAAATTATGTATCTTAGTGTTGTCTACTTGTGTGCCAAGTTATATTGAAATCGGACCAAAACTGTAGGAGGAGTAGCGTTTTAAAGGAATTTCACAGAAATTTCTATTTTTAGTAACCATGGCAACACCGTCCATCGAAATCAAAAACCGATGCACTAAATTATGTATCTTAGTGTAGTCTACTTGTGTGCCAAGTTGTATTGAAATCGGACCAAAACTGTAGGAGGAGTAGCGTTTTGAAAAATTGTTTACAGACAGACGGACAGACAGACAGACAGACAGACAGACAGACAGACAGACAGACGGACGGACGACGGACACCTTACTATCGCATAAGCTCTTCTGGTCTCTGACCAGTAGAGCTAAAAACTGTGTAAAATACTAATAATGATATATAAACCATGGGATAAAAAGAATCTCTCATGATTTGTAGTTCAATATGATTTTTGTCCAACTTCAAATCATGGAAGATCCTATATCTATCTTAAAGTTTAATCTCAGTCCCCTCAAGTTTGAGATAATGAGGTTTGACTGTATTTAAGTATTAGTAAACATTTGGTGGCATCTTTAAAAAATCTTCTCTAGACCCACTGGGCCAGAAAAAATAAAACAAAGGTTTCTGACATATTGTAGATTCAAATTTATCCAAATCATGGCCCCCAGGGGTGGGGGTGGTCACAATAGTTGAAAGTTTTACTTGGGAATACATAGAAAAATCTGAAAAAGTATTTTAAGTATTGTTCTCAAGAACAGCCTATCCATGACTGATGATAATAATATATGACATCCAGGTAGTGCAGAATCAAGTTTGTTCAAATCGTGACCCCTTGGGTAGGGTTGAAGCACAGTAGGGATATACATTTTACATTGGAATATATAGGAAACAATCATTAAAAAATCTCATCCTGAAGAACAAATGGTTCTGGTTAATCATATAAATATGCAAGCATCCTTAGGAATTGCAGAGCAAGAAATTTGAATCAGGTCCCCTAAAAAAAAGGGGGGGGTTAAAAGGAATAAACGTATAGGGAAAAGGTTAAAAAAAAATTTCAAAAGAACTACTAGACCATGATTTCTGGTATTCATTATTAATTTGTAATCATCCTCAAGTAGTGCAGTCATTCGAATTATGCACCCAGGCATTAGAGTGGGGACACAAAAATCAAAATTTTTCATAGGTATTTTAAAAATCTTTTTCTTGGGAACAGCAGGACCAATGTGACTCAGGTGATGTGGTGGCCTGTGAGCTTCTTGTTCGCAATTGAGAACAAGATTTTTATCTAGCTCACAGAGGAATTTAATAAGTTAATAATATATCAATACAACACATTTCAAAATTTATGAACAAGCTGGGGTACTGCAGTGTTTTACAAACATCTGATTAAGGTTTCCCTAGCCAATAAAATAATGAATATTACACATGATCTCAGATTTTTTAAAATCATTTATTCTATGTACTTTAACATAAGTATATAAATAAAACATACAGATGTTCATCAATTACAAAAATAACAAAAAATGAAAAAAAAATCAACCATACTGAGGAAATGAAACATAAAGTGTTACTGTTAACAAAACCATATGAAAGGGAAATCTTTCAGATCTATTGATTTTACAATATCATAATACACTTGTAATATACCTGTATAAATATAAAGTTGAGCATTTGACATGCACCTTACTTCTTGTAAATTGTGACAAGTTTTACTATCTATTTCCAAGGGGGAAAAAAATCACCAATTGCAATTTATGAGCAGCCCATTTTAGTGATTTGGGTTTCTGTATTGCACTCCAAAAGTTTTCACCGTAATGCTTTATACTTGAGCCTATAGACACCAGGGGCCCGTTTTACAAAAGAACTTACGACTAAGACCAAAAATTAATTCTGCTAATAATTTTTTAATTTACATTAAATAGAAAACGGTGTTAATATTTTTCAAAGATGTGTAGAAAGATATTTTACGCTTACAATTTTAAACAGAATAATTAATTTTGCAAAATTTTACAATCAACTGAAGTTTTTGATCTTAGTCGTAAGTTCTTTTGTAATATGGGCCCCAGAAATTACATATTGCACCTTAAGACATTATGGAAAATATTGTCTGATGATGTGAAAGGCACATAATACAAGAATTAAAATTTAAGGAATGCAAAAATTAATGCATCTGTTTGATATTATTGAAACTCCATGTGCATGTATTGGACCTGTTGTGAAGGAAATGGACAAAATGATTTCTACTCTCTGCTATTTAATGTTCAAAAGCACTAAGCCATAACTCTATAATGATTTCAATGTACGATGAACCAACTGATAATTATATGTAAGTCCAGCATAGAGAACTATTATGGTGGAATATGTATAGTAGAGGTGGCTGATTTTACTTTTATGTATATATCTATAAAGAGTTTAACACATGCAAAGAACTTGGGGAAAGCACAGGACCTAGGAAATTCAACATCAGGGATCAATGTACTTTTAAATGTGAAAATAAATCCTATTGTTTGGAAGAGCTTAATTATCAATTACATTGATGGCAGTTTTTTTCAGCTAATGAAATGAAAATTCAAACAAGATCAATTAAGTTACGAAAAAGAGTAATAAAATAAATATATTCTTACTGGAAAAAAATATATATTAAGTTAATAATATTCAATGTATTAAAGATGTAAAAAAAAAAGTTATTGCACAGCAAACTGCTCTAAATAAAATTTAATTTTAATTTTAAAACATAAATAGACAGCTTTGCTACAACATAGATTACAAGTGTTTCTACAGCTTTTTGGATCAACATTACGTGTTTACACATAAATACCTCCCATCTATCTCATCACATCTGAAATTTAACACATCTGCTACTGAACTTGGAGGAGATGAAGTGGATAATTGATTCTCAACAGATGAATACAACAAAGCTTATGGAGTAAGAGTTTACAATGGATATATATATGTATATGTAATACAACCCCTCAACTTATGTTTAAAACTTTATATTGGATGCAGTTTAATTTTTAATTTTAAGAATGTGACTTGGTATGATAATAAATAATACCACAAAAAAACCCCTCTCTATCAAAGGGACAGAAAACAGTGACATCACACAATCTATTCTAATTAAAATTAGACTAGTAAATCTGCTATTCTACGACACCCTACAATCTGGACTGAAAAAGAATTTAGCAAAAAAAAAATAACCATGAGCCCCCCCCCCCCCAAAAAAAAAATCAATCCTGTATACTGTTGTGCATTGGAAACATCATTGTAAACACTGCAAAAAAAGAACTAGGTAATAAATAAACAAAGAGACTACAGTGTTGACTGATAAGTAACCAATACTCTTACATTATTGAAAAAGTTATATCAAGTACACACCACTGAATTATCATATGACTGTTACCAAAGTGTTCATGGTTCATACATTCTTTCACAAGGAAAAATATAAATCTGTTCCAACAATTTTTCGAAAAAATAATATTGCACCTTGTATACAAATTTTACAAAAACAAAAAATGCAATTTTTACAGCACTAAGTCTCAATCACATATTTACAATACAACCAAGTCTAGTGGACTGTATATGGTTAATGAATCTGCATATAATACCAAACCTAAATTCTCATACAATCTGCACTCAATAAATTGGAATGATCATGTGATTAATAAAAGAATTAAACCAGCTTTGATTAGGAAGAATCAGCTGGAACATACTCACATGTAGTACATTGTATCACCATTTCTCCATAATGAAGACTATCACATCAACTTCTAACATAATGATGCTTTAAGCACTTGACAACATTACAATGCAAAACAAAATCTCTCATCTAATACAAGTTAGACTTGATTTCTACTACAAAGGGACTATTTCTAATACTGTATAGCAGCAAGTCAAGCCATAGATTTTCCCATTTTTCTTCATGATTGGATGTATCAATTCTGAACCCTTCATTTAATGCTGATTATAGAAACAAGGTTGTAAGTGATTTAAATTCACAAAGATCCAAGTCTAATGGAGAAAAATTTAATTGCCTTGTCATTTGCCTACTATGCAGTAAAAACTGATATACATGTACTTAAAGATCACAGTTTTCCTCCTCTTTCTCTACCATTCACAACATTACCCCCGCCTCTTTTTCTGTTCCTCCTCATTTTCACCAGATCCTCCCCAAACACATCACCAGTCCGCAGGGCTGATATAAGTTCATCAAATTCACCTAGAATTAGAACAGCAAATTGTACATAAAAATTGCCAACTTTCAATCATATTCATATAATCTAGTCTAATCTTATTTCAAAAATCTTTCCTTTAAGCCAAGAAAGCTAAAAAGGCTACCGAGTGGATATATTTTCCAGACACAGTATGTATGCAAGTTTTAGAATAAAAGATGGAAAAAAACCCTGAAAGCCTGAACTTTTTTTTTAAAACTTGATTCATTTACAGCTGAAGCATGTATATATATAATATGTACTTATTTACAACTCAACCATGCATCCAATTACAGCTAAAAGCATGTACTCATTAATTCCTGAAGTGTTAAACACATTTATAGTTGAAGCCTGTGTCTTTTTACAACTGATGGGCTAAGTTTAAACCCATCTAAAGCATTTTTCAAATTACTGCTGAAGCTTATAGTCTTTAAAGCTCAAACCTGCTTGTTAAACTGAAAAAAATGCAAGTTTAAATGCCTAGTCCACAAACCATTGAATTTTTCAATCGCTCATGTAACCCCATGTGCCACTGAGCCTTGCCCCATGCCTAAGCATGAATTTACTACCTATCAAAAAAAAGACCATTGTTTTCATACTTGAAAATAATGTGGCAAATTAATAGTTATTGACTTTAATTTGATTCATCTACCGGTACATGTACAAATGCCTAGTTACCTTTGTTAGATAGTTCCTTCTTATCTCCCTTGGTGGCAGGACTAGAACTTCTCTTACTTCGTAATCTCTCACGTTCTCTCTTCAGCTGATATTAAATTTATAAAAAAATTAGCATAAAATTTTAACTTATTTCAAGAAACAAATTAAAGACAATATTCAATGCATGTACATGTACTATAATATTCATTTTTTTTTCCCCTTTTTTCACTCCCATATACAGCTGAATCTCAAACACCGATATCTCGAATACCATGGATATGTCAAAGTGATTTTTAAGTCTCAACCGCTTATTCCTTAAGTATATGTATTTTATCCTGGATATCTCAAATTCTCGGATATGTCGAAGTATTTTTTTGGTCCTATCTAGTTCGAGATAAAGAGGTTTGACTATAACTATGAGATAAATAAGCACCATACTGATTCTTCCAGTGCCTGTCTTTTCTCCTCCTCTTCCTTCTGTTTCTTAATCCGCTCGTTCTCTGCTTTAGCATCAGACATTGAAGTCAGGAAGGAGTCTAAAATACCAAAAAAGTCCTCAGGTTTGTACTGTGCTGGGTCCTCACCGAAGAATTCACATGCTGAATCAAACTGGGAGAGAGAAAACACAAGACAATTTTATACAAGTCTAATGAATGACATCAATATGAAAGTAAATTGTTCTACAGTATTAAATTGATGCTTTTAAAAACTATCTGCTTTAAAAACCAGTTTCTAACCTTCAATGCAATTATAGAAAGGTTACAAATAAAATTTTCTTTGTATACCTCTGTTTGTAACTTTTCTGTTTAAGAAGTGTACCTTTTTCTTGATTTCTCCCTTTGCTTCCTCCATCTCGGAGAAATTGTAGGATGCTAAATTGTGGAAATTTGTCATAACGGACACAAATTTTCTACTGTTCATCTCTCCAGCATTCTCGAAGAACTTCAGTTCCTAGAATTTATTCATGAACTTGTGAATCTTTTTTCAGAACCAGACAATACATTAAAACATACATGTAATTACAGCAGACACACTTATGATGAATTCATGCTAATAGCAAAGTGATTTTCATTTGCTAAGGTTTTAAAACATGTTGTAAACTTAACGGACATAACAAATTGCGTTTATAGCAAAGCAAAATTGGTTGTCCCTGGCACAACATTAAAAGCATGTTTTACTTACCAGTATATCTATTTCAGTTTATCTAACATTAAGTAAAATAAACCATACTGACTGACTAATGATGCCAAAAACAGTGAATTTAAAATCTAAGGGCAATCATCTTTGTGAAAAAGAGGTTTACCTTTTCAATGCTGTCAAGACCTGATTTAATGTCTCCAATATCTTTGTCTAACTCAGACATACTGAAATAACAAAAAAATTCACCATTAATGGGTATTCACCAAATCCCATATATATACGCACATGAATTCAAACCAGTGATAAAGATTAGTCCTTCACTGACCCTCACCTGACTTTTGCAGCCATTCGGACATTGGCCAGTTCGCTGTCAATTTTCAAGATACTTGGGAACTACAATAAATACAAAGCCATAAACTTCCAGAAAATTACCAAATATTGTGTGTTTATGCAGAATTTGATTCATGATTTTCATGCAAACAGTGTTTTAGTGTATTTGTTTCCTGTATGAATCAATTTACCTTAAAATGTGTATAGATTGTAACAAAACTTCACAATACTTTTCTCTCAGTAAGTTCGACATGATAATGACCTAACAAATCTTTTGTCCTTACCTTTTTCTCTATGAGGTCTACAAGATAGTGAAGTAAAGTGACATGTTTGCTGGTACTTGACTTTGTATCTATCAAATTTCCTAGACTACTGATTCTATAACCAGAGGCATTTCCCCGCTGACCCCTGTTCATGAAGTTTCCCAGAGCCAGAATTATCTCCAAGATCTGTCTCAGACTTCGGCTCCTCATCAGTTCAGTGGACGCACCTTTTATTGCTGTCAAATGACAATTAGGGGATATCATGATTAATCATATATTTTTTTTTAAATTTCAATTCAGAAAATTAATTAGCAGATAAACTAGGTTTTAAATCTTACCTTCAACTTTTGGTCTAATGTCTGACATTTTTTCTGGGAATTTCTTTTTGAAAAAGAGAGCACTAAGTCTTCCTTCATAATGATTAATCCTTCAAAAAATAAGACAAAAAATCACAGCAATAAGCTAGTGCATGTTAAAAGATTTCTTTTTTTTTCCAACATTAGCATACACAGAAATAGAAAAATACACATATTACTTGAATAAACAAAGTATAAATAATAGAAGTTTACTGCGTTGAATTGCATTACCTGCTGGCTTCATACAGGAATCGGTCAGCCCTGGCCATGTGATCTATCTCCTTACTGTACTCCAGTAACATCTGAGTCTCCTCTGAGGTTGGAACAAACTTAAGTAGCTGAAATATTTCAATATACCCTTCAGTAAAATTACTTATCCTGATATATGTTCAGGTTTTAGCATAAAATTCTGCTGTACAAGTTTTCACTTGCATTTTACAACTGAGTTTATATTCACCTCATAGGAAATACTGTAAAACACAGTTAAGTGAACACACTCATAATGAATTCACACTTCCAGTGATTTTCATTCTTTGTAGTTTTAAAATGTATTATGAACTTATCGGATATAGTGAATTACATTATTAATGAATCAAAATTGTTTGTCAGTGGCACCTTACTATAAGCATATTTTACTGAAAATGAGGGCACTTCAGTTATAATTACCTGCTCTAACATATCCTTTGGCAGATCCTCCCCACTGTCCATGGTCAATATGGCTGATATCACCTCCTCATTAGTCATCTTGAGTTTGGACAGCAGGATTGTACAGTTCTGAGCTCTGCGGCCATCGATAACTGACAGTTCCTTCATAGCCTTAGATTTATTGGAGCCCTCCCCATCTTCTCCCTCATGATTCTGTTGTTTCTGATATGCTGAGAAAGTCCTTTCAAAATCCTCCAGGTCTATTTGCTTGTATAGCTATCAATATAGTAATTTACCTACTGTCACTGTGGATCATACTGACAACTGGATTTTAAAAGTCTCCAACTGAAGGGGAGAAAACTCTTAGTTGGACAGTAATTACCATATTTTAATATCTTGTAAATGACTGAATATTGCAAAATTCTTACTTTTCCAGGATCAAGTCTAGACCACACTGTGCCAGCAAGTTTTGCCTGAAGAAAAATTGTTTATATTTTCTTCTTTAAATAAAAATTAATGACTTTTTTTATTCTCAGTATCTCATTAAGAGACCACATAAACTGTAAATTGTAAAGAATGTGATTCTCACCTCTGAAAGTTTAGACCAGTTGAGGGATTTCATGGGATTTTTAGGACGAGGTATATTTGAGAATTTCTGAGTGGTGCTACCACCTATTGGAGGAGGTGGAGGGGCACCTGCAAGAAATGGTCATTCTTTATAAGTCAACATTTTATACAAATTTAATGTTTATTCTTATTTGATATAGTAATCTCCATTTATGTGTAATACATGTATTGTAAAAGATGCTATACGATACAATTCTGCTTATATGACTGAACATACAAAGATTTGAAATTTTCCCTCATAGCAGGCAGAGTAGGGTGAGATTATTTTCCTTATTAAATTTAACATTGTTTAAGGGTAAAATTTTGGTGTCCTTTGTGTTGGTAGTGGACCAAAATGAGGTGATAGAGATTTACCTGGAGCAGGTGGTGGCGGGGGAGGAGGTGGTGCCCCAATAGGGGGTGGAGGTGGAGGTACACTTGGTCTGATCACAGAAGAATTGACACCACTGAGCTCTATCAGTGAGGGAGTGGACAGGCCAACCTTTGCGTCATCAGGTAGGCTGCCTGTCTGGACTAGATGTGTCAACTTCTGTCTCTCTCCACGCTCACTGCAAAGCTGAAAATACCACACAAAAAAGACAGATCATTTGCCTCTTATTTTCTCAAATTAAACTAGTGGGTATTGTTTTTTTAACAAAAAAACACATGTTTCCCCTTCTTTACCAACATTAACGAGTGCAAATATATGATCAGGGTCTAAAATAATAATGCAATGCATCTCAACTCAAATTCTGTGTACAAAATTTCAAGTCTTCATGTCAAACGGATCTCAAGTAATGGTCTGGTCATGTTTTTCTTAATTTGACCTTGAAGAAAGTGGTCAAGGTCAAATATTTTGATGCAGTGCATTTAGTCTCAATGTTGTCTTTCCTAGTTCCAAGTTTGAAATCCTAATGTCAAAAAGTTCTCAAGTTATGATCTAGACTATATTTTCCTGTAAACGATTGATCTTGACTTTATTAATAGGTCAAGGTGAAAAAATGTTGCCATTCACCCTTCCTCTATACCACCTCTCCATGTTCCAAGTTTGAAGTCTTAATGTCAGGGTTCTCAAGTTATGGTCTAGTCATGTTTTTTTCTATTTGACCTTGAAGAAAGGGGTCAAGGTCAAAATTTTGAAGTGTTGCATCTTGTAACAATGTCTTCTTTCTATGTTACAAGTTTGAAGTCCTAATATCAAAGGGTACTCAAGCTAAGGCCTGGACTCTATTTTGATGTAAAAGATTGACCTTGACATTATAATAATTGGATCAAGGTCAAAAATTTTGGTGGCATGCATCCTTCCTTCATACCACTTCTGCATGTTCCATGTCTGAAGTCTTTATAACAAAGGATTCTTAAGTAATGGTCTAATCAAGTTTTTTCTCTATTTGACCTTGAGGAAGAAAAGAGGTCAAGGTCAAAAATTTTGGTGTGTTGCATCTTGTATCAATGTCTTCTTTCTATGTTACAAGTTTGAAGTCCTAATATCAAAGGGTACTCAAGCTATGGCTTGGACTCTATTTTGATGTAAAAGATTGACCTTGACCTTATAATTGATTCAAGGTCAAAAATTTTGGTGGCATGCATCCCTCCTTTATACCACCTCTGCATGTTCCAAGTTTGAAGTCTTAATGTCAAAAGGTTTTCAAGTTATGGTCAGATCATGTTTTTTCCCTATTTGACCTTGAAGGCAGAAAGGGGTCAAGGTCAAAATTCTAATGCAGTGCATTTTGTCTCAAGGTCTTCTTCCTATGTTACAAGTTTGAAGTCCTAATATCAAAGGGATCTCAAGTTATGGGCTAAACTCTATTTTGATGTAAAAGATTGACCTTGACCTTATAAATAGGTCAAGATCAAAAATGTTGGTGGCGTGCACTCCTTCTCAATATCATCTATCTATGTTCCAAGTTTGAAGTCTTAATGTCAAAGGGTATTAAAGTTACGGCCTGGACAAAATTTGGATGAAGAAGAAGAAGAAGAAGAAGAAGAAAATCGACAAAAACAATATGTCTCCCCTGGAAGGGGAGACATAAATCTATTTAAACATACATTTATTAAGAAATAGTCAATTTTGCCATCTAACATTCTACAATATTGCATTTAACACCTACATACCTGGGAAGACAGATTTTGGATTTGTTGACTTAGTTCATTTATTTGCTGTTTTAATTCATTTTGAGTTGCCATCTCTTGATCCAATTTAGCTTTCATTCTGGTAACTGTTTCTGCAAGTTCATCCTGAAGAACACAAAACCCCCAAAAATTAATTAAAAAATTAGGTTTGAGCCAGATGAGGAATATACAGTAAATGAGCAGGTCCCTACCTTTTCCTGTTCCTTTATTTCACAATCTCTCTCTTTCTTGGCTACTTTGCTCTGTAGATCTTCTTGACTCCTCTCCATCTCTCTCAGCTTTTGTTGCAAGCTTTTAATGTCCTCACCACTTGTCATTCTATGAATTAAAATATACAACATTTGAGAGTTCAACAACTTTCTTGGAAATATAAATGTCCGATTGATTACATCATTCTGATATATTTTTATTGACTTAACTTGTAAATTCAATTAATTTCCTTCAGAATTACAGAATTTTCAATTTTTCAAGTTAAAGCACTAACTGTCTGATCATCTGTTTGACATTCATTTCTACTGGAGCACAGTCAGGATCCTGACCATTTTTCTGCTGTAGCGCTACCTGCTGGACAAGTCTGTCAGTCAAGTTCCACATCCCAGCAATATGGCTATCATTACCAACTAAGGGCAGACAATTCATACATTTCAGTCTTTCAAAAATAAAGCATGACAAAAAATATTGTTTGTGATTTAAATGTTGTTGAATCTCAATAAAACATATTTCAAAAATTTAAGAATAATCTTGCTTCACAAAATTGAAAATCTTTCAAAAACTTCAACATTTTGGGAGAAGTAAGTCAGGCCTGCCACTCACATGGCATGAGGAGTAGATGCTGTAGTATGGACATGAGATGCTGGTAACTGCTAGTCATGGTTAGTTTCTTCCTCAGTAGATCAAACATTGAATAAGCACTCTTAGTGTCTACATGGACCTAAATTCAAAACATGACAAAATGTTCACTAAAATAATCATTCCCATGAAATCTATCAAGGTATGAGTTTTACAGCTAAAAAAGGTTTGCCTGAGCTAAATAAATAACTTGCTGCTAGTTTACAAAGTCATTGCATATTATCTGTTAAAATGATTTTTTTTTTTTAAATGAACACTTACATTTTCAAATCTCTTTGAAATCTCTCTTTCATCTTCATTCCTTTTCATCTCAAAGAAATCCAAATGTCTGAAAAATAAAGCAGCAAAGGTTCTGTCTGTGTCTTCCTACATGTGACTTACATTTCCTTTATAAGTCTGTATCAGTGAACACATGTATTATTTTTACCTATCTAAGGTGGCATTTTCATGCTGTTTTCTCATTTTATCAATCACTGGCTGAATACCTAACATGAGAAACTCATAGCGGAGATGTAAGCGAAACTCAAGATGTTCCTATAAAATGAAGAGGATACAATTCATCATTCCTTTTTTTCAAAACTCTGTAATCTGTTTTAAAATTTAGCAAAAAAATATCACAGACTATTTAGAACTATCTTATAATAGTGCCATCAACTTATCTTTATATCATATTTCTAGAATGTTAGAGTTTGGCAGTTTTTACAAATTCCACACTATTAATTGCACCAAAACATAGCAAATATACATTGCACAAAATCTGTACCCATACAGTATTTGTTACTAAATAAAATCACTAATCCTTGGTATAGGTGGTCAGTGGCCACACTAGAACTCACCTTTCCCGGTCCGTATCTAAGGGCAGCATTGATGAACGACATTATGGCAGTTTTCAAGTTGACCTCCTCCTTGTAAATTCCCGTACTTCTGTCCAAGTCATTGATCAAGGTCTATAATGCATAGCAACTAGTCAGTCATTTATTGCAATTCATATCAAATTAAAAGCTGAATATTAAAAATCTTTCCATCTTGAGGACAAAAGCAACACCTATACTATTTTAACTCTAACAGTAACTGATTTCAGTATAACTTAAGCAAACAGTTGTTTTTGAATCTGGTCTATATCATTCCCTCAAGAGTTTCCTTTCTTTTACTGAAAATTTACCTGGAATCTGGTCCTTTCTGCAGCAAACTTCTGGTAATGCAGCATGGCTTCCAGTACCTTCTTGTGACCTCCAGGAACAAGGCACATGGCACCAAGAATTTCCAGGACTGCTACCTTTGTCCTAATATTCTCTGTTGCTAAGCTTTGAGCAATGATATTGATGCAGTTTGGATGAGCAAGCACATGAGCTCTGCCTTGCTGTTCGTAAAAAAAATAATACACATTTAAACAAAGAAGTATCCAAGTAAAATATAATATGTAAATTAGAGGTGTCTTTTTCTAACTTGAGATTGGTAATTTTGAATTTGAATTTTCTTCGTGGGGGTCAATGTTCGTGGGCAAGCAAAATTTTGCTTGTTCGTGGGGACACAATTTCATGGGTTACTCGTTTATATGGTGGTTCCATGAATCAGTATGTTTACAAAATAAGCGTTCATGGGGATGTTAATTCCTGGGTAGGGGTGACCCACGAAATCCACAAACATTTGTCCCCCACGAACAATGATAATTCCATAGTATATTCTAAAAATCAAACAATTCTTACCGAGTTGTTCATGAGAGCTTTAAGACAGCCTATAACAGAGGTATGGATAGAGCTTTGACACGTTTTGTAATCCATACTCTCCAGAAACTTCAGCAGGCTCTGTAGACCCTCTTGTTCAATGAACCGTGTAACAAAGCTGTAGAATATATGACAGTATGATAAAAGTGTATAAGCATATCAAGGTTGCTTGAGATTTTTGAGAACATGTTCATCAAGTCTCGCTTATCTTAATAGTTCTCAATCTTAATTACATTAACTCATTTGATTTATTCTATTTTAATGCAAAAAAATATATACAATGGAATTGGGCAAAAGTACTGAAAACTTAATCTGCCCTCTCCTTTAACTCATGTTCACAGAAAGAAAAATACTAGTGACAAAATTAAAAAAAATATATTCTCAAATAAACTTGAATTTGATGTAAAATTTCAGATACAAATTCATTAACATACCTCATTGGTTGTGTACGAAGGGCTGTCTTTAAGTTGTCCACTGTTTTTGTTCTCAGCTCTTCTTCTTCAGTGTTGTAACTTAGGAAAACCTATTATACAAAGTTTTATTCCATTTTTTAATGCATGCCTTCATTGCCTTGCATGAATAATACCATAAAATTAGCAATTTATCAATTTTAATATCACAAAATGAATTGTCCTGTGTGTTCTTTTAACATCTTCATGGATTTATGAAAACACCTTTCAATCATCCATACTATTATTAATTTTTTTTGAAAAGAGTTATTTCCCATGAAATCTGCTACATACCATTAGTATTTACAGTACTTGGAACAAATTCTTATGGAATCATAGTAAGAAAGCATTTTTCAATACACATGAATGCAGGTCAATAATATGGGCATTTACAAGCTGCAATAATGAAGCCATCTCTTTTTTTTTTATTATTTCACCAAAAAAAAAAAAAAAAAAAAAAATTGGAGACGGCTACATTATTGCATTATTAGGTATTTACGTGTCATTTGCAATGAAAATTTAACTTACGGATGACAGATTATTCAGCCTCTCTATGTAATAGTCTGGCCAGTGGTCTCCCCTGTCCTACAAAACCAACAATAACATGTCTATAGACTAGTATAAAGAATGTGAAGGCATTCATTCCTAGAATATTCAATGTGAATTTCTTTTTCTTTCTTTCTTTCCCTTTGTTTTTTCTTAAAATATCATCCAAAGAATTGGATCCATATCCATAATAGCTTAGAATTATTTGTGTATTTTTGTTAATACAGTATATTCAGAATTTAGTGCAGTTGTATATATTGCACTACCTGACTCATGAATAAGTGCACTCTGTGTTTATATATATTAGGTTAACATCAATGTTTATTTTAATAGAGTTCATAAATAAGTGCACCAATGACTGCGTAAAAGATGCCAAAATATGAATCCAGCTGGAATAAGTATACAAACAGAATATTATATCACAAATTCAAAACTGTTTCTCTTTTTGCATGTTTTATGCTCTGTGTGTAAAAAAAAGACAGCAAAGTCTCATATAAATCTAAATTTCAAACTATATTTGATGAAGTTTCTGTCATCTTTATTCCAACACCAGACTCACTATTACATGTGTATTTACCTGTACATGTATATCCATACACCATGCCTATTTGTTTAATATTATTATGAACTCTTAATTTCATGAAATTTAATTCACTAATTCTCTCAAGAATGTACTTTTTTATGTAAATAATATTATGTTCTATGGTTATCTTTACCTGGATCTTGCTACAATAAAGCTGCCATTTTTTCTCTGGTGGAAGATTAAACAAAGCATCTCTATGTGGCTTGTCCACATCCAACTCTTCCTGCAATGTGGATGTGACAAAAATTTGACAAAAATTTTAAGAATCTATTTGGATCTTCAACATTTTATTTTTTTAATGCATGTCCTCTCCCTTATTTACATAAAATATGTCAGTCTCTTCTGAATGGATTTCAGACTCCTTGATCAATTAATGCATCAAATGATTAAATGCTTGTAAATGGTCAATTTAAACTCTTCAGATCTGATCCTTTGAACATTCACTAATGTGAATTGAAGAGTTACTCCACACTTTTAAATCACATGTTGATTTTATGCAAAATTATTCAATTACCACAATTTCTGCAAATTTTTCATCAATTTCTTTTTCGTCACTTGGCATGGGCACCTCCACCTCCATGGCCTTGAGGGGCGTGTCCCCGTCGATGCCATATGTTATTTCTGGTGGTCTCCCTCCAAAACACCAACAAACGCTTTTCTTTGGTGCTGGCATTGTGGCTGACACTGGTTAATTCACCATAGGACACACTGTAATCAATAAAACAGGATAACATTAAACAGAGAGCTCATAATGACAAAACACAAAGTCTGCACTCTGTACAACACTCGCTCTCTGTCAATAAAAAAACTTGCAATGCTGATCCTAATAATATAACAATATAAACTGGTCTACTCATTAAACAAAGGGATGTGTACTCACTACAGGTCATCGTCATGGGTGAAAAATTATTCATCAGATGCTTCCTTTTTAAAATACTATAGTGATTGAAATAATACAATAAGTACACTATATCTTTTCCACATTCATAGTTAATGATCTAGATATAAATCTGGTTTTTAATTATCGAGTTTTTATATCAAATGAATTACATTCTATGAAAACTGTTCAAGTTCTCATCAGTTTTTAACAGTAGCTATATGATTTTTGTGTGTGTGTGTTTTTTTTTAAATGTTCATGACACAGGATTTATATTCTGTTCATTCTGAAATATTTATAATCAGACAGCTTTTTAATTGTTCAATGAGACCTTTAACCCTGACAGAAGGCTATTTTTCTTCCTCCACAATCACAACATTGTTTTTGTTATATGTAGCAGACCCCACAACTCTCGGTTTTCAGCAAAGAATTCAGAATAAGAGCAATGTTCATTGTACATACAATGTCTATAAAATTCACAGTGGATTAACTTTAATGACTGTTTTTAAAATAAACTTTGCCTGAGACTCAGACAGTTTCTCATGATATGATATTGTGATCAGGTGAAAGCTCTTTGTGGAAGAGGTATCCATTTACTTTTAGGTGCAAAAACATTTTTTTTATCATAATTATAAACTGTCAAAGATCCTGAACTGATATATGGTTATGAACTCTCTCATTATATTTTTCTTCTTATTTTCATCCATTGTGACACCTGTTTTAAAATGTGTGCTCTGTATCACGCTTTTTATCCTATTTCACCAACAAAAAGAAATAAAGACAAAAATCTATACTGACGATGTCCAAATAATTAAATTTTGAAGAAAAACTACCATTATAAAAGACAGCTATTTCAATTTTATACAAATTTTTCATAAATGTTGAGAAAAAAAAAAAAAATCCTGAATCATGAAAAAAAAAATTACAGTTAGTAATTTTTAATTATCAAAGAATATACAAAAATAGATGTATAACTATATATATTTATGTTTCTTACCAGTATAAATAATAAACTTCCTGAAAGCCGAGATACAATGAATCAGCCGAGAGCATCCTTTTAGGATTTTAATAAAGCTGTATGAGCTCTTGTAAAACCAGTTACTTATCTGAATCATATCATCATTTATTTCAACAGAGCATGATAGGATCTACAAAGGTTATCCTTAAAATATAGATAAAATTAGATAAAAACCGATAAATTAAACTTACTTACATTCAGTCACCTGCAGGAATTAAGACCTTAGATCTAACTTATCAACTGAGGGGAGCATAAAAAATGAATTTCCGCTTGTTATGAGAAGCACCTGAACACAATTGGTCATTATTTTATGGTCCTGATTTTTTATGTCTGCAGAGTTTTCCATATAATCTAACAAGTCCATCCATCACAAATTAATCAATTATATACACTAGTGGTCAAGAAGTTCTGCCACGCTTAATTAGATTCCGTGAACCATAAGGAACAAACAAGAAATTAACAATATCCAAATGTATCTAGAAAGTTTTACTCAATGCACATTGAACACCTTAGCATATACTTAATTATATATCTACGTTTTTACGGCCACTGACAGAAGGCGATCAGCTGTTTTCCTGCATTGCCTGTCACGATGCCCTTAGCCTTCATCAGATAAAATCCTTTATATATACATTTTGCTGTTTTAAAAAAAGCACTTCGAAGTTGAATACCCCCTTTATCTCAGTTAGAAATACACATATATATATAAAAACTCTTTGTGGAAATTTGACTCATGAAAAAAAAAAAGAAAGACAAAAACCAATACTTGTGGTCTAAAGAAAAATTGTCTGACATCAATAAAGTACATCCTGAGTTTAAAGAGGGACGTACTCTACTGCTGTTAAAATTAATTTGCCCCACAAAGTTCACAATGCCGTAGGATTGGACTATAATTCTAATTATTTTATACTTGAGAAGGATCAAATTATATTATTTCCTGCTTCCCCTCCTGGGCAAAAAAAAGCAGGGGGTCCCTTTTTATCTGTGTCACTGTGTGTAGATGTGTTATGTATAGACTGGTGCAAAACTGTAAAAAGATATGTTCTAAGTGGCAGTCTTCTTTAGTCATAGTAATTTTTTTTCTTCACATGATTAAAGTGTGTGTCTAAATGTATCATTAAAATTTATTACATCAGTTACTTAATATGATAACAGCTGCATGAAAAAAAAGAAGGCCGGCCCCCAGACACATATCCATACATACAACATAATGTAATTCACAAAAGTGTGCTTTGAGAATTCATAGTAAACAAAGAATAAGTTACAGTAAAGGTCAATTTTGGCCCTTTATTTGACAAAATCAAAACAAAGTAATAAATATTTGATTCATTACAAACAACGATCACAAGAGATGGGGTGATAAATTACATTTATTACAATTTGTAAGTACAAACTGCTTTAAAAAGCAAAGTGGACAGGTTGAACTATTTTACACATTCTTGCATTGTTATTAGATAATTTTGTAAGAAAATCACTGACAGACTAGATTTGTTTCTATGATTTCCAAACTGAAAAGTAGTTGAATTTGATTAAAAAAAAAAAAAAAACTCATGAGACTTCAGGAAATAACAAAATTATTCTAATTTATCACCCCACCTCTTCTGGCCTCTGTATATGTTTTTGACTGCGAAAGAATGGAATTTTGAACTTGTCCAATTCTTGGCCACTCATAGACTTTTTCATGTGGTGGCATTAAAAATCAATCCAAAAAATAAATAAATAAATATAAATAAAAAAATATAATTGCAGGTATTTTTCAATTATGGCCTGTTGCTTAGTTAAGAGATTGAGATCCCCCCCCCCCAAAAAAAAACAAATAGGACAACAAGGACCATTAACCTTGACCTTGTTTTTTGTAAATTTTGGTATTATAATTACTAATTTTCTTTATGAAAGGAGTTTTCTTTTAGAAAACATTTTTCTACACTTACTTAAATGAAAATCCAAAAACTTTATTAATTAAAAGGTATATTACTTCCCAATATCAGCTCATTTTTTTTCCTTTGATATCTTATTGTCAAAAATTTTATTGGGAATGTTTGAGGATTCTAGCCAAAGAAACTTGAACTAAAAATATAATCCTTTTACAGGTACATGTATTAGATGCATGAAATATATATATCATAAATATAAGAGTCGACCTGTCTGGACAAACAATTATGAGCTAACCGTACGTCAATCATCATTTGTCATGCAGGTCCAGAGGTGTTAGAACACAATCATGTCTAACATGACCATCACAGACGCCCCCCAAAAAACATGTTGATTTAATGACTCCATAGTGCAGTCATTCTAAGTATGCATATAATCTGTGTCGTATTTTAATGAGTAATGTAATCAAACACCATTGGTGATTATCAAAGTATTACTAAACGCATGATTCTGACAAAATGAAGCAATATTCACATGAATTTATATTCACAGGAATTTGAAAGAAAAATTATGGAATTATCAAAAAAACTTGATTGTATATGAATCATTAATATACGTCAGAAACAAATAAAATATACGTTTGTGATGAAAATTACTTACATTGCCAGATCATAATTGTTCACAATTTTCCATTAATAATTCCCACAATTTACCAAAAAACTAAGAAAAATCCAGCACAAAAATCACCACTTAATGATAAGGACCCTCCACATACTATCCTCCTGACCCAATTCCAGTCAGCTGGTTCAGAGCTGTCAGTTGCACACACCTGTAAAAAAGGTTGAAAATCTCCCTCCACCTGGTGTAAATATCACACCTGCGATGACCCCGACCCTAATTGGGCCACCTCATAAATCAATCAGCCAATACACAAATACCAATGCTCATCCTAGGTGGAAATATACAACAGGTAACCCTCTAATCTGGTTTAAGCTCCACTAATGGTTATATATGACCCAGAAGATTTTTCCCCTCTTTCTCTCTTCTTCCTACTGCTGTCAATGAAATACCTGTGTTCTTAACCTAGATAATTACTATTTTAACACACCTTGTGGTCAAGAATAATTATCTATGACACAGCATCATTTTGTTATAAAGCATAAACAAATATATGTGCAAAAAAATATTTTTTCAAAAATTTAAGAATATTTTTGTTATACCTACTGCAAATATACCATAAATCTTATCAATAATTCAATGTTTCAACTTTGTTAAATCTTTTAAAATTATACAAAAATTATAAGGAAAGTTATTTTATAATAAATCATAGGTAGCATAATTTGTAAATGTATCATATAATTATCATAGCATTGATTACAAGTCAAAGAATTTTTTTATTTACCTTTAAGACAGGAGCAGAGGGTTAACAATGAACGTTCACTCCAACACAAGGCAACAATGAACAGTCAGATATTAAGAACTTATCATTTTCAGTAATTGGATCTGTCAAAACTCCATAACCAATCCATGATGTAATTATGATTTACATTATGTTAGTGCAGACAAGTAACTCAATACCCTTCTCAGCTGAAAAGAATTTCGATTTCTGGTCACATACACACTGAGCAAGTCAATTGGTTATAGTTTTTGTTCCTCAGTCCAGAAAACAAAAAAACCAGAGGAAGGTGACAGGTGTCAGAATGGGTGTAGTGTGGGGATTAATTACAAAACAGTCCTCTACTTCTTTCAACTGAATCACTCGGCCCTTGCCGAGCGGAGCAGCAGGGAAATAAACAACATTAACCAAACTACTTATCTATCCCCAGACACAACCCTGGGTATACATAAACTACCTGGCCTAAATCTTAAGTTTCCCTTTTAAAAGTTAATGGGCTTTGATGATTTAATTGTGTTGCTGTGAACCATATAGTAAAAGCATGTCTTTTTTTTTTTTTTTTTTTTTTTTTTGGCGTTGAGAAGATTAAAAAAGGTTTGTGTGTGATTGTAAGTGTTTTAGGTGAAAATTTAAATGTCAAAATGTTTGCATAACCTATCCTTAGGACATGCCATCTGTATATTTATGTATCTCTGAAATGATAAATAAAATTTTGAATGGAAGAAAAATACCCGTTGGGACTTCATATTTATGTCCAATTTCCATGCAAAGATAATTCACTTATCCATTCAACTTACTTGATTTCAATTTTTAAAAAAATATTTTCTTTTAACAGACAACAGTTAATTTGCTACAATATTTGGCCAGCACATTCAGTTTGAAAGGAAATACTTCCTGTAATTTAAATGCACTCCGACAATGACAAAATATTTTACCTCAGAATTTTATATCTAATGAATTTCATGTAAAAGTAAACTTCCTTCAAGGCAACATTCTGTTCTCCTTTTCTTCCCCTTCTTGAGAAGTTTGTTAATAATACGATATAATCAATAAATGATTAAAATGATTAATCTTACCCCAGTGAGAAATAGCCCCAAAATTATTTGAGCAGAAATCAAATTTTCCTGTTTACCTTCAAACAACACTCAGAACACTTAATCCAGAAATACTTCATCAAGTGCAAAAATTAACCTATTTGTTTGCTTGCTAACAATTCAATTACATGCAAATTGACTCTTATGATGAAAAAAATTATGATTCCTGAAAAAAATAACGAGTAACATTTCTTTTTGATTGACAAAACACTTCCCATATAATTTCACTTTTTCATGAACATCAAAGTTAAGCATCTGAAGGGTTAAACGCAGGGTTCTGTCCAAACTCCTTCTCAACTATTACATGAAATGGTCTAATGGTTCATTAAAGACAATACCTGTTTCTTATTTAGAACAAGCATAGTAACAGATGGTTTATTAAGTCTTGTTCAATACATCTACAACACTCCAGCCAGACCTCAGACTTTGTTTAGGAGTGTTCTGCTTTAGATCTAAAAATGGACTTCAGATCTGCTGATCAATTATTGATGTTACAGAAGTGCTCAATAAGTCTCTTTCTTCTTTGCAATAGATCCATTGTTTTTAAGAAATTTCCAACTGATATTCATACATTTATGGTTTACAGTTTCTTGAAGATTCTAAAATAATATAATGAAATTGCAGGATTTAGTAGAAAGATCCTATTCCCACCATCAATTTATAATACCAATGGCAAATCCACTAGAGTGGAAAAATTGTGATATATATCTTTCCTAAAATAAATTAATTATTGACAAGTGAACCATAATATTGACCCCCCTTGCTGTCACAATTAAAAAAAAACACCTGCTAGTGCTGGTAATGGTTTGCTATAACAGATACAATGTCTCTTTTAATTCCATCTAAAATACATTTCAGTAAATATTGATTTTTCAGGAGAAATTTTTAGTGTCTGAAAATTTAAAGTCATTGACAATTGTGATTTCCTGGATTAAAAACCAGATACATCACTGAAAAATTGAAAATTCATTATTGATTTTTCTTGGTTCCAAAATGTTAATCAGTTATTGGTGTTCAATATGAAATTGGACAAACCTGCACAGGAAAAATTTTAACTTCCACCTCTCCACACACACGCCTGATAATTAAAAAGATTATGTTCAGATTAAAAATGAGAAGATAATGATTTCAATCCACAGGTAGATCTAACCAAGAAGCCAGGGGCCTTGTGACCTAATACCCTAGGAACAGTACCATCACGTATCTGACTAGTATCTGGGAATTTCCTTAATAACTGAGCTCTGTTTAATTGGCCTGAAAGGAACCTTGTGCTCGACCAAACTCTGTTTCCACACCATGCTGCCCCTGGACAAACATTGTATGATTAAGAGATAAATCAATACATTTCAACATAAATTATGTTCCAAGTTCGAGGGCGGCCTGATACACACACACAGAGATGAAAATAGCATAGTACTCATTGGTTTTTATTTACTTTCCTCATTTGTTTGGACACAAAAGAAGTTACCTGAATTAAAATTCAAGGGCTGAGATTTTAGTTTTTATCAATGGTGCAACAATGGGTATTTAAAATTAATGCGTTTTTGGAATTTAATCTTCTTCCTTTAAACTACTGTGACATAATATAAGAATGCAATACGAATATAAGGGGGGGATGAAAGCTGAATAAAAAAATATTTTATTTTGCAAACTGGTATTATAAATGAAATAGATTTTCTATAAACAGATAAAGAACCGCACAATATACGTGATATTGTCGAGCAAATCTATTTATGCACGCTCATATGTAGTATACTTGTAGTCTCATTGTAGCAAATGCAAAATAATGCATACTTACGCATTTTCCTTTATGTTAGAATTTTAAAGCATTTTAGGCCTTGCTTTGTATTGAAAGACTCCAATTACATTGAAAACAATAACATGTGGACCGCTGGCAAGTTTCCCACCATTTGTCAAACTAAATGCACCCAGGTATAATAAACCCAAGAACAAAATATGTGGGGAGTATCTTTCCGGTGGAGAAATACACAAGAAGAGTGAGTTTGTGCAGTTTTCAAAGTGTCACAAAAAATAACAATTGTAATTTAGAAATTTATTGTTAATTTTCTTCTTTTTTTTTTAATATGTGGTACATTTTAAAAAAATATGTGACAAAAAAAAGTAATTGCAATATAATTCAATATACAGATCTAATCTGGATTTATATTGTATGCAAGTATGAGAAAAATAAAATAATTCTTAAAAAGTTGAAATAGCTTTATCATGTGATTTGAGCACAGATTATTTTTTGGTGGGGGAATTCTTAACTAATTCCGGAACTGTATTTCAAATTGGGTTTTAATTTTAGTGTTTTTTCTAGATTCCACTTTGTTTATCAATGGCGACCAACTTGCTGAATCAGATCTTGCGTATCAGAAACAGAAGAGATTGACTAATATTCTGATCATGGTGTAAATACCAAGCTTATGCCATGGTGAAACAAACCATTAAAATCTTTGCTCGTGTGAAGCCCACAAAATCTAGGGCAGGGGTGAGTTGTTACAGCTTTGTAAATAGAAACAGATTTTTAGTTCAGAACAAATCTGAAATTTGGTTGCTTTATCCTTGATACTAATAAAACAGAAAAGAACAGGACAGAACAAAACATGAATTAGAAGGTGTATTCAATTTGCATTGTCTAGAAAGAAAATGCTTTGTTTACAACTGTACAAGGTAAAAAAAAAAACATTAATTATTATATATTACATGATTATAAAATAATAACAACCAATTCCTACCTAATCAGTGTTTATTTACTAAGTTTCAAAGGATACTTAAAAGAATTCTCAATCTTTTTGAATTCTATAGCTTTATGACGTTGACGAAGATGATGAAGCGATCCCTCGTTTGACATTATGTGTGCCAAGAGATATGAAAGATGGCTTTGTTAACAATAAAAAAGAGACCTACAAGTTCAGGTCAGTTATCAAGTCAAAGTAATGTTGAAATGTTAAAAATGATTTCCTCCTCAAAAACAAGACTGCTTTGTGAATCAAGCAATAACATGTAAAGCTTCTTTGGCTCATACTGAATGAAAAATTCAAATATTTTTTTTTTAATCAAAAGTAATCTGGATTAATATATTTTTCAATTTGATCCGAAAATTTTTCTTGGCAAAGAATACATTTTTGTTGTTGTTGTTGAATGTTTGTCATTGGAGTGTTTTCCATAAGAACTGGCTACTGACTAAATTGACTGTTTCAGTTGATAAAAATGCCACATAGAAATAAAAAAATTAAAAAATAATTGTTTTAAGGTCCACAGAGATTTTGTTCATAAACATCAACCCTTAGCCTGTTATAATCGATCTCTAACCCTTTACTTTGAAATAAAGGGAAAACACTGCATTGACTGGTTGGTATTAACTTGGTAATGGCAATTTAAAGAATTTATTGAAATGTACAATATATCATATGATTCTGCTTATGCTCAGTGTTTTGTTTTTCCTCAGATTTGAAAGAGTCTTTGATCAGCAAGCCAAACAAGATGAAATTTTTGAACATGTAGCAAAACCTGTTGCCGACAAGTATGTACAAAGCACTTTTTCCCCCTCTGAAATGATTTTAGAAATAAAAATGTGTCATAAACCATGTTCATTCTTCTACCCCTTGTTCTTGATTTGTCATGTTCATGTATATTTTCAGCATACTGGAAGGCTATAATGGAACCATTTTTGCCTATGGACAGGTTTGATACCATTACTTCAGGATTATTTTTCAAATGCTAAAAATAATATTCAGTTACGCTTACCATCCATTAAAAGTATGAAATTAAAAAAGAAATAGATAAATATATATAAATAAATAACTTTTGAAATCTAAGAAATCTTAAAAATCCTATTTCAAACTATGAGACTGTTAATAAAGAGTTATTCCCCTTGTCACATTTTTTCTTCAGACTGGTAGTGGGAAGACTTTTACCATCACGGGAGGAGCGGAGAGATATAGTGACAGAGGAATCATTCCACGAACTCTCTCATATCTCTATGAAATGTTTGAACAGGTCTGTGTTCAGGTGCAAGATGAAAAAATTCTTTTCATGTAAGACATTATGACTTGATTAAGCAAAAAAATGTAATTTGATTTTTGCAGGATTCAGAAAGAACATATACACTCCATGTTTCCTACTTAGAGATTTATAATGAAGGTGGATATGATTTACTAGATCCCAAGCATGAGGCAGCCAAATTGGAGGACTTGCCGTAAGTCAATTTTCATTATTATTCACCAAAGATTGAAGACTGTGAGCATATCATACGAGGGTTGATACAAAAGTAACGGTCACAACTGCTTTAAAATCTTTAATGACCAGATTTTAACAACAAAAATTGACACACTAATACCCCTATCTATTTTAATTTTTGCCTTAAAATATCAATGGATTATATTATAATAATAATTTTTAAAATATTAAGATAAACACAACATTAGGTTTTCGTTGCATGGCAAGAATGTTACCAGCATCATCATGTTACTCTTCAGCACTCATTTTCAGTTCATACAATAATCTTTACTGCCATTTTGCTATAAACTGTCTAATTTTGAGTTGTCCGAATGTTATTTCTAAATTCATTCTTTTTTGTGTAAATCTTATGTATCATCATGCAGATTCAAAATGAGTGTCGAAGAGAAATGTCATAACGACATCGGTACATTTTTGCCATGCAGCGATAGACGTGTGTGTTTATTTTAATATTTTATAAAGTATTGCATATACATGTATCTGAATGAAATTTTAGGGTAAAAGTCAAATTAGGTTGAACGAGGTATTAGTATATAAAGTTTTGATAAAAACTTTCGATTATTAAAGATTTGATAGCAGTTTTGATATTACTTTTGAATTAACCCTCATAATTAGTTCTGGATTGTATGTTTGTTTGTCTGTCCAGTACTTTTACCTTGATCATAACTGATAGGGAATAATAGGTAAACTTTTCACAAAATCTGGGTTCATATTAGACCAGGGTCATGTTTATTGATCAAAAGTCAGATATTTTGCCAACTTCGGATTTAACATGTATGTTATGAATTATTATTTTTTTAAAAGTGTTTTAGAAGATGAAATGTATGTGAAGTAACATGATTGTAACATAGTTGGAGTTTCCCCAGTTAATATTCTTTGATGATAGAATATTTTGCACATATATGTATATATACAGAAATTCATTTGATGAAAAATTTTTGTCGGTATTCTCCTAGCAGATCTTGGCAGATTACTCAACTAAGGAATGAATTATCTGAAACAATTTAGAGGTGGTGTAATCTGCCAAAGGTTTGTGGGAATTAAAGCAGACCAAAAAAGCCTTAGCTTGCAAAGATAACATTTTTTATGCTTCCAAACAACTGAAGAGTCATACTGCATAGAAAATGGAGATCATTTACTCTTTATAGGAAGGTGGCATTAATGGAAGACTCAGATCAAAATATTCACTTAAAGAATTTATCTGTCCATGCTGCAGCCAATGAGGAGGAAGCTCTCAATCTTCTATTTTTAGGAGACACAAACAGGATGATTGCTGAGGTCAGTGCATCAATTAAGATTTATATATAATGCTAAAAAATTCTAACTATTGATCAGTCTATTTCTACGAACAGCATAAAATACAGTATTATTTTCAATGGATTAAAAATTAGATTTTTAGCAAAAATAAAGCTGTTGCACTACACAATAAAAAAAAATTACTCTGTCTCTGGAATCTTTTTTTTTTATTATTATTATTCCCGAAGTTTTTAACACTTTGTGCTTCACCTTTGTAGCAAGGCAATTTTGATTTGATCAAAGTCAATCATGTAAATCACTACTACTTATAGATGAATTGAAATTCCTGTGTCTTCTTCTTCTTCTTCTTTTTTTTTTTTTTTTTTTTTTTTTTGAAAAATGTGTTGGTCCTTTGAATTTCACAAAAAAAAAGAAAAAAAAAGTTATCTTTCATGATTGTCTAACATAATGTTCATTGTTTAAAATTAGATTTATGGTACTAGACTGTATGAAAGGTAGTAAACAGGAGCAATTTTGACAGTTCATACCAGTTTACTGAAGTTTTATAGTCTTCAGTGAAACTCTTGTGAATATGTTTAAAAATGATTAAAAATATTAAAGCCTTTACAGATGTTCATTTCTTTTGTTTTCAGACACCAATGAACCAGGCCTCCACCCGATCACATTGTGTATTTACCATCCACGTCACATCAAGAGAAAGTGGATCAGCCACCATACGGAGGTCTAAACTCCACTTGGTGGATTTAGCTGGGTATTTATTTCAGCACTTTTTGCCTTCTGTTACTCTTTGTAATCTCTCTTTTAGTTCATGTCTTAATTCATTGGTTATTTTTTGTTTTGTTAGATCTGAGAGAGTGCACAAAACTGGAGTCAACGGTGTGTTGTTGACAGAAGCCAAGTACATTAATCTATCTCTTCATTTCTTAGAGCAGGTACAATAATATTCTTGAGGATCTATTTTATAAAGAAAATTGTCTTCAAAAGCTTAAGAAATTTGATAATAAAATTTATTACTACTCTTAGATATTTTGTGCAGAAACTTGCATTTTTTAAAGTATCTAGTTCCCATGATCAAATTGGATGGAGAGCATGATACAACATATACATCATAGATGTAGAAGTGCTGACATAATTTGTATTCATTATTTTTTTTAAATGATAAACACTCATTTAATCTGTAGTTTTTGTTTGTAGGTGATTACTTCCCTGGCAGATAAAAACCGACAGCACATTCCTTATAGAAACTCAATGATGACGTCAGTCTTACGGGATAGTCTGGGGGGTAACTGTATGACAACCATGATAGCAACATGTTCTGTGGAAAAACGCAATATAGATGTGAGCATATTTCTTAATCTTCAGAATTTATTTTTATATGTATGGAGTGGATAAGGTGTCACACTTATTGTGGTCTCCTAGGAATTCATTGAACATATATCATACAGAAAAAAATGTCCTCTTTTATTCTCTTTCAGGAATCTATCTCCACATGTCGTTTTGCACAGAGAGTAGCAATGATTAAGAATGATGTCATGGTTAATGAGGAGCTTGATCCAAAGCTAATGATACAAAGACTGAAAAGAGAAGTTCAAACTCTGAAGGAAGAGCTTGCCTTGGCAACCGGGGAACAGAGGACAGATGCACTGACTGATGAGGAACTGGACAGGTATAAATAAATTCAGAAATTCAAAATACCCCTAAAATTAATCCATGATTTCTGTCAGATGAAAGTTTATCACATTTTTGCTACTTAGAAGAAGGACTACAGGCATAGCTTGTATAATATATACATGTTCAGCTGATCAAAGTGGAAAATGTGATATTTCGGGTATTTTACAAGCTTTTTGGATGTACACAATGTTTTAAATCATTTGATTTCTATTTGTAGATGCAGAGAGGCAGTATCAGCCTATGTCACAGACACAGACCCTGATGCTATTTTATCTATTGGTGCTGACATGAGAAAAATACAAGCTTGTTTTTCCATATTAAAAGTAATCAGTTCTGCTTGCTCAATTATAAAGCAAACCCCCCCCCCCCCCAAAAAAAAAAAAAAAAAAAAACTTATTACTAATGCCAAAGCTGGTTTTAGTGTAAATTGAAAAACTCATCTTTACTACATTTTACATGTTTTATAAATCAGTATCATCTTTCTCAGTTATCTCAAATGCTTTGCAGAAATTAGTTCTTGACAAGCCAAAGGTCAAAGAGGTAGAAAGGACACCCAGAAGTTCTCGGATAGAGAACGTTGGTCCCCCTCCTGAACCCCCTGACACAGGACCATACAGTGATACAGAGAACAATAGGCTGAAGGAACTGGTACAGCAGAGGGACAATGAGATCAGTATCCTTTATAAAAAAAGTTAAAACATTGACAGATGTTGTGAATAAAAACCGTACTTTCTCAAGCAGAATTGGAAGAGAGAAGTTTCCCTGTCAATAACAAAAAAATGCATCGAGGAAGAGACTGACTTTGGAGATACCTGTTCTTGAAAATCTTTTGGTATACGAATAATGAAATTCCATACGTGTGCTTTCAGAACTGTGTCAAAAGTTCCATGTATTTTTATTTAAATATACAGATTTACATTTTGCCTTAATCAACCAACAGACATTTTAGTCAATATGTTAAAGAAAGAGAAGAAGAGAGCCCAGGATGCTATTTCTGAGTTGGAGAGTTTTGGCCAGCTTCCTCGACAGTCTTCCTCAGCGAGCGAGTCGAGTATGGCAAATAGTCGTTCCAACAGCAGAAATCAGCTGAGTCCAGAGAAGTCCCGGAAGATGTCTCAGAGTGAGGAAAGGACAAAAAAGAAAATCTGTAAGTATACTGGACACTGTCTGGAACCATTTAACAAATTACAAGTATCACATAGTTGAACTTTTGCATCTCAGATGCCAATGTCAGATACCTTGGACATGTCAAAGTTAGTGCATGACTTTCTAGAATACTGAAACCAAGTATAAAAATGTGTGCAATAAATCTCAGCGAGATTCGCAAGCAGCCAATGCTTGTGGATATTTATCATCGGGAACTAGTTGCTCATCAGTTTTTCAATAGATAAGATGACTCCATGCTTGCAAAAAAATAATTGTGCCAGATTAGTTCTTAACTGGCCATTTGCGAAATAAAGATGATGCATATAATATTTGGTTTACAGTATTTGGATACTAGTATCTTGAAATCTTTTTGTCAGTCCCACACTGAGTTTGAGATGCTGAGGTACATGTACATATATCATGTATATCTGCATATTTTATTTAGTTGATTCAAATAGAATTATCAAGACTGCATGGGAAAGAAAAGTGGAAGAAAAAAAATACATCGTATCATTCAGAAAGTTGATTTTATTACAGTGGGAGACATGTCAGTAGGCAGACAGGAGGCCTTTGAGATTTTTAGGAGGGACTATTACAATAACCCCACAATAGAGGAGAACAAACTGAACCTGAAGCAGAGGTACACAGAGGCCAAATCTCTGGGGGAGGCAGTCAACAAGTCAAGGCAGAAAATCAGTAAGCGGATATTAAACCCCATCAAATAAAACAAGCTGCAATAAGTATATACATGTGTATAGGGGACTGATACAGAATCTGTGACAGAGTTTGTTGCATAAATTACATTATTTTATTTAACTGGTACATTATAATCACATATGTAATATACTTGTAATTTGGATTTTATGATGCTATGTGAGAGAAAAATAAATAAATCTTTTAATCCAAATGATATAAATGGCATAAAAACAAAGTGAATTTATTCATCATTACTTTTACAGATCATGTTAAAGGCCAAATTGAACAACACAGAATGCAATTAGCCATGCAAGGTCAGACAAAATTTCCTTTACTTTAATTTTGGAATAAAATAATATTCTATAATATGAGAATTTGTAATGAGTTTCTTTTTTTCCAGGCCTTGTTGATGGAACTGACCAAGAAATTGATGAGGTTGAGCAAGAACTTAGAGATGAAATGGAGGAAGAAAAACTTAGGTACACACTGAACATGGCTTTTACTTTGATTTTGTTTGTGGCCACCTTTGTATTTTTGAGGCTTTTTTTTGTCCCTTAGCGCTTGTGTGTGGGTACATTACAGAAGTTACACAAGTAATAATTTATATTAGGATCAATGTGTTCTTTTGTGAGGGGATGCTCTGCTTTGTGGTTCCCTTGTTTGTATGTCTATCTGTTTGTCTATCTGTTCATGCTATTGTGTCCAGGCCATATTTTGTAATGGAGACACACTGGAAGTTCACACTTGCCACAAAGATGATCTAAGAGTGTGTCATGATCTTGATGCAAGGTCATTTAGGAAAGTTCAAAGTTACTGGCAGGAAAAGTATAAAATTATCTGGTCCATCACTTTCTAAAGGAAAAACACTGAAATTTCTTCCTTCAAAAATTACTTTTGACATGCAGTTTTGTTCTAATGCATAAATAAAAAAAAGACTGCACTTGATAAAGCTAAATTTAGGTCACCTGAGTCACTCAGGTGACCTATTGCTATCTGTTTTCGTCCGTCATTGTGCGGTTGTGCATCGTGGGTAAACTTTTCACATTTTCAACTTCTTCTCAAGAACCACTGGGCCAATTTTAACCAAACTTGCCAGGAAGTATCTTTGGATGAGGGGGATTCAATTTTGTTCAAATGAAGGGCTACACCTACTTCCAAGGGGAGATAATAACAATTTAGTTAAAAATTAATGGCATCTTTTAAAAATCTTCTTCTTCAGAACCACTGGGCCAAGAAAGATGAAACTTATGTGGAAACATCCTCAGGCAGTGTAGATTCAAGTTTGTTCAAATCATGACCCCTGGGGTAGGGTGGGGCCACAATGGACGATCAAATTTTTACATGGAAATACATTTGAAAAATCTTTAAAAATCTTCTCCAGAACCACTGGGTCAAGAAAGATGAAGCTTATATGGGAACATTTGCAGGTAGTGTAGATTCTGATTTGTTCAAATCATGATCCCAGGGTGTAGAGTGGGGCCACAATGGATGGGCAAAGTTTTACATCGGAATACATAGGAAAAATCTTGAAAAAAATTCTTTTCTCAAGAACAGCAAAACCATTATTGATTATATTTACATGGAAACATCCTCAGGTAGTATAGCTTCAAGTTTGTTCAAATCATGACCCAGGGATAGGGTTGGGACACAATGGACTTATGTATAGATTTACATATGAATACATAGAAAAGATCTTTTACAATCTTCTTCTCAAGAATAGCAAAGCCATGATTTGTCATATCCTCGGGTAATGTAGATTCAAATTTGTTTAAATCATGACCCCCAGCGGTAGGGAGGGGACACAATAGGTGATCAAAGTTTTGGTTAGGAATATATAGGAAAGATCATTAAAAATCTTCATCTCAAGAACAAAAATGCCATGATTAGTCATTTTAATACAAAAGCATCTTCAGGTAGTGTAAATTCAAGATGTTCAAATTATGACCCCAGGGGCTAGGGTTGGGCCATAATAGAAAATGAAACTTACAGGAAACAAATCTAAATGGGGGACAGATTAGAGCTTAATTTATGAGCTGTTACTCAATACTAGACTAATTATTTCATTGTTCATGATCATCCTATTTCTCTTGCTTTTGGGCAACAAAGCTTCAGATATCAATTTATTTTATACTCTATGGATCCTCTAAATTGTTGTTTTATACTCAGGTGACCGTTAAGGCCCTTGGGCCTCTTGTTTTAATCTACAACTGAAAGGAGCTAAAACAAAAACCAATTAGTAGGAAGCATAAATAATAATTTATTGCCAAAGGAATTTGAACCTCACTTAAATCCAACAGAATATACATCATGCACGGATCTAGAGAGGAGTTGGGGACCCCCCCCCCCCCTGGAATTTGTAGAGTTACTAAATGTATATCTGAAGGAAAGAAAAAATGACTTTGGAAACCCCACCCCCCACCCCCCCTAGAAAACATGGAACCCACCAAACCCACCACAAACTAGGTGTAGAAATTCTCTGGATTTAATATGTTTGGGAAGGGTTTTTTTGGTTTTTTTTTTTTTTTTTTTTGCTTACTTGCTTGTCAAGGAATTTTTTGGGTTAGAAATTATTTTTTTTGACTTGGCTAGACCACCCCCTTGCCCCCCCCCCCCCCCCCTGGAAAAAATTCCTGGATCTGTGCCTGTATGATGTATAATTGTCTGTCTGTTGATATGATTTTTTTTATGGTTGTTTTAGGTATAAAGAAAATTTCAGTAGATTAAGAACACTTAAGACAGAAATAGAACATCTTCAGCATCTGTTGGAAAAGTCCAAGGTGAAGTTGATGAAGGACTTTGAAATCTGGTTTGCTGAACAAGCTGCTCTGAACCAGGTACAGTATGAAATCATTAGATAGCTCTGATCTTATCATAAAAGTTGCATTTTTAGAGGCAAGGAAGGGTTGATAATAAATATTGTTTGAAGAAAAAATGTTTGACAATTACTGCTGCTAAAGGCCTGTGGATTACTTAAGTTTTTTTCCTCTCTTTTGCCTTCTCTGTTTTGAAAATTCAATGCAGTATTTTAGAGGTGAACCAAAATTTAAGGGAAATAATTATGAAAAATTTCTAAACATGTATCTTTAATATTGAAGAAGCACAAATTTTCATTGATTTGTCATCTAAAAAGGTTTCATGGGCATTAAACTTTGTTGTTTCAAAAGTAACCCAATGGTTGATAATTGTTAACAATGAAATAAACGAAATTTAATCCCCAACAAATATTTCTGCTTTTACAGTACATTACTTATAAAATAGCAGAAATAAAAAAATCAATATCAAATCATTGAAATTTTCAACCATAGGAAATACTTTTGCACAGTGATCAGAAAAACCAATATCAATGAAATATAAGTCATGAAACTAGATAAAAGATTTAAAGAATTTGATTTGTTTTAGGAACCTAATTCTACCACTGGAAGATCAGCATGGAGGACACCCACTCCCAAAAACAGAAGAGAAGGCACATATTCTATCAATCCTGAGAGGACATATGTGGCAAATTCTGCAAATCAAGAGAGGGCACATTTAACTTCGTCCTCATCAGAAAAAGATTTGAGTCACCAGCACCCATCATCTGGTCGCAGACAGAAAGTGTCCAGTAGTATCACTAACAGTTTTAATAACCTGAGACCCCTCCCTCCCACCCACAATGGCAACAGCAGTGGGGGTGAGGACAGTGCTGCAGTTAATGGATACAGAACAAAGTATGTTATAAAATTTGTTTCTGTTTTATTAAATTTTTAAGCTGTTGTAATCACATGTATGTTGATACAGATATAATATTTTCCATTTCTTTGTGGAGGAGACTTAAAATAGGTTGGAGATCCATAAAATGATGTATGATTGTTTGCCTTCTGAAAATAACATCATGCAAAGTCACATGATTTACAGTTCTACCAGTTAACAGTTAGATATGTTCTTTTCCCAGGAAAAATAATATTCCAATGACTGGAGACCCAAAAGCAGATGCAGATATTATGGCCTTCATCAAAGCCAGGCAAAATATTCTCAGAAAAGGTATAACAACTGAATAATGGTATTTTTTAAAAGATAAGATTGTAAACTTTAAACAACATGAATTCAAAATTTCTATAAAACCATTTTTTTTTATGAGGGCTTCTTTTTGTTAAAAATTGGGCACTGTATACACATGTATTTGAATCAAATTTGAGCTTCTTCAGGTGAAGTGAAATCAAACTTTCTATAAAATTATGTTGTCTTTTATAAAGATAAGCTTTTTTTTAAGGAAATTGGGCCTTGGGTATGCGTATTAAATTTTCCTTTTAGACTAGCATGTTTTATTTTCTATTTCAGCTCAGTTAGATCAGAGATGACCTACCTGCTACAAATGTGGCCATTAAATTAAACATTTATAGTGCATTCTTACTAGTGCCAGAAACTGTTACTGCTACACAAACCGTCCAATAGGCATTAATCACAAACTGCCTAATTCGGCATTAATCTCAATTCCACCCAGTACTACCAGGTGCTTTCACTAACAGTTCTGCTCCAGAGTTATTTCCCTTAGAACTGCTTCAAGTTGTACAAACAGTAAATAATGATTTTCATGAACTCTCCAACTTCAGTGTAATGTTTTTGAATGAATTTGTGAGATGATATTTCACTGTTGTCTATTGTTCTGAAAGATGGTGATTGTGTTCTATTTAATATATTTATTACGGATAAACTACTTAATAAAATACATATACATGTATATGTGTATCATTCTTTTTGAATAACAGAACTTGCTTGCAAGGTACAACTTCACTTGCAAGCTTGCTTGTACTGTTTTTGGCATGCCCATCAGAAATATTGTGAGGTCTACAATGTAGACTTATGTAACAAGAGAATGTTATCTTAAAAAATAATCAGAAAATTGACATGTACGAGGTTTGTCCCAGAAAAACTTGGAACTTTTTAAGTATTTCAGAAACTATTCAACCAAAACTAATAATTTTTTGCACGTTGTTGAAAAATGATATTTTTGGTATTTTGACAAAATATTTTAGGCTTGTGATGTCATAAGTATATAAAAACAGCATTTAAAGGGTGTTAAATATCGGTGGTCGGCACAGGGGAATTTTTGACTTTTAAAAGTAACATTGTCAATGAAGTTTTCTTTATTACCAGGCTATAGAATGTCACAAAATTTACCTCCATAAGCACTCTTTGATCTGATGTATTCATGTATAAAAATTCATTAATTTTACATCATTAATGACAAATATATGATGTTATATGCCAAAACACTTTTAATTAGATATTGTCAAAAATGGTGACATTTGGCGATAATGTGGAGCACCAAATTATTAAGCAGTACTGTGTTGAGTGGGATATGACTCCTGTCCATGCAATAAAAGTGATGTTAATGATGGAAAATCAGAAACATAAATCTCGGACACAGGTTTATCCCTATTTAAAGAGGTTTGAGGATGGCTTGACTGGTTATTCGATAGAAGAGGCATTTTGTAGACCAACAAAAATGAAGACAAACTGAAAGTCAGGAGCTGGACGTCACAGGCCTAAGTGAAGCCACCGTTAAACAATGCGAACTGTTAGGTTTATTATCAGGATTGAGAAATTGTCTATTAAAAGAATTAATTCAGCAATCTTTTGGTAACATTAGTATTTGAGATGTATAACTTGGTATATGAAAGAAAATCAAATATAGTGCCGAATTTATGCTTCAACAAATTTTATCAGAAGCACATTTCCAGAACAAAATCACAAAGCCATGAGCTACATTTTGACGTCGTCATATTGCGCCGACAACTGATTTGTAAGATTCATTTACCTGAGAGAGAAGTGTTATTTATAGAGATGAAATTTTTATCCATTATTAAAAAAATGTTGATCATGATGTATGCCAATTTTTAACTTAATAGTATTAGTGAATCAAAAGCTATTGAAAATGTTCGCGTATTTCTGGGACAACCCTCGTACATGTCAAGGTCATTTGAAAAGGTTCAAATGTTTAAAGTTTTTTTGTTTTGTTTTGTTTTTAACCTGTTGAATCATATTAAATCAGAGAATCATTGTGGAATGCAGACAATACATCTTTATGCTCAAATTTCCACATTTAAAAGGTAAATACATATTAGGGATGTCAAAATATTTATTTTCCTTAGTCGATTATTCGATTGCATTATTCGAACGATAGTCGAATATATTCAGAACATTTCCTGAAAATAAAATTGTATTTGAAACTTCACTGGTACATGATTTATTTATAATTCAGAAACCCTTTTACTTAAATCTATTTAAAAAGTAACATCAAATTTTATGCAACGTAACGCGTGGATAGCATGATTATTTGAATTTCAAAACCTAATTCTCCAAAAAGTATGATTTCCCCGTCAATAGAATTCATAAATCAGTTTGTACATGCAGTCAGTTTTTATCTAAGTAAGCAAAGAAATAAATTGCCAGGAGATATTTTTTTTAAAGATTATTATGAAATAAATTGGGAGAGAGGGGGGTTAATCTCACATTATCCACACGTCAAGTGCCTGTAAAATTGTTAAACAGTTAGATACTGCTTATTCGATTATTGTTTGCCCTGGCTATCAAATGTCCTTATACAGTTTAAAATGTAAGCGAATTGTTTTGATACATGTAATTATCGAAGTGTCAAAACAAGTCACAGTTATGGTTCTTCCTTGCGCTTGAGCAATCTTAAAATAACAAAAAATAATTGGTACATGGTATAAGATCAAGTCCAATTTATAATTTTACAAACAAAACCTAGTAAATTGGTGGGTAATTAATTACAAAAACAACACAGGCAGTTACTGATAAATAATTCCCGCAGTACGCGGCAGTAGTGAAGCACTTATAATTACTGTACTTTCTATACGTACATGGAAAATCAACCGTTATTTGTTGAGGAAAATTATCTTATCGACTGTCTCCGAGGAAAGACGGTTTCTCAATTTCGTGATGAGAATTCCATCACTCTTTTATTGCATTTATTTAATTATGATATTATTCGAATGTCGTTTCATTATTCGATCGTCGGTCCATTCGACTGATAGTCGAATAGTCGACTATTCGTTGACATCCCTAATACATATGAATATCTACATTATGAACTCTCTGAGAGTAACAATCAATATATAGTATCCAATAGTTGAACAATCCATGAACATGTGGTACACATCATACCTAAACTGCACCAAATGATGTTTGACTGTATCCAGTGACGGTTTTGTTTGTTTGATTTGAGTAATAAGATACATAAGATTTCTTTAATACCAAATTTTTATTTGATATTTTACCTGCAACAAGCAAACATAACAATGCAGTATCTGCAACAGTGTTTTTGTTTAAGTGAACAAACAAGAAAACAAACCAAAAACTCTAACTAATTCAGACTAACAAATCTGACAATGGAAAAAAAAAAATAAAAGTTACACCAATAACTCTATCTAAACAACCTACATGCTTAGTATGTGACATAATCATGCAATACACAATTTTCTGAACAATCAAAATGCTGATTTTGCTGTTGTAGTAACATTTCATAAAGATACACATTATTGAAAAGTGCATTTTAGCACCATTCATCTAACAAGAAATTATATGCCATTTAAAATTAAATTTGTTCATGTAAAGGGAGGAAAATATTGATAAAATGTTATATAAAAAGAAATGAAAATGTTCACTGGTACATTAATTATATAAAAATTTTAGTGACATGATTAAAAATGTTGAGTACAAATTGCACAGAGAATTTTTAATATTCTCTTTAAAAATAAACAAACTGATTACATATAGGTACAATCCACAATTACCATGACAACATTTATGTTTTGGTTTTAAGGTGGGTACTACTAAGTCAGCAGTAATGACAGATGTAAAAATAAATAACGAAAACATAAAATTCAAAAACATTGCATAATTCATCCCTAAATTCGGAGTGAACTAAAAATTAAAATACATTGTATAACTAAACAGTTGCACATTGAAAATGATATATATTTTACATCTAATTTCACAAACTTCAGAAGGAAAAAAACATTATCAAGTTTGAGGTTTAAATCAAGGAAATTCATCTGTGTGGGCTGTCTACTCGACCAATGTTATCCACAGGTCTGGTTTGAGGAATTTCATCCATCTCAGTATCCTGGACATAAGCACCAGAAATATCATTCTGGCCTGTGTCCAAATGAGCCACATTCTGGATTTCTTCTTTGAGAGCATGGACCTTCATGACCTCCCCCATACCCTTGGTTGTGCCTTGTCTGAAGAGGAGTCTGGACCCAGGTCGTATAAACTCTGGCTGCTTCATGAATCGGAATGTGACATGTGCTTTTTCATTGGTTTTGACAGATTCCTTCAAATAAAAACAATACATGTTTATTATGTTTCTTAACTTATTTATTTAAAAAGAATAAAATGCATGACATAATTCAGTTAATTGCTTAACATTGAAGAGCAAAAAAAATGGATTACTTAATATTGCTTCATACTTTATCAAGATGTGAAAACAAAAAGCGAAAAAAAGGTGAAAAATGTCAAAGGTAAATTTCTATGTACATCTTCGATGGGCATGACACATGATGATCATCTTTCAACAACAGTTATGGTCAAAATTTAAGGATTAGGAAGCATAAAAGCAAGCTCAATTCACCAGGGCATAAATATACAGTAATTGATTCATAGGCACTTGTTTTTGTAATAAATTTTTACCCCATAGTATAATATCACTAGGTATCCAACTCCAAATAAAATGGTGTAAACCCCCAAGATCAAGATTACTGCTTGGTCAATTTTTTGCTGTGCATAATATACTGAACTGCATTTTCCCCGCAATTTTCAGGCCCAAAAGGGGGCACCTATTTTACACCAAATGCACATTCGGCAAAATACGGTACATGTATCTACAAAAACATGCATGGCATGCTTATCTTTCTTTACTTTTCATCTCTATAAACAAACATCCAAACATTGCTTGTATACTGGAAAATTTGTTCACACCACCAAGTGCTATGTACTAGCCTCTGGCAGAATATCTAAATGTATTTGGATTTGACTGGCTAAAAGGCTGTTTCTAAAATTATATCGGGCAAATATTTTAGAATTTTTTTTTTACTGAAAATAAAAAGTAAAAACATCACATTCATTAATTGCAATATTTAACACTGAAATTAAGTTTTTAAACCCACTGAATTTAAAATATTTTGCTTTCTGCCTGAGACTAGTACACTGTGTTTGGCAGTGTGAAGCCAGTTTTTCAGTCAGCGAGCAAAGTTTGGAAGTTGTTTATGCAGATACAGATGAGAATGATATTACAGTTTTCCACTGCTTTTTCTCTGAAACCATAAATGGCTGCAATTCTGGGCAGAAGGGTACTCAGTGTAATCTGGAGTTAGTTATCTTGTGTTATTATTATACTATGGAGTAAAAAAAAAATATTACAGAATCAAGTGCCTGTGAATTGACTATAAGGAGTTTAAAGGAAATACATACCTTATCTTTGATAATTTCCACTTTGCAGATCTGACAAACATTTCCTACATGTACAGTGGTTTCAAATCCTCTGCTGATTTGATGGGTGTGATAAAGCAGGTAAATACTAGCCTCAAATGTTCTACATACAAAGTTGTTGAAGGTAGACTCTGGGCTTACCAGCACCATTCCCTGTAGAAACAGATTCATCACAAAACTGCTGAGAACCTTTAGTTTGTGTACTTTAAATATGAAATTTATTGCATATAAAACTAATTCAGAAACAAACTAACAAAACATTTCCATAGTTTCTGTTGTGAAAAAAATTACTGGAGGTTTCAAGAAAAGCAAGGTAAGATCAATCAATAAAAGCACCTGATTATTGTTTCCTCAAAACATACATATACCCATACATACATCTTTAAATGCAAGTTAAATATTCAGGAGAAATTTTACTCACTCGCCTGAGAATATTTCGGTGTTTTTCTGTCAGAGCTACTGTAGCTGCCTGCCCAGCCTGAATGAGACGACATGGCACCCGATTCCTGTGAACAGTTTTGACCTTTACCTCCTTGAAGCTACCATCCTCCAGGGGACCTAGGTGGAGATTATCCCCCTCCTTTATGGACCCCCGACTAATGTGGCCCCCTAGAACACTGTCAACACCAGGCACAGTAAACTGTGTGTCAATCTAAAATAATTTTTTTCATATTAAAAAAAATGTGGTGATAAATAAAAGGAAAACATATCGCAAAGAAATCCACAGAACTCTGAAAGAGATTTGAGAATTACTTTTGCCTCTGTATCTGTTTCTTACCTGGAACTCAGTGTTATCTTGCGATAGTTTCTCCCTCTCTGTTACATTCTTCATTGATGGCAAAACATTTAGAAACTTGGTTAACAGATCAGTATTCTTCCCAGTTACACTGGAAATTGTAAATATAGGGGTAATTCTGAAAAAGAAAAATATCCAATATTTTATGTTACTTTGTGTAAATGAAAAGCATCCAAAAAGTTATCTCCCATTCATTTCACAAGTCCTAAATTGTTCTGTTTTTAAACCTTAAAAAAAAACACACACAAAAAAAAACTTGAAGCCTTTCACAAGCAAATTCAAATTCACCTTTCCGAATTAAAGTTAGCTGCAGCAGTCATGGCATCATCTTCAGATTTGATTCGTAAAGGGACCCGATTACAACCTGGTGATTTGAGTATTTTCTCCAGTTGTGAGACAGTTCTCTCGATCATAAATCTTCTGCACATGTCTATCTTAGTGATCACTACAAACACAGGGACTCCAAGGGCCAGGGCAAAACCAAGATGCTCCCTGGTAGTGCCAGCTGAAAAAGGAATTTTTTTTGTTAGTTATGATTTTTTTTTTTCATTTTTGTTTAAATAATTTTTTGTTTTTGTTAAATCATATGTAAATACAGTGTACAAATGCCTTCCCTTTACCAGTAAATACATTTAAATTAGGGATGGCAACGAATATTCGAACATTCGAATATTCATTCGATGAGTTGATATTCGAATATGAATTTAAGATTCGAATATTCGGTGTTTTTCAGATTTCATAAATAATTTTGATTAGAGCAGTGCTGGAATTATCCCTGTCTAATATACTAGCGATCAATTTTGATCGCCTGATTTCTTTCATTCTTTCTTATCTTATAGAATTACTAAATTACATGGATTTTGTTTTGAGTAAGGTGTTAAAGAATTGTACAATAATGCTTTATGTATAATACAAAACGTACTTTCATAGTTTTTATTACTTAAATACGATCGGGTCTAGAATCGAGGACAACAAAATGAAAACCTTCTTAGAATGTCTAAAAGACGTGAAGAGTATACTTATCAAAACAAATTTAAATGATCATTCAAATGAATCTCCACTGTAATTAATTCTGCAAAGGGCTCAATTTCAGATTAAATGATTATATCTTGGGTTGTATATAATCCTGAAATTTATATTCATTATCGGGAAATTAATTAATTACCTAAGAAAATTGTCTATGGAAATATTTGTTTATATTTTAAAAACATTATATCAAAGATTATAATCGTATCTCTTATTAGGCAAATAATTGTAATTTATTACACGTATTGAAATCTGAACAGTATACCGTTACTACTATATCTTGCCTTTGGCAAGACGACTGATTCCTCAGTTGGAGCTACTATAAATACATATGTTTCATTTGTTAAAATTATATATCAAATGGAATTTCTTATTGTACAACTACAAAAGTCTTCATACATTTTACTTCCAATATAAGTATACCTACGTAAACCAATCGTGAGAGTAGGATGATGTATATTTAAAAAAAAAACAAATTTTATTTATTTTATCGAACATTCGAATATATTCGAATACTTTCATTGAATATTCGAATATGAATTATTGACAAAATTGACATCCCTAATTTAAATGTTATTAAATCAGTTTATTACAAAAGTTGTTTTTTTTTAAATGAAATACAAACATGATATCAAAGTATGCAATCCATAATAAATGTACCTATCTATATGTGCAATATATTAAATATAAAATTCATAATTTAATAAATTATTTTAGAATCTTACCCATTCCTGTGTTGGCAGACACAACAAGCATTGCAAAGTCTGGACAGTAACCAGTCAGACCAAATATAGTAGTCTTCAGGTACTTGTGATGGCCGGCTAAATCTATGAGGGTTATTAGTTTGGTGGAATGTTCACATATCTCCTCCACTGTTTTAGAGTCACTGTAGTTCACAATCTAGCAAAGCAAGACAACTGTTGCTTTAGAGCTGCAACGATTCAGGTACCTCATGATTCAATTCTATTTAAAATTCTTAAGCCATTTTTTCATCATTTTTTGATTTCAGAAATAAATGTAAACATGAATAGAATCATAATTAGATATTGATCAGAAAATTGAATCAAATGCTGTGCATTGCCATTCAAATGCACCATGATTAATCATTTCAGCCCTGCAATTTTTATACCTGATTTTACCATGTAAAATTTAATTTGAACAAGAGTTAAAAATGTTGATACATATATTCAATATATTAGATCTTTGAAATATGAAACTTGTTTTCATTTTCTTTTAAATATCTTTCTTTAACAGAACCAACCAAAGATTTTTAAAAAATTGGAAAATTTGATTCCTCCTGAGATATCAAGCTACAAATTTCATCACTTTCATAGATATGTCAGACAAAAAAATGCAGGACAAAGTAACCACCCTACCTCTCCTTGACTGTTGAATCCCAGGATTTCATGACTTATACAGGAAGTTCTCCCTGTCTGGATTTCATGCAGGTGACGGAACAAATTCAGTCTGGCACGTCCTCTCCCATTGTCTAGTTCTCCTTGGGTGAGGACACCAAGCAAAGTGGATTTTCCAGCATCCACATTCCCTAGCACTGCCAGTTTCAGATCAATAAACTAAAAATGAAAAGATTTAAAATCAGAATTTCACCCACTTATATTCCATGAAACCATAAAATGCCAAAATGAGAAAAGAAAGTTGATTTTGAGTATATGGTATTCATCCTTTTAGCACCCCTGCCCCTGTAAGTGCCCAAGTGCCCCCCCCCCCCCCCCCCCCCGGGACCTTTTTCACTTTGCTAAAAGAATAAGCACCCTTTTCCTTTAATATGCCTTACCATATAATTTTACAAATATTTAGAGTTTACCACTATCCACTGAGGATATTTAATAAATGAATTCCAAGAATGACTTATCTAATTTCTAAATACATGTACAGTGTTTACATTGTTTACGCATTGTTAATATGGTACTGTACTTTGCTGTCACTTTTTTTTTCAGAATGTAAAAGCATGTACACGTACCACTTTTAAAGTGCATGTTTAATGGGGATGTGTTTATAAAAGTATGTTTTTGTTTTAATACTGTACATGTAACACAGGATAAGTTTTCTAGCAGCCAGACCTAATAAGCACCCCCCTTTTTCTAATTTTCAACGTACACGTTTGACTTACCTCCTGATTTTCAGGGACCTTTCTAACAAGGATTTCTAAAGCTTTCCTTTGACACTCTGCCCCTTCCGTTTCTACAATACGCTCTCTTAGTATACTTGTAGTTGCTCCAAGTCTGCAAAACATTCAAATATTATATAATTTCTTCAAAAATTCTTCATTTCAAATCCCTAAGATCAATTTCTGTAAAAATTTTGGCTTCCATGGTTTCTTTTATTTAATTCATGAGATACATGTGCATTTCTACAGAGTAGTTTTATTAGAGGGGGCTCAAGCAAATATTTTGTCACACAAGGGTTCAATATCTTGTGAATGCTGGTCCAGTAAAAGGACTCTGTCCCAATTCAAAATTGATTCTTTTCCCAAAATTATGGTAAAAATTCTACGATGTCAAGAGGATTGAATTTTTGAAGCTATTTATCTACAATTTTGAATTTCGAGAGTATATGTTGATGTGGGTAGAGGATAAAGCTGTGTTTATTGCACAATAGAAAATTAAAATGCATAAATGTATCAAATCTTCCCCCTTCTTTCACTTTGAAATTCACAACTGAAAGGACACAGGACCCTCTACCAAAAAGGGGCAATTAACATGATTAAGCCCAGCACATATGTCCATGTGTGAGGGCAGCAAATACAAATAGAACAGAACTAGATGAAATCCCGCGCAAGCGCGGGGAATTGAATTTACACCACTACCAACAGAAAATGTATTGTAGTTTCTACTGACGTCCTACAGGCTTATAGCAGGAAGAAATACTTTGTACAAAATCCCGCATGAAGTAGATGTACATCAGTCTCCACCCCCCCCCCCCCCCCCCCACCACACTCCTTTTTGTAAAAACTTTTCAGATGCTTTTATTTCATTTCCGTTAAGGATAAAAGCAGCGAATATGCACATTTTACTGATAAAATGATTTTTGTTTTTGGGAGGGGGGAGTAAAAATTCAATGGCACTTGGGTCTTGGTTTATAAATATGTGTGTACCTTATTGATATGTAAAAAATGTACTTTACTCTCTTTTAACATATCAATAAGGTACATACATATTTATAAACCAAGACCCAAGTACATGTGTAAAAATCAGCTTTTAATGCCCTATGAATAGACCGAGCATTTGATACTGTATTTAGAAAAAAAACTGAAATGTATTAATTAAAGCACAGAATTTTACAGCTTTAATTGTATTTGAACAATACCTTATTTATTAATTTTTCTCTTTTCATGTAAGCAACTTTATTACGCAGTACAAATTGTCTTCGGGTTCGTTGCCACGATGCTCTCAGTCAGCAAGGAAATATACTAATTTTACCGATAAATTTATTAGGAAAACCTATTAAATACATGTATATGTAATAGCCTTTCGATATATAACAACTTATAGTGTTATCAATGGTTTACCATTTTCTTCAATGACCATTCACACAAAGCATTTTTTTATGTTCATACAGCTATTATCGCCTCGTTTTTTTCTTTTTAACATCGGGCTCGATGCTATATCTGATGTTCTAGAAGCTTCCGTCAATATTAAGATCGGTGAATGACGAAAATAATTCGCACATTTCCCTTTTTAATCGGTTATCACAACTTATTTCTTTTACATCATTTAAATCAAGTTTTGATTGAATAGTTCAGTGATGACGTTTATGAAATAAATAAACTATTGCTTGTTATCAGTTTCATTAAAAATTGCCAGTAACTTAGATCCGCCAACCGGAAACGCCACCGTACTCACGTTTTTGCTATTTCATGGCTGTTTATAGAAAATGAAAGTAGACTTTTAATTTTATGTACGATACTTACTATGCGAGTGAAATCTAAATATAGTTTACGGACATCAGCTTGTATCTAGTGTATTGTTAGAGGAGTAAGTAAGAACTCTGGTGCACCCGTTTCGGAGTTTATTTGCAAAATTTATTAATTTATAAGTATAGATGTTTTATCCATCCCCCTGACCTGCTAGCCATTCTGTTGAGTGTATTCAATGATGCTGTGAGTTCTTCATTGGTCAGCCCAACCAGTAGGCCATTGTCCTCTACCCCAATCTCATAAATGGCCTCCCCTTCTCCCTCCTCCAACCGCCATTTCATCTGAGTGACAAGGTGCTCCACACGAGACTCAGAGGGGTTCACTAGTTTTAACTAAACATAATATGAATAGGTCGTGATAAATTATGATGCTTTAAAATATGAAGTAGTGTTTTAAGAAAAATTGAGCATTTTTCATTAATGCATATTCTTTTAAAATACCATTTATTATCACTTAATAATGTAGAAATTATGCTTTATAAGTCCAAGTGACACAGAAACACTCTAAAACATTCTATATTCATAAAACAATACATTGTTGTTTGAATATTCAAGAATCATATTGGTACATCAATAATGCATTTTTAAATTTTAATTACATAGGTAAGAAACATACAGTACATACCTTATACTCTATGTTTCCTTCTTCAATCTGGAAGAAATAGGCAGAAATTTTCTCAGGTCATATCAGATGTTCAAAAATATAAACAGAATTTAGAGATTATTATTTCTGATTAATGATCCATTTCATAGAAACCATGAATGATATTTTTCTTGGTATTGGTCAACTATTTATATATGCATCCCTGTAAAAGTTTGGTCACAAATCAAATGCTTTATATTACCCAAAAACTTTCAGAGCAAATGCACAAAAGATGACACATTTTGAAAAGTGATATATTTATGGAATGCATTTTAGATAAGAAAGTAGAAACTTTCATGTCACCAAATAGTGACTGTTCCTTCATGGTAAAATAGATTGTATATTTAATTAAGAAGACAAATATGTTAAAACAGCTTAATCGGGCTATTTTAAATAGTTAACTTTAGCTATACATTTTATACCATATAAATTTAGTATATAACTATGTAATCTATATCAAGGGGTTTTAATAAGAATTAAAATTTAATTATTAACATAATATTCAAGATCTTCTGCCACGTCATACATATTCATTTCAATTTTGTGCAATTTGCTGGTTAAGTAATTTGGCAAGACAACTAAACTAATGAATTATAAGAATTATAAGCTGTATGGCACTATAGCTCTTTAACGGTTAACCCGCTTTCAGTGATTAATGGGACAAGGTCAAATCGCATTTTCGTAGATTACAATCGAATTGCAATATACTGTAAATCAACAACAGTACCTACTATAAATACAAAATTTAAAAAAATGCAAAAAAAAAGTCTTCCAATAATACGATTATTACAAAATTATGATCTTTAGGATCTGTTTAGAGACGTAAAGCAATAGTTTGACACGGTAACAAGTTACCTCTGGGGGAAGTGCCGCAGGCAGTTCCATTGCAGGGTCTTCATTGTCAGAAGCAATCACTTCATCCATTCTATCGTTCTTTATCGTATATGATGCCGTTGTTTTGGTATTAGATACATCTCACACTTCCTATTTGAATAATACGTTCCTAAATTAGATAACATTATATCACCTCTATCAGCTGTTGCTAATTTTGGCGGCCATATTGCATCATCTAACTACAAGTCCCCGGATAATAATAAATAATAAAATTCTAAAATGGAAACCAACCTGGGAAAATTTACGGATATAGATCTAATGTATTGCAACTGAATGACGAAATAACTAGAGTTTCGAAAGAAATATAAAATCCTATTGTACATACACATAAGCATATGCATTTATTGGAATCGTTTTTTGTACATCATTTCTAAATGTTATCTCACTATAATTGTAATCTTGACTCAGAGACATAAAATATATTATCTCTGCTTGATAAAAGTTATCTTTTTCAGATTATTTACTATATGCCTATATATATATATATATATATATATATATATATATATATATATATATATATATATATATATATATATATATATATATATGTTAAATCGATAAATATTGTAATACAAAAGAAAGTAAACTTTATGTCTGTTTTGTAGATTTTCATGAGGCATTTGACAGTGTTGTTCATAATGGTTTAAAACTGAAACTACTACAATATAATGTTGGAAATAAATTTTATAACATTATTAATGATATGTACATGAAAGGTGAAGCATGTGTCAAGTATGGTAATCTCCTTACTTCCTCATTCCCTATCAAATTAGCTGTACGCCAGGGAGATAACTTGAGCCCTACTTTATTAAAATGTTTATATATGATTTGCCATCATATTAAAATATTGTTCAAACGATTTTATTTTTTTCTGCAAAATTGAAATGATACATATGTCGTCGTAGACTTCCACTTACAAGAACATAACATTATAGCACATAGTATCTTGGGTGGGGGGTAGGTGGGAGTTAGGTTCCCCCCGTTTATGGGCTTTAAGATCTCAACAAATAAAATTTTGATTTGGGAGAATTCTCCTTTTTTTCAGTGGGGGGGGGGGGATGTCAAAGATTTTTTTTAGGGGGGCAGGGATAGACATTAAGTTTCAGATCCACTTGCCCTTCGGGCAAGTGATCTTAGACTTTGACTTGTCCGAATGCTAAACTTGGTTGCCCAAAATTAGGAAAGAAATTAAGAAGAAAATAATTAATTTCTGTAGACGATATGATAAGAAAAAATGTGACCAAATACACAACTGTCAATTTGGCAAGTTGAGCTACCTGAAAAAAATTTCGATGCTGTATTTGTACATAAATGTATACCGCTGTACTTGTAAAATTTAACCTGTTAACACGTACTGCCATGCAGCATTAACCCTCCATTTCCTTTTAATAAAATTCATATTTTTAAAAAATTATTTTCGGTAGGATCCTTTTGTGATTCGTGATTTTCAGAGATAACTGTGAAGCAACGCTTAAGGAAGATAGTTGCTACGAAACATACATCTTATCTTGATCAGGATACATTGTGTTATACTGTACTTATATATTCTGAGTGTAAATAAATAATCTAATTTCCTAATAAGAAGTTAATAAAATTTTGTTAGACATAGAGCATATTTCTGTAAGCATATAAAACCTATCCAGAGGAAAAATGAGAAACCTCACATAATTCACCCCCCCCCCCCCTTCAATCTGAAAATGCATGTACGTGAAAACCATTTTCAAGAGGATTAATACATGTAAACTCATTAGTTAACTGATTTAAACAAAAATTTTAAAAATACAGAGAATTTCACGAAATACATGTATTCAAATTAATTAAAACAGATAATTGAAATCTAACAATATTGAAAACGCACAGTTTGATTCCCTTAATAACAACTGTTTTCTGAGTTCTTTGAGTTACATTCAAACTGATACATGTTCGTATATACATGTATTTGGACTATTTCACACTACATTCCATAATTTTGATACCAGCATATCCATAGTAACAGTAACGTAGCGGGTCAAAGTGCGGGCGGATCCAGGTTTCAGTATTGTGCCTGTATTTGTTATGGTTTTTGAAATACTCATACTGCTTAAATTAATCCATCAAATACAATTGCACACTCGTTTAACATTGCTTGATTTTTCAATCCAACCATCTCTTTCATGCTTTCTGCTTTGTTTGAACACCCTGTACACTTACGATGGACCTAGGCCTATGACGTAATGTCGCGTGCAGTTTGGTGCTGAAGGAGTGACTATGCAAATGACCATGACACAAGACATTTACAGACACTTTCTTTCGTTTGTAAGGGATTTATTGTACAGAGAGGCGTGACAGTCTCGTCGCTGCGCGACTCGACTGCCACGCCTCTCTGTACAATAAATCCCTTACAAACGAAAGAAAGTACTGTAAATATAACTTAATGTAAACTAAATCAATATGTACATTAAGATGTATGAGAACAATTCACTTGCCCGATCGGACAAGTACGTCGACAATTTCACATGCTCGAACTGCGAATTTACTTGTCCCGGGCAATCGGACAACCGTTAATGTAGATCCCTGGGGGGGGGGTGTTATTTTCCCCCTTGTGATGCCTCGCCCTTTTTTTTTCAAAATCGATCCTATACACATGCCTGACATTTATTATTTGCACTCTAAAAATAGAATTATATATTGCAAATTAATACAACTGGTTATTTTTATTTTAACCCCGTTTCTCTAATTATGTTTGGCTAGTACTTCAATATTTAAATATTTAAGATGGCATGGATTGCTTAAGGAGTTTTGTGTCATTTATTATATCACAGTATGATAAGGTATGTTTTCAGTTGCTTAATTTCATTTTAGTTTCAGTTAAGCCACCAATTCCTAAACATTATTGCGCATCTACAGGACACCTCTAATCAGATTTGGCTACCAATTTTGCCAGTAAAAGGGGTTCTAGGAACATGCATGCTTTTTGGGGTTAAAAAAAAAATGTTTTTCGATCTCCATTTGCTCTCCAGGGTGAAATGGAGATAATGAAACCTTACTGCACATCTACAAGACACTATCAATAATATTCCAAAAGACGAATTGGGTATTGCTTAAAATGTCAGAGGAGTTCGAGGTAAAAAAAAAAAATGCTGATGAGCATCATTTTTCGATCTTTTATTAGACCACAGGGTGAAAATGAACAATTCTGAAACTTTGTTGCCTACAGGACACCATTTACTATATTCCAAAAGATGAATTGGATATTGCATAAAATGTAAGAGGACTTGAAAAGGGGGGGGTTATTTATAAATTCTTTATTGCATAATACACACATATGGGTCAAGCAATACAATTTATAGAACAAAATGGTGTTTTCGACTCCCTCGCCCCTCCTATTCTCACAATTAACATGAAAATTTAAAACCTTAGTACAAATCTAAAGACACCGCCAATCCTGAAGATTAATTTGGTACTACTAGTACTTTTGAAATGTAAGAAGAGCTTGATATGCAGAAGATAGTGTGACAGATGCAGAAGATAGTGTGACGGACGGACGGATAAATAAACCGGAATAACAATACATATACCTGTTTTTTTCACAAGATACTGAAAATTCCGAAGGAGGTAACTCTATTCCTTTCGTGTACACACATTTACACCATGATCTCTTTCTCTCTCCCTTCCTCCCTCGACTTTGCGTGTCCATAGTGCATGGCCGTAGGAACGGGGGGCACGGGGGAGCGTGCCACCCAATAATTTTGCCGATATATAGAATACTATAGAAAACATAGCTACTATATGTTTGTGTCCCCTCAATAATAACTTCTGATGACCGTGTTTTTTTTTTTTTTTTTTTTTTTTTTTGCTTGTCAAGGAATTTTGGTTGATAGTGTCTCCCAGCTGAAAATGTATGGTTGTGCCCCCTCAAAGTGAAATTGTTTCCTACAGGCCTGCAGTGTGTGTTATTTTGCCATTGTGCATTACAATCAGGGGCAGATCAGGTTTTACATCGAGGAGGGAGATGTGTTAAAATATATGGATATTTTTGCCAAAAAAAAAAAAAATAATAATAATAATGATAAGATATAAAAAAAAAAAACTTCTTGCATTTTGTGAAATGAAACTCACCGTATTGAAATATTTCAAAAATTGCATCGTCGTATAAATTCATCTCTTCAACCTGCAAATAATACTCCTGGTAGTTTTTCACCGATTCAACTTTGGCAATGGAATTTTGTTTTTATACCCGTACTGAAGTATAACTGAATAGGCTGTTCAACTGCTCAGGCCAATAGGAGCCTGTCCGGTGGGGGGGGGGGGGATTTCACAAGTATATACTTGTTAGTTACTTAAAATAGATCCGCCACTAATATTTAATCCCATGCTTGATTTCATCTTTTGATCTATGGCCCATGCGTGAAAGCTCCAACTTCCGGTATCTGAATAGTGTTCAGTCACACCTTTGATCCCATGGTCGAATGCATTCCATTTCCCGCCATCTCACTGATTCTACAAAAAAACGAGTAACTCATGAAAGGTAGTGATTCTTTTAGTATATTTACAAATATTTATTTATATTTAACACTTGAAAGTACCAGCTAACGTTGAAATGGGCTTAACGGTAGCATTCAGCGAACAGTCAGGCCAGACTTAGGGCTAAGGTCAAGGTATTTCATTCGTCAGTTTTTTGAGGAGAGTTTTGTTTAATAATAAAAATATCAATTACAATGTAGTATTTTATGACATATTTGAACGTATGACCCTCTAAGGGTAGGGCATGGCCACCTTGGGAGATCATTTGAAAGTTTTACATTGAAATACATATAATAAAACAGTCTTCTTCTCTCAGCTTTTGAGAAAAGTTTTGTCTTAACCCTCTAATACAAAAAATAAAAATTACAATTTAGTATTTTATGACATATTTGAATTTATGATCCCCTGGGGTAGGGTACAGCCACAATGGGAGATCAAACTTTTACATTGGAACATACTAAAGAAAAAATCTTTTTCTCAAGAGGAACAAAGCCATGACTAATTTTATTAATATGGAAGCATCCTCATGTAATGTAGGTTCAAGTTTGTTCATATTAACCCCCCTCCCTTCCCCAGTAGGGTTGGTCCATAATAGGAGATCAAAGATAAAGTTGTACATGGGAATTCTGAAGAAGAACAGCAGCTGCAGGACCGTGATTAGTCATAGAAAGTCATATGCAA